AGAGAATCAGAAGAATAACCTGTTTTGCCTCCCCCGATGATTGTGAACCATTTTCTAAAGTAACGTTATCCAGCTGTTCAGATAAATCCTTGGAGGGCTTGCAACAGTTGATGAGTAAATTTGCTGTGTCTTCTCTCTTAAGAACCCCGACATATTCCATGGCCGCTGCATCAGCTGCTGAAGCAGGGTCTGAGACCGAGCTCTTGCTACTCTCAGTTTCAGAGTTCTGATGGTGCGGATAGTACTCAAACACAGTGGGTTCCCCATCTACCAAGACACTCTCGATTCCCAAGTTCTCCGCGTGTAGTCCCACAATCCCGATATCTGGCACGCTTACTTCTAACTCTGTGTAACTATAGAAAGCGGAGAACATCCCATGAGAGTGCAGCAAATAATTGAAGAATGGAATGGAAGATTAATCCAGAAAGTGAAGATTCGATAGCAGGAATCTTCCAAAGCAGAAATTCCGAAATATACTATCGGTGAGAAATTCAGCTTCTCCCCATAATTAGGGTTTGTTCATCCCGAATTGCATTTTAGCAGCCACAAATCACGTTCACGCACTTGTTTTACGAATGAACAATAGAAAGCGAGAGAGAGCAACGAACCCGTAGATTTGGCGTTTTTTGAAGTCGATAGAAAGGCAGAGCTTCTGGTGAAGAACTTTGGCTCCGGTGTTCTCCGAAGTCTTCGCGCCACCAGGTGCTTCCTCGTTCTTTGGCTTCCGAGCCTTGGCCATGTTTTCCTTCTCGCCGGGACGTTCACAGGAGAGCAACCTTCTTAATTATACAGCCGTCGACGGGTCGGTTCTTCTAAAATTACAGAATGCTCCTCTATGTTTTAAAATTAAGGAATAATTCACCTACTACTTTCTAATGTATCAATCTTACCCTTGGGCTTAGTAAGAACATTTTGAAACTGGGCCCACTAATTTAAATTTCCTATCTCTCGACTCTTCTTTCTTCTTTTAAACGTTTAAAAAAAAATGAGAAACCACATACATAAAAAAACCTATAATACACAACAAGTCAACTCCCAGTTCATGATGACTCAGGCCCCTAGTGAAATGATGAATCTTTTATATTAGTGATATATGAAATGTCGGCCAATATATCTATTTTTCAGCCTCTCACGACGCTCCTTTGTTCCTTTCGTATGTAGTTTAATTACATGGTGACGTCAAAGCTTTGTTTCCGAACGATTTTGGTACTTATGTACCGTATTAAAATGGTGGAAACTACATTTTTTATGTATTGAACCTTTGGTATGCCTTTGAAGGAAAACGAAAATTTCTATAAAATAATATATATGATGAGGGGTTTGACTTTATATGAAAATTTAATGAGCCCTCTTCTTCCTTGAACGCAAAGGAAGCTTCTTCGTTGGAAATCGCTGTCTCCAATTCACATTTCTCTCTCTCTCTTTCTCTCTTTATATCTGTACATACGTATACGGTATACGTATATATATTAACACAACATTTATTTTCTGTCTGCAAAGGTCCTATGATAGCTGATTATAATCTCCATGGCAACGAGTAGAGTCTCACATGTCATAGTGTTTCTTGTATGGATCTCTCTTCTCCTCTTTGTCTCTAAAGGGTTATCTGGTAGTTTCATCTTGATAACCATAAACTCTTTTCCTTCTCCGGTAATTAGCTCACCGCCTTTTTACTACCGGCCAGGAAGAAGAGCTTTGGTGGTGCGGAAGTTTGACTTCACACCGTTCCTGAAAGATCTTCGCCGGAGGAATCATCGAGAAGTTTTGCCGCCGGGAGGATCCGAGATCGACCTGAGATATGGCGTTGAGAAACGACTCGTCCCATCTGGTCCAAACCCCTTGCACCATTGATTGTCTTCTTATATTTTTCTTTTAAGTTTAAAATTTCTTTATTTTTTCGAATATATTGTAAGAAGGTATACACAAAATTTAGGTCTTGAATTGTCTCTTCTTCTTCTTTTTTTCTACAGTTTTGGTGTAAACAATGATATTTACTCATCTTTTTTATATAGTTTGCATTTCAGATCAGGTTGTAATATAACATCATAGTTTAGATCAAAACGATCATGTTCATATTTCTTTTTAATATTCATCGTATATATCACTAGCTTTTACAAGTGAAAAGTAATCATAACCGATTAACCGCTAATTTATATAGATAAATGACTATATATTATGTTCACATTTGTGATACTATTATTACTTTAGAAGTTCGTAAACGGCTTTTGATAGACAAGTGCTTATTCAGTTTTAAAAAAAAAATGATTAGTTTAATTAAGAGAAATGGAAATTAGCTTTGTGGAGATCGATATTTATGGTCACGTGAAGCGTTGACTTTGATTGAAGTTGATTTCCGTTTCCAGGTTTTGTTCTTTCTAGACAGTCTAAGATGTAGTAGACAACGACGAAATGAAATCATGTGCAATTGTGCATCTCATTCGCCAAAACACAATTACAATCGACCATTATTTATTTATTTTGTGGACTTTAATTAAAGTTGAAAGAGACATTTAACAATCCAGTAAATGGTCTACTTCGAATCATGCGGTTTTAGCTAAGGTTTTTTGGTTATTTGGGTTATCCTTAACCACAAACAAAAGTTGCAAGTCCGTCACAAACAAAAGTTGTAAATTATAAATAAAATATAAGCAAAAACTAGAATCTTATTTTCATTTTCAGTGGATTTGATGAAACATACATACGACCAATGCACAAGCTAATAACATATTCCACTCATCAATAAGAGCTTATACTCCTAACTGATATTCTCATAGACCTAATACAAAACGGAAATTACCAAACAAGATTAATATAACAAAGGTTAATAGATGGTGTTTAGTCTCCAAAAGTAGGATTTGAGAACATTTGTAGGGAAGTGTTTATAGACGACTTTGTGGACTTCCAACAGCAAAAGTAGAAACTTCTTAGCGAAGTATTCAAAATTTTCTTTTGGAGAGTTTTCCACAAGTAACTGAACAAAAAAAATCAAAATAATTAGATGCATATATATGAGTTTGCAATATGTTACGAGGATAAACCTTCATATTTGTTCATATTTGTTGAAAGCTCGTTGAGGTGTTGAGAAGTGTTCTTCACGGATCTAACTATATCGAAAATGTTATATTCATAGTAATGCGCCACTGAATCGTTTTACTTATGGGTCTTTCATCTCATTAGCAATCATCACAAAATACATATTAGAGGAACAATGATTTTTTTTCACAACAGCATAACGCTGATTATAAATTATGTGTTTTGATTCAAATTGTGCTTGTTTCCTTTAAATGTGTTTTTGACAGGATAACGAGTTTGATCACTATGGTGAATTTATTATATGTGTTTTCTGATAAATATATTGTGTGAATGCTTGTAAAAAAATGATGAATTACAACTTTTTTTTTGTACAGGGGATGGACATAGTTTGACTGAAATGTCAAATAAATTGTAAAGTAATGATAAACTTAGAAATGTTAACAAGACAAACTGAACTGAATAGTTAGGTTTAGTACGTTTTTTTTAATTTATATTTTCAACATTATAGTTATATATATTGGAATGAGGTTTCAAAAATTGGAATATGAAAATATGAAATTTTTTATAAATTATTATTTTAATTTTTTTTACAAGATATATAAATTAATATACAAAAGATTCCAAAATATAACAAAACACTATTAACATTTGTTATTTTAGATGTGAGAAATATGGTTATTATGTTAACTTCCATCACCAAAAACGAGAATTTCTTAGCAAAATACTCATGAATTTTTTCATAGTTGAGGATGTGATTTAACTTCTTATAGAAGAGTAAAAAAAATGGATTTTTGCCAAGTACAGAAATCGGCTCTTCATTTCATTTGTCCAATAGCAACCACAATAAGAACATAGCTGCAAAGTGACAAAATACTTTAAAGGGATTTTATATGATAACGGGTTTTATTATAAATTATGTGTGGTTTGGATAAATATATTGTTTAATGTTTGTGAATGATGATGATTAATTTTTTTTGGTACAAACAATGAACATAGTTTGACTGAAATGTCTAATCAATTGTAAAATAATGAAAAAAACTTAAAATTGCTAACAAGACAAACTTAATAGAATAGTTTCAAAAGCTGCAAAAAAAAAATTGAATAGTTTCAATTTGATCTGGTTGCAAAGCAGAACCGGTTTGAAACTCAAACTGATGAAACCGAACTTAGAGCATAGGTTCACTCATACCTCCACGATTATATTATGTATGATTGAGACTTGCGGTTCTGGCTCTGGCCTAAAACACAATTATAATCGACCTTGTTTATTTATTATTAAAGGATTTTAATTAAGAGGTGTATTGAAATTAAAATTTTAGAGAATTTAAAAAGATTTGAATTTAATTGAAATTTTAAATAATTTTATGTGGATTAAAAAATTTGATATGATTTGATATTAAAATTATATGAAATCCCACCTAAATTTTTTTTATATTTTTAACTAACAAAATCCATCAAATTATTTAAAAAGTACTCAATATTTTGTAAAATTTACTATTTAAAATAATTCTAATAATAGTGAATTTGATTTAGTTTTTATAAATTCTTAATTAAATAATATTAATGTGAATTTAATTAATTTTATATAAATTTTATGTTCAATAACATAGATTTTAATAAGATATAGTTAAATAACATAAAATTTTAAAATAAACCATTTTTTTCTGAAATTATAGTTTCAATACCAATTCGGTAACTTGGTCTACTTCGAACCATGCGGTTTTAGCTAAGGTTTTCTGGTTATTTGGTTCACCACAAACCAAGTTGCAAATCCCGTCACGGCAAACTAGGCAGTAGATAAACTGGTCTTTCCGGTGGCTTCTTCTCATCTACGAGAGCGAGCGAGAGAGAGAGAGAAAAATTCTTTGGCTTGAGAGGGAGAGACCTCAGCTTGAACTCCCTGCGTAGCGAAAGGTCCTCCAATTTTGTTATCGTGTGGGGTTTGCGCATTGCTAACAGTAAATTTTATGAATTGTGTTGAATTTCGTTCTTCCCCGTGCATCACATCGATGATTCTTCTGGGTTTTTCAGTGCTGAATCAAACCCACGATCCTATCGTGATTTAGGGCTTGTGTCTGATGAGTATCTACTGAATTAGTCGTATTAAGATGGCGAGAAAAGCTAACAGTAGCGTGTTTCTAGAAGAATGGTTAAGGGTTGGGAGTGGAAGCAGTATCTCTGGTGGTTTGGTGAAGCAGAATTCTGCTCCGTCCGCGAGGTCGATCATTCAAACATGGTCTGAGATTAGGGAATCTCTTCAAATCCAGAAGTTCGATACACGTTACCTCCAGGCTTTGAGAGCTCTGGTTAGCTCTGAGTCCACTATCCATGTCGCTGATCCCCAAGCAAAGCTTCTTATATCCATACTAGCTCTACGAGATGTTTATCTTCCGTCTGAGTCTTACACGCTTGCTCTCAGACTACTCTATGTGTGGATCAGGAAATCGTTTCGACCGTCTCAAGCCCTTGTTGGCTCTGCGGTTCAGGCCATTCGTGGCGTTGTTGATGACAGGCGTAATATCCAACCAGCACTAGTAGCGCAAAGCGTTCTGGTCTCTGGTGCGTTTGCGTGTGTTCCTTCTCTTTCAGGGGAAGTGAAACTCTTATCCTTGGAATTGCTATGCAGGCTTTTGGAAGAAGAGTGGTCACTCGTGGGATCTCAAGAAGAACTTGTTCCTGTAGTGCTTGCGGGAATCGGGTATGCTTTATCTTCTTCGTTGGATGCTCATTACGTTAGGCTGTTGGATTTCTTGTTTGGTATCTGGTTGAAAGAGGAGGGTCCTTGTGGCAGTGTCACTCATGGTCTGATGATTCTTCATTTGATCGAGTGGGTTGTGTCGGGTTATATGAGGTCTAATTATGTCGGCAAGATGTCTCTTTTTGCGAACGAGGTACTAGAGACTTCTAAGGCTAAGTATGCTGTTTATGCTGTATCCATGGCAGCAGCCGGGTTACTGAGAGCTTCCGCGGCAGGATTCAGTAGTGGTGCACAGAATTTTGAGATTGTTTCTAAGCTTAGAAATTCAGCGGAAAAGCGATTAGTATCTGTAGCTCAACTTTTAGTTTCTAATGGTAATGTTCTAGTTCCAACTACTCAGAGAGAAGGTCTTCTTTTAAAATGCTTTGCTATAGCGTTGGCTCGATGTGGGTCTGTTTCTCCCTCTGCTCCTCTGCTTTTGTGCCTCGCTTCTGCATTGTTAACTCAGGTGTTTCCTTTAGGCCAGATATACGAATCATTCTGCAAAGCTTCTGGCAAAGGTCCTATTGGACCAAGACTCATTTGGGTCAGGGAGCATCTTTCTGATGTTATCTTCAAGGAATCAGGGGCCATGACAGGGGCTTTCTGCAATCAATATGCATCAGCAAGTGAAGGGAACAGATATATTGTGGAGAATATGATTTGGGATTTCTGTCAAAATCTCTACTTGCAGCACCGTCAAATTGCTCTGGTGCTTCGTGGTGTAGAAGATACATTGCTTGGAGACATAGAGAAAGTTGCAGAATCGTCGTTCCTTATGGTTGTCGTCTTTGCGCTAGCTGTTACAAAACAATGGCTGAGTCCGATAGTGTCTGAAGAAAGAAAGATGGAGACATCAGTCAAGATATTAGTTTCCTTCTCCTGCGTAGAGTACTTCAGGCATATTCGTTTACCTGAATACATGGAGACAGTTAGAGAGGTGATTTCACGTGTCCAGGAGAATGATGCTACTTGTGTTTCATTTGTAGAGTCCATTCCTGCCTATGATAGTTTGACGAATCCGAAAGGTTTGAGAGAAATCAATTGTTTTCTTCGATTCCCATATCTTTTGTTTGTAGGCTGGTACATTCATAAGATTTTTGAATCTTTTTATTTTCATCTGCAGACTTGTTTACGCAGAGGATAGAATATGAATGGTCAAGAGATGATGTGCAGACATCTCGAATATTGTTTTATCTTCGAGTAATCCCAACTTGCATTGGACGGTTATCTGCTTCTGCCTTCAGGAGAGTCGTAGCATCAACCATGTTTTTGTATCCTAGAGAGAAAAAAAATAGAGAAGTCCTTACTCTGTTTTCTTTAACCACAAGTATGATCTTTCCTATTCCTTAACAGTCCCGTGGCTAGATATATTGGGCATCCTAACAGAAAAGTGGCACGAGCATCTCATACTTTGTTGGTAGCATTTTTCTCTTCAGCAAAAGATTCAGAGGAGGACGAAAGAAACCAACTCAAAGAACAACTTGTTTTCTACTACATGCAACGATCTTTGGAGGTACATACGAAACAGAATAATGGATGCAATGTAGCTTTTTTTTTTCTGTTGTTCATCACTAATTATGTATGGTTCAGGTTTATCCTGAGATCACACCTTTTGAAGGTTTAGCTTCCGGCGTTGCAGCCTTGATCCGACATCTACCTGCAGGAAGTCCAGCTATATTTTACTCTGTTCATAGCCTTGTTGAGAAGGCTTCTACATTCAACACCGATGCATTGCAAGGAAGAAAGTCTGATCCCGGTAATCAAATTCTTGAGTTGCTTCTGCGACTTGTCTCTCTGGTTGATATACAAGTAAGTTTCTTCTCCGGCCATCTCCATCCACTTGAGCAGCTACTAGCAAATGGCTCATATGGTGATGTTTCTCTCTCTCTCTGTCTTTGTATGCGTAATTTGTATCCCTTGGTTCAGGTGTTGCCATATCTGATGAAGTCATTGGCACAGCTAATTATAAAGTTACCGAAAGAAAGGCAGGACATGGTGCTTGGTGAGTTGTATGGTCAGGTGGCTGAGTCAGACGATGTGATTCGCAAGCCTTCTTTGGTATCTTGGCTACAGTCACTGAACTACTTATGTTCTAATAGCCGGACAAAAGGCTCAGCTTCTGGAACCACGATAGACACTTCCAACCAGTTGGCTGCTCGGCTCTAGTGATCTCCTCATAGTTTGCAAACTTGTGAAATCGAATTAATGTTTCTTCTATATTTTGTTAAGTTTTTTAATCTAACCATATCTTTATTATTTTTTTTTTTAACTATACTAATCTGTCATCTAAAATATATGTACGACTTAATAATGTTCAAATTATTATGTTTGACATTTATTCATTGATTTTGGTTATAATTTGGAACTAATCATTTGGAATCGAACGACGAGAGGTGTACTAGTGTTGTTAGTGCCAAACCACTAAAATGTCACACTGGTAAAGCTCTTTATGAATTTTAAAAACATTTTATTTCACACTGGTAAAATAGTAAATGTCACACTGGTAAAGCTCTTTATGAAATTTGAGGACATTTTATTTCTCTAATGACCACAATCGTCAGTTCGCCACATTGAGAAAATACGATCAGAAGAAACCTTTGTATATTTTGACCCAAAAAAAAAAAAGAAACCTTTTTATATAAAGTGTCAAATAAAAAACATAAAACAGAAATTGCACAAAACACTTGGCACTCTCAGGTTGATCCAAGAAAAAAGAAGGAGCAGTCACAAAACGGAGAGTTTCGGCGAGGGTTTCTAGAACTTTCTATATATTTGTAGGCGAAGGCCATTATGTGACCGTCACTCACTACCCACAATTTCTGATTCATCCGCTTTGTTGTTGTCTCACTCAGTCTCAGGTAGCTTTCTTAACTTTCTTATTGTGTTTATCTGTTGGATCTGTTAAGCTTTCTTTGTTTTATCTACGTGCTTGTGACTTTGGCCTTGAACAGTGATTGAACTTTTAGTCACATTTTAGGGTTTTACTTTCCTTTTCTTAGATGAATGATGCGGCTGGATCCTTGGCTGTTCTTTGTTTAAGAAGCTATCACGTCGCTTAGGTCACGAATTTGAACTTGAAACCATGTTTCCGCTTGCTAGCTAGGTCTTGATTTGTTGTTCTGTTGGTCTCTGTCTCTGCTTTTGCTTAATGTATGATGGCTCTGAATGTCTTCTTCTGCACGATCCTGCTCTGGTTGTCTGACCTAGTTAGAAAGCTTCTCTTGCTTTCCCTCTCTTTCACAAATGCCTCTTAGGAAAAGTTAACGACTTTCGGGAAACAAATGCTTCACGGATATGTTACTGAACATTTTGTTGTTGTTTGATTACATATCAGTGCAGGGTTCAAGTAATTGGAGAAGATGTCTGCAGGGGATCATCCAGAGCATCATCCAGATTGCGTACGAGCAAGGAATGCCCAAGAAGACCTTGGTAACTTGAAGTTGCTTTCTTTGCTAGTCATTTAGAGAAGAGACAAAACAGCTGTGTACACAACATGTATGCGTTGATTGATTGGGCCTGGTTTTGGGTTTTGCAGATCCATCTGAAAGAGCGGCTGTGATAGCGGTTAGCCTGATAATCTGTGCTCGGGGTATACTGAAACTCGACAGTGTGGGTACTCAGTACGCAGCTCAGTATTTGGTGGACTGCGCTGGTCCCAAGAAGGAGCGAGAAGCTGCTGCTCCACGGCACTCCACGCTAACAATGCGAGACTGCCTTGAGTATTTGGTGGAGGTCAATACTCCCAAGACGGAATCCGAGCAGAGGGAGTTTGAGGAACGACGCCGCATGCTGACTGTGAAAGACTGCCTCGAGTGTGCCTTCAGAGATGGGATGCCGTTAAGCCGACACTGGACGCACTTGGGATGCGTGCACAAGCCTCCCCCGTTTGCTCATCTGATTCCTCGAGTTCCCATGAAAGGACAAGTGGTTGAGGTTAAGACATTGGATGAGGCGTTTAAGCTCTTGAGGCAGCAACCGGTTGGAGCGAAGCTGCATGTCTTCAGTCCGGAGATCGAAACTGTTGGAGAAGATGTACACTACTCTCTCTCTGACTCTCTCTAGTTAGTTCAAATTTGAAGCTTTCAGATTGATAAAAGTCTTGTTGTGTGGCAGGGACTTTACGAGGGCCCGTCAGGTCCAGGATCACGCTATGTCGGACTTCGAGACGTGATGATAACTGGGATGAAGAAGTTCGAGGGAGTTCCTGTTGCGGAGGTGCAGATATGCTACAAGAAGGATACGTTTTCCGTCAAGGTATCTGCAGTTCGTATGTTGACCTCACTTGGTGGCGACGACTCTCAGCTCACTGAGCCGACGGGTCTCCTTGTGGACTTCATCATCCCGCGCTTTTCCAGCTAGTAAGTAAGCAAGTATCTAGACAAATATATATGCTAAGCTAAATAAGTTAAGTATCATGTAAGTGGAGTATCATGAGAACCACCTTATGCTAGTTGTGGAACATGTTTGTAGTAAGTTAAGATGATTATTCCACGAGACTTTTATCTTTTGATTAATGATGCTGCTACTACTATAAAATCTAAAATCGGTCTGTTAAGATGACGACATTGTCTTTACGTATTTTATCCTCGGATTCTAAACTGCTTGATTCTTTAATCGTACTTTTTCTTCTTTCACGCTTGACACATAAGTTGGTTATGTTTGGGCATATGATTTGTAAATTAATCAAGATTTTCGGGAGGTTCATCGTCCGCCTGCTACAGTTTTATTAAACAACTCTGTGCCATGATTACAAATTTGACATTGTTTTATTTGTGTGCACCAAACAAAAGAGAAACTAATCGTTAATCAATCATATTGGTAATCTCAAGCATAGCTAATTACTATTGAACCCAATCACAATTAGCTTAACAGGTTAGAAATGATTAGGTTATAAATTGAGATTCAAATTTGTTTTTATGAATTGATTTTGCTCAACAATGTCTAGAAAAGCCAAGAAAGAAAATGCAAAAATTTATGTCTCACTATCACATGTATCGATCATAAACATAAGTATTCAAAGAAATAAAATCTTATGGATGTACCAGCCTACAAAGAAAAGATATGAAGTTTCCCTAAACATGTAGTAAAGAGTACAAACAAAAGATCTGAAGTTAACTCCAACATGTAGTAAAGAGTAAGATGACATTATTATTCTAATATTTGAGATCACGAGCTTCATGAATTTTGTTGACTAGCAGTCAAGATGGCATTAACATTTTTTAATGGACATTTACCAAATATAGTATAAATGAGCAGACATTTAACCTAATACATATCATTTGCATAACTTTCTGAGTTATTGTTTCCATCAATCAAGTTGCTCTGGTGTTTGCCATATCTAATTATCTGAAGTAGCAAGTTATAGTAAGTTTTATGGAAGCAAACTTATTATTGTTTCTAGATAACTTCTTTTAAAATGTTATAAATAAATTGAGAGATTGAAAAAACTTTATCAATAAATCGAGATATATGTTGATGCGTATACATATTTGCAGTCAACTTCTCTCCATCATAAGTGATGATGAGAACATTTTCAAAGTTCAAATTCCGATAAACATTTTGTAGATGATGCAGAAAGCCTATACCTGAAATAATATATCGGGTTAGATTTAGAAGGGGATATGAAGGATGATCTGAAACTTCTTCCCACAAATGACTTATTTGATAAAAGTTTTATAAATATAAACCGCTTCTCTTGAAGATAACGTGTTATTACTTTCACATAATTTTAGAAGGTCATCTAAGCTACATTCACATGGTTGTAGAATGAAACCAATAAAACTTAATTCTCAAATGCTGAATAACATAATAACGAATAATGTTTGAATGACTGTCGGTTTTATATATATTTTTTAATTTTGTTAGTAATCGTGGTAATTTTTTTTTCTTCTTCATAACGACATGATGTTGATTATAAATACCCTCAACATTATAGTTCCATCACTTTTTATTGTTAATGCTGTACAGGTTATGCACCCATAATAGTCAAATCGTTAATGGTTGATAGCTTTTTTATGTCAGTTCTTTTTTTTTGGTTGAAAATGTGAAGAAATCAAAGATGTTGTTTAAGTATAGTATTGATGAACTTATTTTTTTCTTGTTCTCCATCTACATCTTTCAACACTTCTTATCCTTATTATCATCTATTTAATTTTTTTTTCCCTTAGGTTTCCAACCTTATAAAATATTTTGAGTTCATACCACAATCCAAAGATAGTAATCGCAGAATTAAACATACTTTTCTTAGGTCTCCAACCTTTCTTATCACACAGCATAAGAAGTTCATTTGTCCGAGCTACAAACACTTGTCAAATAGGCTCATCACACATCCAATTAAGCACTTGCTCATCAAAATACTATTAAATCATTTTTCTTGGTAGCAGATTTTTTTCCACTATAGTGTCAAACTTGCATGACGTCAACTAATAATTTTTGTAATGAGAACATTACAATAGTATTATTGATCGATTACAATATGTTCAAAAGAATCGAAACATCAATTCAATTTTTTAAAGGGTTAGAAGTAATAAAACCCCCTAACTAAACTTCAATCCAGAGCTAGATTTCGTTTGAACGGTAATGTCGTATCTGTTTTCCTTGTTCAATGTGAATCAATAACGACTTTTGTTTTCCTTACGCAGAATCTGTGTCATAGCTGAAAATATATCTCCTATTGATGTCATAACTCACATTCCGATCCTGTGCCAAGAAAAACACATCCCTTACGTCTATGTTCACTCAAAGGAAGTAAGTTTCTCATTTGATTTCTGCATTCAAGTTATAAGGGCATTGAACCATTTTGCAACTCTCAACACTTTTAAAGAGATTATCATTAAATCTTCTCATTCTTACCAATTTCTCGTTTCCATAGGATCTTGCCACTGCTGGAGCGACCAAGCGGCCAACATGTTGCCTTCTGATCCTTACACAGCCTGCCAAAGGAGAACTAAGCCCGAAAAAAGAGAAATTCAAGACAGACTATGATCAAGTTGTTGAAGATGTCAAAGAACTTGCTTCTTCCACTGTGTATTAGTATTGCATAATGATCCAAATTTCTCTTTACTACCTTATGTCTCATTGTGGTCTCCATTTTCTTCCATGCCTGCGAGAACAAAATATTTGAATGTTTCCAAATGGTAATGTAAAACAATTCAGTCTCTTATTATTGGCTCATCTTACATTGTCAAGACTGAATTATCCAGTGTGTACCACAAACCCTATTATTTACATCATTCCACATTTTTTTTTTCACGAAGCCTGGGTTTTGATTGTGAAGTAACTGACTGTTACAGAAACTATTTCAGTCGGCTGTAGGCAAAAATGCCAAAGCAGCCAATGACCAAAGCAACAAGAACAGGTACAGTGGATGATTCGAGGTTTTGTGTTGTGCTGTTTGTTCTGTTGCTGTCTAGTCTCTCTATGCGAGACCTTTCTCCAACATACTCCCGAAGAAGATTGCTCAGTGTGTCCATTTGGTGCATTATCTGACGTTGTCCACGAGCAACGAGTATAACCTGTCCAAATGATAAAAGTATATATAAATAAAAATATGTTTCAGATAGACTATCTTATACATTGATAGACCCATCCACCGAGTCTAGAACTCTCTCTCGGATCCACCTAATGCTCGACAGGAACTAAACAGAACTGAAGTGATTATAAATTGATGCATCTGATGTTATTGTCTATAGGAGTGAAGCGATCAAGAATGAAATTGAGCATACGTGATTCTGATTTTGGAGAGTGGTAGAACATACCTCTTCCATCAGAGGAGATTCCCTTACGAGCTGAGATGAGGATGAGGACAGCGATAAGAGGGACCCGTTACCGTTTTCGATTGGTAAAGCCAAGTTGTGTTGACTACCTGAAGCAGCTATCCTGTTGGGGATCTTGGAGTTCAACTCTTCAATGCGGGATGTGAATTCATCCATCCTCTCATTAAGTGTCGATATTTGGTCTGACAGCTGAGTGATAACACCCTATAGAATTCATCCATCCTCTCATTCAGTGATTTTATTCTAAACCAAAGTTATCACTTTGCAACAACAGAAGAACCATAGACTGAAAGATCTCAGGGGCAAAAACAGAGGGACCACTTTACCTGATTTGGAAGATTGGCAGGTGAAGCAGGGGCTCTGGCATCTAACATTCTATTGTTAACAGCAAGTCTTGTCAAGTTAGGCAAGACTTTGTGTCTTTGGTTTGAGTAAGACTTTGACACACCGCTGTTAGAATGTGCATCATTACACAAGTCAGATGATTCCCTGACATAACATATGTCGTCTTTATTCTTAGATTCTGTCTTTTTCTCAAATTTAGCCAATCATGGAGAAGGACTAGAGGATACCCGTGAAGATATTTCATTCTACTATCAGCAGAAGCTCTTGAGAGGGCTTCTTTAGGGCTAGAAACTGTATCATCATCTAAGCTAAGTTTTGTCTTCAAGTCATCTGGCAAAGCCTGAAACATGACCAGGGTGCCCGAAAAAATCAAGTTACCATGATGATATAATCAGCCGGATTTTTGTGTGATAAAACACAACTCATACCATAACATCATTCACAAGTCTTTCAAGCTGTATCTGTTCAATATATGTATGTGGAACATATGAACCTTCCAATCCAAGTTGGTCTGCCACATTTTTGACGAAGGAACGATCTTTACCTTGTACCTTCATAAACGAGTTGGAAAAATAATTGGTTATGAGTTTCAAAAGACCACCCCAAAGACAGTATAAGCTTTTAGAGAGAGCAAGAGAAGCAGATACTACCTGAACATATGTCCGGTTCAGTTGTTCCAACCAATCAGTCTTCACAATAACCTTGTCATCATCAAAGATATGACTTTTCCGTTTCAAGATAGTTGCAATGGTATAACCCAGTGCCATTAATCCTCCCAGAAGGCGAACGCTGACTTCAAAAGTTATTCTGGGTGATATAATGAATGGACGATCTGTAACCCACTCCTGAAAGCAATACATCAAACGGTAATCATTCATTAAATCGACCAACCATTCATTCAGTAGTGATATGATATTATAATGTAGCTGCCATCTATTCGTAATCTGATATGGTGTTTATACATAAGGAAAATACTCAGAACAAGTATTGGCCAAACCTCAAACATGAGATTGTATTTTCCATCCCGGTTCCTCATTCTGAGGTATGATTGGCATGCTTCAGGGTCCTCGCCTGGTGGTAGCAAATAGATGTCATAAGTTTCCTCTGTACGCTCCTTGAAATCTTCAGACAGAGCTGCCTTCATTTGTTCTGGCGTCACAGCCTTTGTTGACTACAATAAGATAACAGAACTCACTCCAACCAGAAAATGTTGCTGCTATAATACTGCTAGTTGCAGATAAAATAAAATACCACAATATTACATGTTTAAACAATATAAATGTTGTAACCTTTAGAATATATGTTGGGTTCTGAAAGCCACTGAAGGGGTTGAACTTGTTTTGGATCTTAATATGAGCTGTCTTCAGATCAGGTTCAATAAACGCCTTGTACATAGGATACACCTGGTTGGAGAAAAACACATAAGCGGAATTTTTTTGTCATCATTACATGTATTATCTATATATGAAGCGACTCCAAACAGCAGGGATAAGAGCAAGGGAGATTAATCAGGACCCGGAAATAAAATATAGCAAAAGATTAGCATGAAAACCGTCTCAGATATTTGATGAATTATTTCTTCAGGTTCCTGGCCAGCACGTTGAATGTCCCGCAAAACACGCTTGACAAGATCAAAATGCACTCCACCAGTGACAGAGACACGAAGATCGAGCAAAGGCCGTAGCTTTTCACTCAAAGCGTATATGCCTTCAAGAATAACAATGCGAGAGCTAGGCACCTCAAGCGTCCTATACAAAGCACGAAAGGAACCGAGAAGTCAGTGCATATCTGTAGCTCTTATTCAACATATACTTGTTCAAAAGACTACTAATCAATATGCCGAAGACATATAAATCACTCCTTCCCCCAACAAGATGCAATGGGGATTGTTAACGTTAAAATCAAAACCATAGAATTAGTACTTTTACTTAGTCCATCAGGCATCACTAAGTCAAGTGGTTCCAGGAATTCAAGTATAATGCCACAAGTTATAAGCTGTGGAAAAAAAACCAGTACCTGTAACCAATTCTCGAACTCGACTTGAAGTCATATATTGGAACCTGAACAGATTTTCCATCCTTTAGGCCATGTATATTGTCAAGAAGTGTATCATAGTCGGTCAACCGTGGGTCTGCAACAATCAACAAAAGCAAACATTTCCAAAAACTTGTTCACTATATCAGCTTATAGGGCTAAGAAAAAGAAATCATTGAATCACGCCATAACAAGAAGGGTGCATACCATCAAAGTTTCCATCGATCACACGAGTACCATCATTGTAGTTGTCCATGTTTATGATAGCGATACTAGGCATGAAGTTGAGGATTTTCTCAGTGAAGATGGTTTTTCCAGCTCCAGAAGGACCAGCTAACCCAACCAAAATGAGCCCATCGTTCTTCTGAGCCAATAACTGGCAAGCGCGGATAACAACGTAGAAACCCTTTTCAAAAGACAATGGATCCTCAATTGGAACTATCTCGTATCTTCCAGAGTCCTTTCTTTTAACAAGCTGAACCTGATCCCTCAACAGGCCATGCCTCCGGCGAGGTGACAGAGCAACGGAACTATCGAGCACCATTGCAAGTACCTGGGAAACAGAACCGATACCCAGAAGTTGGAATGAAGAAGAGAAAGGCTCAAATTACAGTAAATGACAAAAAAATTCCGGTTTTCAATTCGATACGAGTAAGCTAAGAATTCTTGTTTTAATCATCATGATCATCACATCACTTCAACTGAAGATGCATAAGAACAGTTACCAACCAATCTACTATTTAAGTCTACGGATCAAAATATGAGCTGAAATTTCATTCGATTTAACAAGATCGACCGACATGCGTATCAAAAATAATCAAAATGTAGGAATTGAGCTTCAAATTTACTGCAACGCGACTTCGAGAACCCTTTAACCCATGCGATCAAGACGAGTGAATCAAACAAATACTCAACGGATAACATTCCGAATCTGATCGTAAACAAAAGGATCATAGAACAATAGAGACGACAAAACGATAATCTATTTATAAACGTTTCAGTCTTCACCTACCGCAAAAACAATCAAATCGGAAAAAGCTTCGCGCGAGATTACGCAAAAAGCTCCGGCACACGAAAGAAAGAGATGGGAAGAATATAGCTGAAGATATTTTCGTAAACAGTCAATGAGTGTAAGAAAGATGATCGATAGAGAAAGACGGCAGTTCATAAGCTAAGCGATGACGAGAAATGACCAGAGAGATCAAACAGTAAACCACTCATACCAGTTCATTTGAAATTGAATTTTATCCGGTTTCTTATTCACCTGGTTTTATCAAACATTGGACCAGACCGAAAATTAGGATATAATTAATCAAAACGCTTAACTTAACCAGAAACTGAATAAAACAAGATATAGCATTTAAACCAAAATGGATCATATATTCCTCTAATTCAACTGAACCGAAATAAACCGAAAATGGATTTACGAATCAATGCGAACCGTTAGTTAATCCACGTAACGAGTTTGACCGTCACACGTCACTCACGGTGAAGCAGCGACGACGTGGAAGAAAGTCTACCTTCTCAATCCTCTTTTCTCCCTCTTTCTTCTTCTTTTTCTTTTTTAATTCCAGTGGAAATTTCGCAGCACAGAGAGAAAGAAGAGAGAAAATGGCGAAGCTACTGCTTCTTCACGCGCCTCATGTAGTACCTAAATTTAGTAGTAGGTCACTTGTCTCCGCGTCGGCTTTATACAGAAGACCTCTCCTCGCGACTTCCCAATTCTACTTTTCGGATTCGCATTCATCATATATCGTCCCTCGTCTTCGTTCCCCCTACAGTCGGAGGTTCTCGGCTCGTGCCTTCGACGATTCACCTGCTTCTTCGGCGGAGATGGAGAAAGAGCAGCAGGATGGAGTTTCCCGGGAAAGAGCCGAGGACTATCCGACCGGAGAAATGGATTATGAGAATAGGAACGCGTGGGAGAGTTTCGTTGTGAAGCTGCGGATGCTATTCGCTTATCCATGGCAGCGTGTTCGCAAGGGAAGCGTCTTGACCATGAAATTGCGCGGCCAGGTTTCGTCATTCGTTTCCTCGTCTCTTCTCATTTGTGTCTTTATTTAGACGCTTAGGACTGTTGATTTTTTGATTCCGGGTTGCGATTTTCAGTGAGCTTAATTGTTTTGGATAACTACAATGTATCAAATTTTACATTTTTGGGAACAGAACTTCTTATACGATTTGTTGTTATATTCCTCTATAACTGCAGGAAGGTGAAATTCTTTTGAATGTTGTTTTTTTCTATGTTCAGATCTCTGATCAGCTAAAGAGCCGTTTCTCTTCAGGGCTTTCACTGCCCCAAATCTCCGAAAATTTCGTGAAAGCTGCATATGATCCTCGTATTGCTGGAGTCTACCTTCACATTGAGCCTTTGAGTTGTGGGTGGGGAAAGGTTGAGGAAATTCGAAGGCATATATTGGATTTTAAGAAATCAGGTAGCTCATGAATCTACTACTTCTCTATTATACATCAAAGTTTATAGCTTTCATGATTTCTGTGAGCTAATTGATCACATCTTTATCAGGCAAGTTCATTGTTGGGTATATCAACATATGTGGACTGAAGGAATATTATCTTGCCTGTGCATGCAACGAGCTCTATGCTCCGCCTAGTGCCTATTCCTTTCTATATGGTTTGACTGTTCAAGCATCTTTTCTTGGAGGTAAGGATTGTTTCTTCTTTGGCTGAGTTTCTCATATGATAAATAGTTATTACAAGTCCTTTCTGTGTTCTATATCGTACAGAACTATATGCAGTCTTTCATACTCTGTGCGGGTCATCCTTCATATATTGAGCTAGCTTTTTGCCCAACGTTTTCATTTGTTTCTTTTATGTGATCGTATCTCCACTCCCACTCTCGTCAGTGAAGTTCCTAAAGCTGAATATGATAGATACAAGGCAGTATAGTTATCGTTGACTAGTTATTTTTTCAAAAATGTAGGTGTCTTCGAGAAAGTGGGGATTGAACCTCAAGTTCAAAGAATTGGAAAATACAAAAGTGCTGGAGATCAGCTTTCTCGCAAAAATATATCTGAGGAAAACTATGAGATGCTGAGCGTGCTACTTGATAACATTTATGCAAATTGGCTGGATGGTGTTTCTGATTCAACTGGTGCGACACTTGTTCACAATGTCCATATGGTTTTTAACAGTTTAGTTCTCTCCTAAGTGGCTTCTGCTTAGGACTATGCAGGAAAAAGGCGAGAAGATGTTGAAAGTTTCATCAATCAAGGAGTTTATGAGATTGAAAAATTAAAGGAAGAGGGGCTGATTAAGGATATTCTGTATGATGATGAGGTAATAAGATTTTTGTTCCCTTATTGTAGATGGGTTTAGTACCTTCTACTTGTTATTTGTCCTTTATCATGAACTTTTCCTTTTGGTTTGACATCTCTGTTTCTGATCTATATCATTCAATTTAAATTCTCCTGCAGGTTATATCAATGCTGAAAGAGAGGCTTGGGGTCGAAAAGGACAAAAAGCTTCCTACTGTTGATTACAAGTAATTAACTCTTACTCTTGAGGAATTGTCAAACTGAGTCTTACTGAATCAAGGGCTATTATCTTTGCATATACAATTGGCTCAAGCCTTGTACTGTTGGGTGATGTACATAATGGGTCCTAGCGCCTAGGTGGTCCCTGCATAATTGGGTAATCTTGATTTAGAATTAGTGTAATATGGAGAAATGAGTATCCTGTGACAGCAAGAAAGTGTAGATCGTATACTTTCTCTTTTGGTTCACAATGTGGGAGAAATAAATGTTTTACGAACGTTTTAGTAACTGGTGATATGTATACTCAGTTGACATCAGGCTTTCTGTTGCTTACTTTACTTGTTTGGGTTTTCTTCTACGGTTCACGCAGTTTTATAAATTTTACGGGCTAGTAACATGCACATATTTTCGATTGATATACTTAATACTTTATGCAGGAAATACTCAGGTGTTAAGAAGTGGACTCTTGGTCTAAGCGGCGGTCGAGATCGAATAGCTATTATTAGAGCAGGGGGAAGCATATCTCGGGTTAAAGGTCCGCTAAGCACTCCTGGTTCAGCTATCATTGCAGAACAACTAATTGAGAAGATCCGCAGTGTAAGAGGTAGGTATTTCTTTTTTCTTTAATAATGTTTTCATCTACAAATATACTGTTGTGTGTTCTTCATCAGCAGCTCAAACATTTCTATTTCCTCCTTTCTTTTGAAGAGAACAAAAAATATAAGGCTGCCATCATCCGAATTGACAGTCCTGGGGGTGATGCACTCGCTTCTGATTTGTAAGTAGTTTTAATCGATCTTCAATACTGTGTGAGTGTACCTTTTGTGATCTAACATGTCATGGAAGGTTTGGCTTCACCTTTTAACTTGATGAACTCAGGCTCGTTACCTAATATCATTTTTCATCTATGGAAGTTTAGATTAAGAAAATGCTATTGAGTGTTCAGAAACTTTTCATCTATGGTGGTCATGTTAGGATTTGCATTTAGATAGCTTTGGAAAATCTTCTAGGCTTTTATTATAATATACTACGTATTGGTACACAGAATGTGGAGGGAGATCAAACTACTGGCTGAAACAAAACCGGTCATCGCATCAATGTCAGATGTGGCAGCAAGCGGAGGCTATTATATGGCAATGGCTGCAAACACCATTGTTGCTGAAAGTTTGACATTAACTGGCTCAATTGGAGTTGTCACAGGTGATCCTACTTATTCTAACTTGCCAAAGAGAAAGTTGTGTGCTCTGCATCTTTGTACAACTATCTCTTTCACTCCTGCCATGCTTGATTGCTTTTGTTGTGTTCTTGTTGTTGCAGCAAGATTTACCTTGGCCAAACTATATGAAAAGATTGGCTTCAACAAGGAAACTATATCTAGAGGAAAATATGCTGAGCTTTTGGGGGCTGAAGAGAGACCTTTTAAGTAAGTGACCTCACTCCAATTTGATGCCAACTTGGTTTTCGTTGCTGTCGAATTCGATCCTCGAGACTGCTCTTTAAGAACTTGTATGTTCCTTTGATTCGTAATTATCAAAGAAAAACGCAATTATGTTTTCAGGCCAGAGGAAGCAGAATTGTTTGGGAAGTCTGCACAGCATGCATATCAGCTTTTCCGGGATAAAGCAGCCTTATCAAGATCGATGCCTGTATATATGTTCCAATCTCTCTCCTGTATTGCTATTGTTAGTGACTTTTCGAGACTAATGTTTTGTTCTGTCATGTTCTTAGGTTGACAAGATGGAAGAAGTAGCACAAGGCAGAGTCTGGACCGGTAAGGATGCACATTCTCGTGGTCTAGTCGACGCTCTTGGTGGGCTCTCACGAGCTATAGCCATCGCTAAGCAAAAAGCTAATATTCCTCTTGACAAGAAGGTTTGCCTCTAAAACTCTCTTTTTGTAACAAATCTTCCAATCTCAAGACAGCACAAAGTAGCTTTTACATTAGGTACTTTGGTTACTCTTGTGGTAAATTCAGGTAACACTTGTCGAGATTTCGAGACCTTCTACATCACTACCAGATATCTTAAGCGGTGTAGGAAGCTCGATGATTGGAGTGGACAGAACATTGAAAGGACTACTCGATGAATTAACAGTCACCGAGGGAGTTCAAGCTCGAATGGATGGGATCATGTTTCAGCAACTTGGCCGAGATTCTTTAGCAACTTCTATCATTGATCTTCTTAAAGATTATCTCAGCTCTCTCCGGTGATTTCAACCTTCCTTGTGAAGCCAAGACTTCTACCGAAACTCATTTTGATCCGTAATTAAAGAAACATCTGTGAAGCCACCAGACTTAATAAAACTTCATAAATGAAATTAAAACTGATAGCATCAAGTTAAAACCGATGATACATAATGTTAATGTGAAACAAGTTACAAGTCTAAACAATTTACAGTTTCAGCTAATCTCTAACCTATATATATTGTGCATGCATTTTTCTCTCTTACAACACCAAAGAGAATCCAGAAGCAACGATGAAGGCCTCCATGAGCATCATCATCTTCTTCGCAGTTGTTCTCTGCATCTCTGCAATCTCCTTAGCCAAGATGAGCCCTGAGGAAGCTTGCATTAGAAAAAACATCGGTCAATCTCTTTCTCCTTCTCCTTCAAACGAAACCGATACAACTCATTTCGAGGTGGCAGACGAAATATGCAGAGACGAGACACGAATCATCATGTACTTCTTGAAACTGAACGGAAAGTTCCCGCCTTACTACGTCAGGGCATTGTGCAATGTATTTGGAAACGACGTAAACAAACTGAAGGAATACGTTACTAAGAAATGGCTGAATCATTCGGAGAAGCTCATCAATAGCTTAACTTGCATAAGAAGAAACATCTTAATTGTCGAGAAGAGCCCTGTGGAAGCTTGCATTAGAAGAAATATCGCTCAGTCGCTTTCTCCATCTCCTTCAAACAAACCCGAAACATCTCGTTTCAAGGTCATGGAAGACCAATTTTGCAGTGAGGAGACACGAGTCATCATGTACTTCTTGAAACTCAACGGAAAGTTCCCAGCTTACTACGTCAGGGCGTTGTGCAATGTATTTGGAAACGACGAAAAGAAACTTAAGGAATACGTTACTAAGAAATGGTTGAACCATTCGGAGAATCTCATCAATAGCTTAACGTGTGCTTCTCGATAACTACCTGTTATTTTTGAGGGATTACATGAGTCAAGAGCTTTAGAATAATTTTTCTTAAACTGCTTTTCTTTCTTCGTTACAAATTACCAACAAAAGTGGTCGTGAGTGTTCCCAAGTAAACAATGCTTTTATATTCATTCACTTCACTGACTAACGTATCTCCGTAATATTCTCCGAGAGATATACGCCGGAGAATCTTACCACCGGAATTGATTTTCACCGCTGACGGCTCGGTTGGGACCACTATAAGCTTCACGGAGTTCGAGGCGACCCAGAAGTCTCCACCGTCTGTTCTCCTTATGTTGTCCGGACCCGGTATCGACGGTACAAAAATCTCCCACGTGTTGGCTTTTGGACCCTTGATCCAATATCTTAAGATCCTATTCCTCAAGAACTCCCCCACCAGAACAAACTCTCCGTCGGAGCTCACGGCGCATCCGGCGGAGCCACTCAGGCCGCTCAACAAAACAGTGACGGTTTTAGTGTTTGGGTCGTACCTATAGAGCTTCCCCGTCGCATCCTTAACAGCAACGGCCAAGACAAGTTGACTGAATAAAAAGAAAAGTTATGTTTGACCGGTTAAATAAATTGACCAAATAAACCGAACCAGTACAAAACCAATTCACAAGAAATCTCAATTAACCTGGGGCCCAATCTTGTGCTGAAAGATGTGAAATAAACCAAACCAGTCACCGGATCTACATCCAAACCATCAAGGAACCGGAAAGGAAAACCGCCTGCGCTATCGGCTAGGCGTTTGGCTTGGCCACCGTGGCGTGAAACCACATATAAACCCAAGAATGCATCGGCTATGTACAAATCTCCGGTTATCTCGTTAAATGCTAAACCGACTGGTCTACCACAGATATTACCAAGAAATGTCCCAATTGCTTTATCACATAGTGACTTGTTCCTGTGAATTAATTAGCATTGAGCAGTTACTAAGATGTGTGTTATCTATAATCTATATATGTACATAAATATTGAACTAAAACATACGCTATTGGTGAAATATAAGCGAACTCTACAAAACCAAGTTTTGGTCCTTGGTACTTCAGAATTTTGCCGCCGGAGACTCCGGTGTAAGGTCCTCCACCGAGAGAATCGAAAGCGAAAGCTTCGGGTCCGGAGATTTGCGGTGGAAGCGGAATCTTCTGAAAGGTCTGAAGAGAGAAGACATGTGAATGATATGAGAAGAGATAGAGCAAAAAGCAGAGGAAGACTTTATGTGTTTGAAACATTCTGATTCATCAATTGCATCACATGAAGCATACCATCATCATTTTTATACACTCACACGGTTTGTCTTCGGTTTACTTGGACTCCAACGGATTGGTTAATGTTTGATCAGTTCTTTAATTATTAGTTCAGATGCTCCTTTTGACATTAGTCACAAGGCTTTTGTCTTTTCTCTACAATTCCCACTGTTTAAAATTTAATTAAGAAAATTTGCGTATTTTTTCTTGTCTCTTTCTCACGTGAAACCTCACCAACTTTCCAGCTAATCTGAATATACTACAAGGAATTTTCGTTTTTATTGTTATTTTTTTATATTTCTTAATCTACTGTTCCTATTTTTGTGCCAATCATTTTGAAACGTTATAACTATCTTTATTAGAATGTTATCAAACATTTAACCGGATATCTATATGATCAACGGTTTATTCATAAAACAAATCACTTATCTTTCTAAAACCCAAACTAATAATCACTTTTTAAGACTAAGAATTCCGGCGAAAGGTCCAAACAGAGTTCCGATATGAAGCTGTCCATTGAACTCGTTGACCTCGCTGACCAAAGTATCTCCAAATTGAGCTTTCAACGAAATCGTCTGAGCCACTTTACCAGCAGAACTAACTTTAACCGCCGACGGGTTTGTAGGTCCTTTGGCTGTGTTGACGACGGAAGCAACCCAAAAGTCTCCGGAAGAACCGATCCTCTTGATATTGTCAGGGTTCGAGACAGAGTTGGTAAAGTCTTCAGAAGAGCCAGCTTTAGGTCCTTTGATCCAATACCTCTTGATGTTACTCTTTGTAAACTGACTGACCAACACAAACGAACCATCCGAGCTAACGGCACATCCGGCTGAGCCACTTAGACCTTCCATCAATACAGTCACAACCTTTTTTGATGGATCGTATTTGAAGAGTTTTCCAGTAGCGTCTTTTGATGCTACTGCTTTCAACACATCCCTGTATGCATAACCAATATAATAAATGTAATTAGGCTACTTAAGTTTTAATTAAGGTTGAAATTGTTTTAAAAAAAACATCTAAGGATATAAGTCTAGTTAATATCAATGAAAGAAAAAATAAAAGTTTACCCAGGAGTAAATATTGAGCTGAAGGAAGTGAAATAAACAACGCCGGTGGTGGGATCAACGTCGAGACCATCAAGAAACAAGAAGGGCTTGCCGTTGACACTATCGGCAATCTTCTTGGCCAAACCGCCGCCGCGAGAGATGACGTGGAGACCCAACGGAGCATCTGCGACGTAGAGCTCTCCTGTTTTGTCATTGAACGCTATTCCCGCCGGCCGGCCGCATTTTTCCATGTTCTTGTTTCCAAGATCTCCATCGCACAATTGCGACTTCCTGAAATCAATTATATCATGTAAAAAAGCAATACTTAGTGGTAAAGAAAAAGGTTTAATTTGTTGTTCTGTCACAAAAAAAAAGATCGTTAATCACCTAATTGTGGGTTTTATTTTTCATATTAAAATTGAGTGCATGCATGCGTATGTTTGACTTTTAAACGTCTTGTCAATATTATTTATTACATTTATGGAATGAACTTAACATTCTGTTTTTATTTTGTCTAATAATGAAAAGATTTGTGTAAAGTCTTGATCCATCATATCCATAACAAGGCTAGAAGAACAAGAAAATACCAGGTTTTGAATTTTATTAAGTCTTTACTTTTTACTTAATTCGGTTTTAGTATGTGAGATGAAAAGAAAAATTCTTAAGGTTTTATTGCAACTACTTATAAACTAAATGACTGTAAGTCTGTAACAATCAAACACAAGGACTACGCAGAGATAACAAATTAAAAAACTTACGAGGATTCTGTGATATAGCCAAAATCGACATAACCCTTTCCAGGTATATATTTGAGGATTTTACCGCCAGAAATTCCAGTGTAGAAACCTTTTCCGGTGGGATCAAAAGCAAAACCTTCAGGGCCTGTTCTCTGTCTGGGCAACGGAAGTTTCTGAAAAGATGACGTAGCCTCTGAGAGAGCCATCGAAGAAAGGAAAAAAACAAGAAGAAGAGATATCATGGAAACAAACGACGTCATAACTTTTAGTGGTTGTGTGTTTTGTGATCAGAGCTTTGTCATCTGTGTATATATTTATAGATTTGATTTTACTACTTTTTGATCAGATGAGCTTTGTACTCGGTATTTTTATAGATATCTTCCTTTGTATTCACTCAAGTATTTATAGAGTTGAACATTTTTATAGCAGCAAATCAGACCAAACTTAGTAATTAATTGAATATAAGGACAAAAATACACCTAAACTTGATTAATTTTTTTTTATATTATGTATGGGATATCTTTTAGGTATAATGGATGAAAATTATTTTTATTTGAAACGTGATTTCACTTTTTTAATTATTCATAATATGGATCAAACTTTTACGTTTTTGAAAAATATAACTTCAAATGTTATTGATATACTATAAACGAAAACTCTTTTTAGCTCAAATATTTCAAGTATGAAATCATCGTCTATTCCATTATTATACTACTCTTTTTAAATGCATTCTTGTACCGTACTTTATCGGTATAATAATGACGATAATTTCGCATATTATTCACATAACGCGTCACACAAATTAAAATAAATATAGGTAACGTGTTAGCATTTTAAATTCTTACATTGTTTCTTTATGGTTTTATTTACGCGTCAATCTATCATTCTTCTAGTAAATGTATCTTTCAGGAACTCTTAAAAGTTTGAAGATTTTAGAGCAAATGGAGGAATTAAGATCATATAAGTGGTAACCAATCACTCTTGAGGAAAAACAAGGGTACACTAAATAAGTTTTGAATATCATTTTCTATTTTTAATTACTCAAGATTTTACATCACTTTTAAACTAAAAATATAAAAAAAAAAAATCATTGATCTACGACAGGATTTTTTTTTTCCGAAGACAATTTACCGTTGGAATTTATAGAAGAACCATCCCCTTGAACGAAAGTGGTCAAACTTTCAGAACTATCAACATTTTGGGTCGACATGCATGTTTTAAAAATTTATGTTGTCAACGGTCGGCATGATATTCAATTTTGCGGATAATTTCGTGTTCAGATCTAATTTTGACATGTAGTGTTTGGTTGGAAATAAAAGTCAGCTACTTGCAATCCACGATAACTCCTAAATAGAGTTATGGATCAGACTAAAAGGAGCCATTAACTAGTCAAATTAATAAATGCAATCCATTAACAGCTAAATAGAGTAACGAATCAGACTAAGGGTTTTCAAATGAATGAATGAGTCATTGACTCTTAATTATTTTCAACAATTTTTTTTCAAATAATGTGGAATATTAATATACTAATTGATACGTCGCATGTACCTGTAACGATGATTAGAAGCAGATTTTAAAAAGATAACGCGAAGAGTCGCTTCATATGTTGAGACGAAATCCATTCCAATAATTTACAGTACATACATATAATTTTAAATTAAACCCACGTAATTATGTTATGACATAGACATGACATAATATTTTGTAAGAAGCAACGAAAACCAGTCAAAAGAAAACGCAAATACCTAAATTTTACGCAATTTTTTTAAAAACATGACGTTTTATATATTTTCTTAAAAAAATTATATATAAAAATATAAGAAGCGTATTCTTAATTAATCTCTTAAATGTGACCACGAAACAGAAAGGAACGGAAATTTATAAGACGTGATTTAAATTTTTATTTGATATAATAATTAACTTTATTTTATATATAGATGAAACCATCGTAAGAAGATATTTCAACATGAACACAAAATTTGGGTAGTCACCTAACAACCATAGTTTATAGTGTTAATAAGTTTAAAGTTTCATAACTCCGGCAAAAGGTCCAGTAAGAGTTCCAAGATAAAGCTTGCCGTTGAACTCGTTGGCTTCGCTGACCAAAGTATCCCCAAACTCATTCTTGAGGAAAATGGTCTGAAGCACTTTTCCATTAGAATCGATTTTGACCGCCGAAGGGTCCGTCGGTACGACGACCTTGTTCTTGACCGAAGCGACCCAAAAGTTTCCAGTGGAACCGATCCTCTTGATGTTGTCGGGGTTCGAGACCAAACTTGTGAAGACATCATCAATAGTTCCAGCTTTGGGTCCTTTGATCCAATACCTCTTGATGTTACTCTTTATGAACTCGGTAACCAGCACGAACGAACCATCTGAGCTCACGGCGCAACCAGCCGCACCGCTTAGACCTTCCATTAGTACAGTCACGGCTTTGGTCGCTGGGTCATATTTGAATAGCTTTCCGCTTGCGTCTTTTGCTCCTACTGCAACTAACACTTCTCTGCATCGCATAACCAACAATAATTAGTACTAATATTCTCAAAAATATTGATTACATTAACGATACAATCATACAAATATATATATATAGAAGATCGAATATACTCTACCTGGGGCCGAACTTTGAGCTGAATGAAGTGAAGTAGACGACGCCGGTGGTGGGATCAACGTCGAGACCGTCGAGAAACTTGAAGGGCTTTCCGTCGACAGTACTTTCGGCGATCTTTGTGGCCAAACCTCCGGCGGGAGCGATAACGTGAAGACCCAATGGAGCATCAGCGACGTAAAGTTCACCTGTTTTCGGGTTGAAGGCTATTCCCGCTGGTCGGCCGCATTTTCCGGCTAAAGCGGTTCCAAATACTCCGTTGCACCATGACGAACTCCTAAAGTAACCAAACCAACTTTTAGTCAAAAAAAAAAAAAAAAAAAAAAAAAAAAATGTAACCAAACCAATTAAACTTTTAAACCAAAAACGTCAACTTAAAAACTAAACAGACAAAATCAGATTTAACACCAGACAAAATCTTTATATTAGAATTGATATATGACGGTAAGACCAATGAATTTCAATCTTTTTCAAAGAAGAAGCGCAATCATCAAAAGATATAATCTTGGAAAGAGAAAACTTACGAAGTCTTGGTGATCTGTGCAAAATCGACAAAACCCTTCTCGGGAGTATACTTGAGGATTTTACCACCGGAGACTCCGGTGTAGAATCCTTCTCCGGTGGAATCAAAGGCGAAAGATTCAGGGCCTGACCTCTTTCCCGGCACCGCAAATTTCTGGAAAGTTGTGTTATCGGAGAAAACAGCGGACGAAAGAGAGAGAAGAATCAGAGAAATCACGAAGACAGAGGACGTCATACCGTATTCTTATCAAAGAACTGTAGAATATTTTGTTGGTACAAGAATCTGTGTATGTACGTGTATTTATAGAGTTGATTTGAAAATAAGAAAACGGAAAAGCAATAGTAGAGATTTTTACTGTTTTCGCCGTTGACCAATAATATGGAAAGGATTTTATTGTTTCCTTTTATAGATGGGGAGGGAGATGTGTTTCATTTTCTGGGGGATTTGACAGATTTTGTGGATAATAAAAGTAAAATAATTGTAATCTACATTAAATGATGAATATTGGAAGTATTTAATTATTTATAAAGTAACAAATCAGATTAGCTGAATTCAAAAAAAGAAAACGCCCAAATGATATTCAAATAGTTTGGTTTCCATTGAAATTTATTGTTATTGTGATAGAGTTTTTCAAGAATTATATAAAACACACTTTCATAATACTACAGAGGATAAAAATACACAATTTTCTTACAAATTCAACAAAATTCTATATAATTTTAATAATTTTAAGCTCTAAATGGTATAAAACTTGAAATTGAGTTATTGAAATAAAAGTGATTGTGTTATAGAAAATCACTGAATCAGTGCTTCCCATTTGAAAAAGCAATATTTTGTATTTAGTTTTTTTTATATATGTGGAATAAGTGACATGATATTCATTTCCATTAAAAGTAAATGGTTTAGTTTCAGAAAAATATATATTAAATTTTTACATTTAGTTTGGGTAAAAGATGTTATACATTTTATTCTTCAGATAACATCCCATTTGCACTCTTAACTTTTATAATCAACCCATTTCATATAAATTGTGTACCTTTCGTTTTTTTTTTACATTACAAGCATAATTTCATACCTAATTTAGAAACTAATCATCTTCATTCAAAAATATAAATAGTCACAAAAATCCAATAAAAATTATTTTTCCATTGAAATCTGAATTTGTTTTGGATTTTGTTAAATTATATAAAATTTGTACTTTGAAGAAGAAGAAAAGGACCAACAACTACAAATTATAAAAATTAACTGAAACATAATAAACGATATTTTTGACCTTTAAGATTTATAATACGATAGTTGATTATAAGAATTAAATAATAAAGTTTCTAAAATTAAAACAAGCCGACCATTATTGTGACCTTTCAACATTCCGTAATGTATAAGAAAGACCATATATATGTTCGTAAAACACCGGCTGGCTTCAAATCGGACATCTAAGTGACAAACTAAACAGTAAACACCACACTTTTATTCCAATTTAAAGCTTAAGAATTCCAGCAAAAGGTCCCGTGAGGGTTCCGATGTAAAGATTACCCTCAAACTCGTTAACTTCGCTAAGCAAAGTGTCTCCAAATTGATCTTTGAGAGGAATTGTCTGAAGCACTTCACCATTAGAGTTGACTTTGACAGCTGATGGGTTCGTAGGCACGATGATCTTGTTCACGACGGAAGCGACCCAAAAGTTTCCAGTAGAGCCGATCCTCTTGATATTGTCAGGGTTCGAGACAGAGTTGGTGAAGTCTTCAGAAGAGCCAGCTTTGGGTCCCTTGATCCAATACCTCTTGATGTTACTCTTTGTGAACTGACTGACCAGCACGAACGAACCGTCCGAGCTCACGGCACAACCGGCTGAGCCACTTAGTCCTTCCATCAATACACTCACGACTTTGGTTGATGGGTCGTACTTGTAGAGCTTTCCGGTCGCATCCTTTAGTCCCAATGCAATCACCACTTCGCTACATACATAACAAATGAAAAATACATATGTTTAGTAACAAAGTAATAATTCAATTAAAACATTAAATAAAGTTATTGTATATTGATATTTTTTTTCTCTAAACTAATAAATGTTATATTAAAATAATGAGTATATAGAGATGTATATTAAGAAGAGAAAGAGATTACATTGGGGAGAAGCGTGAGCTAAAGGAAGTGAAGTAGACGACACCAGTAGTGGGATCAACGTCAAGACCATCGAGAAACTTGAAGGGCTTTCCGTCAACACTGTCGGCGATCTTTACGGCCAAGCCACCGGCGGGAGAAACAACGTGAAGACCTAACGGAGCATCGGCGACGTAGAGGTCACCTGTTTTCTCATTGAAGGCTATCCCTGCCGGTCGACCGCATTTTCCGGCTAAAACGGTTCCAAGTACTCCATCGCACCACGAAGAGTTCCTGAATTGTAATAGAACCAATTAAATAAAACTATGTAAATAAATATTTATCAATGCAAGAAAACATAGATTTCGGTACGATTTATGTAAATAAAGATTGATGTAATACAGTTTTTTATTATTATAAAGAAACATAACTATGTGTCTATATGTGTACGTAGGTTAGTTTGGACTTTTTTTCACGTGGATACGTGTGCGTGATTTCGCTGATATGGGGATTTGGTAGGACTTATGGATTTTACGACACATTACTAACGTACGCCGATAAACACGATGAATTAGCAAGGTCGCGTGTAGTCCACTCGTCCCTACATTAAAGTTCCTAATCATTTTATTCGTTCCTGTAATTTTAGCGGTGGACAAAATAAATAGATAAATTGTATCATCCATTATCCCACTGTTTGTGATACACAACGCACGCATGTAACAGGATTATACATGTGAAATTGCTATCAAGTTACAGGACTATTAATTTGACTGTTATCTTAGATTTTATAAATCATATATTCCAAATCACAGGATTTAAATCTGGATGTGAAATCTTTCTGAAACTTTAAAAAGAATGAAGAGCACTGTTCACTCGTAAATCCCAAAGTGACTCACCAAAATCGTAGCCGTGTGAATAAAAAGGGAATTGATAACGATTCACAAAGACAGTGAGTGATACAAAGAAACGACTCATGTTTTTGATGACATTAGCTAGATTCCAATTTCAACAAACCCAGAAGCATAAACATCAAAAGTTATGATCTTTGAGATCAAAAGAAAAGAAAAGAGCTTACGAGGATTCTGTGATCTGTGCAAAGTTGACATAACCCGTGTCGGGAAGGTACTTGAGGATTTTCCCGCCGGAGACTCCAGTGTAGAATCCTTTTCCGGTGGAATCAAAGGCGAAAGCTTCAGGGCCTGACCTATTTTCAGGCACCGGAAGTTTCTTGAAAGACGAGTCATCGGAGATAACCGCCGACGAAAGGGAGAGAAGAAGAAGGAGAAGAGAAATCATGGAGAAAAACGACAACATACCGGTTCTTGAGGTTCTGTGATATCGCTCTATATTATTATTACACGAGGCTCTGTATACCTGTATGTTGTATGTCTATTTATAGGTTTGATTTTATTTGTATATACTATTGTTTTCTTTTTTAAAAAAGCTTTCTTATTTCCTAACCTTAACATGACGACGGGACACGTTTCGCTCGTCTGATATACATATTTTTTTTTCTTTTTAATTAGTGGACAGACACATTACCCTTCTTTTCTTCAGGGATTTTCATTTTTGACAGATTTTGTAGAAGATAGAAGTAAAAGTCAAATAGTTGCAATCCAGGTACATTGCTTAATACTGAGGTTGACGAGTCGACGCACGATAGAAAGACGCTTGGTCTAGCTAGGCTTGTTGGTTTTGTATATAAGATATTAAGATTTATGTAATTAGAATTTCCAATGTACGAATTCATTATATATTCTAAATTTCATTCCAAATTCTTTTTTGACGTAAAACAGTCTCCAACCATATTCCTTTTTTCGATTCTAAAATGTTCAGAATTAAGTAACTAATAAGATTATTCCACATACAGAATCAGCATGTTCATTACTTTATGCTATTTTGGAATAAAAATATAACTACAGATAAAGTAAAATCCAACTCCATTTTAGAGTTCTCTTATTTTAGAATGAAAAATATTCCAAGTTTTAACTAAGTAAAATCAAAGAATGTATGGTATTATATTCTATATAATTAAATTAGAATAAATGCAAACGCACAAAAATAACCAATGGCTTATCTGATTTGTGATAGCTAATAAATTGGCCACCTAAGATTTGGACCATTTGGTAGCCACTTTTTTGTGTGGGTGTGGGTCTTCTAACAATAGTTGGTGGGGCTGATAGAACATGAAGCGATTTTGTTTCAGAATTTTTTTAGCTACTTAATCATCTTTAATTATTGTTTAGCAAGGTGATCTTATATTTTGCAAATTTTACGGAGTATACGAATAATCACACGGATATATCATTTTTGTTGTTGTTGCAAAGTCCATTATAAAAGTTAGTTATGAACTTAATTTACGAAACCCTTTGATTATTAGAAAATTGATCTTACTTAACAAAACATTAAATTGCATGTTAAGATATATAAATTTATGAATAAAAGAGTGAAATTTTATTCACTAAATATCGCCGTTGTTTTTGGATTGACGAATGGATTGATGCAAAATGCAAATCAAACTTGAACACCAAACACAACTTCCACGTGACGCAAATGTTTTCCCCTTAGGGCCATTACGTGTCATAGTCAACTTTATCATTCAAATGATAAAATAAAAAAGCAAATCGGCGTAAGTAGCAGAATATTCCTTTCTCACTGATAACTTACGGTTTCGTTTCGTCTTGACGTTAGTTATATTTTCAGCAAAAAATGTAACATATCATATTTATAAAAGATACTGGTAAACTCCGGTTTATCCCGGTTATCCGACTAATCTGAAAAATGCCCGGTCGATTCGTGTCCACACATGAGAGAATCAATCACATTGAAACAAAACACTCAGTGGAAAAGATGTCTTCTTTTATTTGCTTTCAAAAGAAAATTTGATAATACTTTTCAGAAACAACTACAAAAGCTTGATACTAAAGGGGATCATTTGGTTTTCAACCTAACTCTGTAAGCAAAAGCCAATGAATGCCTTTCTCAATTTTCTCACGGTGATCTGAAAGTTTCACCGGCATAGCGCACACTGCCGAGTTCCTCTTCAATACGGAGAAGCTGCAACGGATATAAAAACAAACTCACGGTTTCAGATATTCTCTTATCGCTTAAGAATGGATCCCCAAGAGTTGTCTCAAGATTCGAGGTTTATTAAGTTATAGTATAAAGTTTGGATGTAAGCTAATTTACCTGGTTGTATTTTGACAATCGTTCACTTCGGCACGGAGCTCCAGTTTTGATCTACAACACAGGGAATGATTAGAGAACACTATAGAGCCAAACACTCTATGATGTGGGCACGTTTCAAGAATATATGTTACCTGTCCACTTGCCAAACCAACAGAAAGATCTGCGATGAAGTTGTCCTCTGTCTCGCCACTCCTGTGACTAACCATCACACCCCAGCCTGCAGCTTTTGAGTCAAGTGCTGCTTGAATTGACTCGGTTACTGTTCCAATCTGGTTAACCTGATGGATAACACACGAGATTCAAACCAATTCTCTAGTAACCAGTGTTTCGATAAATGGTGGACCGAATTGGATGAGAGAGGTAAACTGTATCCAAGAAAGTGATGAATTATAAAAGCTTTTACTTTTACCTTCAACAGTAGAGCATTGCAAGACTTTTTCTTAATAGCTTCAGCTATCCTCTTTGGGTTAGTGACTAACAAGTCATCCCCCACGAGTTGGATATCCACAGAGGATTGCAGTGAAGCCCACGAGCTCCAATCATCCTGGTCAAAAGGATCTTCGATAGAGACAATTGGGAAATCCTTGATAAATTCTCTGTAGAGTTGAGCAAGACTCTCAGCTGACAGAACATGAGCTCCATCGTTTGGCTGTTTCTTGAAGTTGAGATCGTATCTACCATCTTTCATGAAAAACTCTGATGCAGCGACATCCATTCCTATCTTGATCTGCAGAAGTTATAAACTTACGTGAGTGGTGTAACAGTGACACAGAAGCTGCCATAAGTTGTTTAAAAAAGGAGAGCTTGAGTACCTTTCCAGTGTAACCAGCTTTTTCAATTGCATCTATGAGCAGAACTAGTCCTTCTCTGTTATCTTGAACATTGGGAGCAAATCCTCCTTCATCTCCGACATTACAAGCATCTTGACCGTACTTGGCTTTGATTATCCCCTTCAGTGTATGATAAACTGTAATAAACAAAATACATTAAATAAAATACTATCAGAAGAAGAATGCTATGTGATACTCAAAACAAGAAGAACTTGGGAACCAAAAGAGAGAGAGAGATCAAACAGACTTTGGTATCATAGCATTTCAAATTTTATGACTTTCACTGCAAAAACTTAAGTATCAACAACTGACCTTCACTTCCCATCTGAAAAGCCTCAGAAAATGAGTTTGCTCCTACCGGTAGTATCATAAACTCTTGCATAGCCAAACTATTCCCAGCATGACTACCTCCATTGATCACATTGAAAGCAGGAACTGGCATGACAAGCTCCTTTGTTCCCGATAGTTCCTGGATGTGTTTGTACAAAGGCACTCCTTTAGCTCCAGCTCCTGCCCTGCAAACGCTTAGTGACACTCCTAATATAGCATTAGCCCCGAGTTTTGACTTGTTCGGGGTCCCATCCAGTTCCAGCATAAGAGCATCGACATCAGCTTGGTTCCTTGAAAGAAAAATTAAGGCAAACATATTTAACACAGCTTGCCCATCACCAACCACAGTTTCCTAAAGATTCAGAAGCAGATGATACCACACACCAATCACAGTTTCCTATGCGATTCAAAAGCAATATATCACATACAAACCACAGGATCCCAACGCTTCAGACGCAGATACCACAAACGGAATAAAGCCACAAAGACTCCTACTTTGACACTTAGTCGTATCATAGTTAAAGCTACAAACATGCTCAATAACCTTTACTAGAGTCAAGGGCACCTAACAATCCAAATCCAAGTCAAAAGACTACAGAAAATGACAGCAAAATGTTCAAAGTGTCCACCAGATAGAGCAGCTATTTACTATTTATTAGAAAAAGTCGAAATTTTTTTGAGACTTTCGAATCTAGAATAAGCATAACAACACCAAATCCATGACGTTTCTTATATGTTGTTCTGGATTCTGGAAAAGAATTCTTAGTCTCACCTGACGTCAACTCCGATGAGTCTTGGAGCCACGAGGTTGTTGATGTTTTTAATAGCCTGTAAGACACCTTTACCACCATAGACGCTTTTATCCCCGTCTCTAAGCTCGAGGGCCTCGTAGATCCCGGTAGACGCACCACTGGGAACGGCCGACCGGTACAGATCATCGGTAATCAGGTCAACCTCCACCGTCGGATTACCTCTACTATCAATAATCTGCCTCGCTTTCACTCCCTTCACTCTACTCTCCTTAGCCACCACCGAGCATTGCACACCGCTGCGGCGGAATCTCAGGCATGACGGCGCAGATTCCGAATATCGCTGGCCGGAAACACGCTGCGGGGAGAGGAAAGATCTCTGAAGATTGTGGGGTTTTGTAGTCAAAGCCATGAACAACAATATTACCTAAAAAGCAGAAATCCTCTGTGTTGTTATTTCGCTTATTTGACTAAGAAGAAGAAAAGCAGCAAATGGAGTTTTTATATATTTTGAAAAACGTCCCCTCTGAGGTTGCTGCAGGCGATGAAAACTAAGGAGTCAAAAGACAAGTATAAACCCGGTTCAGTCTCAATTAATTTCGGTTTAAGAGAAATCCTAACCGCGTCCAAACCAAAAAGTGTATATGGTTTGCTTTCGATTCGGAATAATTCAAATACGACAAAAGAAAATATTCTTTAACAAATAGTAGCCAGACACAGTGCCGTCGCCGCCGCCGGCACACTATCATCTATCTCCCTCTGTGTCTCTCTCTCTCGCTCAAGTTTCCATTGCAATGGCGTCTTCGATTCTCAGAAGCCCTAATCTCACTTCACCATCTTTAGGTGTACCTTCCATTCCCGCCTTCTCCTCCTCTTTCTCGCCATTATCATCTCTTCATCTCCGATCCAACCACCACCGTTCCGTCCGTTCCGTCTCCCTTAGCGCCGCCGGAAAACTCCGTCTCTCCTGCTCTCTCTCCGATTCTTCTCCCCTACCTCCGTATTCTCCTCGCCGTCGTCCCGAGTACACCCCTAACCGCATTTCCGATCCCAACTACGTCAGAATATTCGACACGACTCTCCGAGACGGCGAACAGTCTCCCGGAGCTACGCTCACATCAAAGGAAAAGCTCGACATCGCTCGCCAATTAGCCAAGCTCGGCGTCGACATCATCGAGGCCGGGTTTCCCGCTGCGTCGAAGGACGATTTCGAAGCAGTGAAGACCATAGCGGAGACTGTTGGCAACACCGTCGACGAGAACGGGTACGTCCCTGTGATCTGTGGGCTCTCGAGGTGTAACAAGAAGGATATCGAGACGGCGTGGGAGGCTGTGAAGTACGCTACACGGCCTAGAATCCACACGTTTATAGCTACGAGCGACATTCACTTGAAGTATAAGCTGAAGAAGAGCAAAGAAGAGGTTATTGAAATCGCCAGGAATATGGTTAGATTCGCCAGGAGCTTGGGTTGTGAAGATGTTGAATTTAGTCCAGAAGATGCCGGAAGGTACATATTCTTTTTTTTCCGAATAATTTCATTGAATCTTCTGTCTGATTCGTGACAAAACAAAAGAAGAAGACTTTTTCACTCAAATTTTTGTTCTTGAGCTGCTCTTTTTGTCTTCGTGCTAGTGTGTTTAAAAGTCTCTTCTTTAGCTCCCTATATATATTACAATTATTCATCATTTGGTTTTTACTGATAGTTAATTTTGTAGTATAGTGACGGAATAGTGTTAAAAGTCTCTCCTTTTTGACGTTTTGGTGATCCTTTAATGAAATACTATCTTAACACTAGTATTGATTATTGGATAATTCTGTCTGTTTGAAATTGAAATTTTCACTTGGTGTGCAGATCGGAGAGAGAGTACTTATACGAGATTCTCGGTGAGGTGATAAAAGCTGGAGCAACAACTCTCAACATACCTGACACCGTTGGAATAACCTTGCCTAGTGAGTTTGGTCAGTTGATTGCTGATATCAAAGCCAATACTCCTGGGATCCAAAATGTTATAATCTCTACACATTGTCAGAACGATCTTGGTCTCTCCACCGCCAACACTTTAGCTGTATGACATTTTTTTATCCTTTTCTTTTCTTCTATTGGTTGGATCAGATTGGCTGTCACCAATGATTACTAACATGTCAATCTTCTTTCTTTTTGAATTCAGGGTGCACATTCGGGTGCTAGGCAAGTGGAAGTGACTATCAATGGAATTGGCGAAAGAGCTGGAAACGCTTCACTAGAAGAGGTTATGTTTTATTTTTGTATGAAAAACCTCCTGAAGGCATTATGAAATTTGTGACGGTGTGCTGCATTCGAATACTTAATACTTGGGTATCTTTTTTAGGTCGTGATGGCCATAAAATGCCGTGGAGATCATGTATTAGGAGGCCTATATACTGGAATTGATACTCGGCACATTGTTATGACAAGCAAGATGGTACACATCTTGAACTTCATTCTTCACGTTGTGGAAACGAAAATAAAAAGTCAATTTTTTGTGTGTAAATGTTCCTCTTTTAAGACTTATTCTCATATGCTCAGGTTGAAGAGTATACTGGTATGCAAACGCAGCCCCATAAAGCTATCGTAGGAGCGAACGCCTTTGCGCATGAAAGTGGTATTCATCAGGTCAGTCAAACGAAGCGTACTTTATGCTATCTTGATTGTTTCTGTGGCTGATTCTGTTCATGAATGTTTTCTTGTTACTATTCGTGCATTCTATCTAGGATGGGATGCTGAAGCACAAGGGTACATATGAAATTATGTGCCCTGAAGAGATCGGACTTGAGCGATCGAATGAAGCTGGCATTGTGTTGGGGAAGCTTAGGTTTGAAAGATTTGTTGTTGAGACTGATATTCCAAATGGACTTGTGACATTTGTCTTGTTCAAACCAATTGCTTCTTGTTTTTCTTTTTTGCAGTGGGCGTCACGCACTGAGAGACCGTTTGAATGAGGTACAGAACAATCTTTACACATAGCCATAACTCGCTGCTACCATCTTACATATTAAGATAATGTTTTCTTAATCCTTTTTACATTTCCAGCTCGGTTACGAATTGAATGATGAGCAGCTGAGAAACCTTTTCTGGCGTTTCAAATCTGTGGCTGAGCAGAAAAAGGTACTAGTTTGGGTGCTCTTGCCGAATTTTCAAACATGTAGCTCCATTTATATGATGATGCAGAAAAAGATGAGTGGTTCATATAACGTCTCCTTATTGGCTTTGTTCCTTGGCGACCCAGAGAGTTACCGATGCTGACTTAATAGCTTTAGTATCTGATGAAGTTTTTCAGCCAGAGGCCGTGTGGAAACTCCTGGACATGCAGGTGAAAACTAAAGCTTGGGAATTTATTTGTACTTCCTTCTTCAGTCAATTCCTATTCTCTGATTATGGAAGTTGCGGATGTAGATAACTTGTGGAACACTCGGTCTCTCAACATCAACAGTGAAACTTGCTGATTCCGATGGCAAAGAGCATGTAGCTTGTTCTGTTGGAACTGGACCTGTAGATGCAGCTTACAAAGCAGTTGATCTTATCGTTAAGGTACTATTTCGCCAGGATCGCGAGTTTATATATACATTAATTAACGAGTGCTACTTGTTCTAATGTTTGATCATTGGCTTTTCGTGTTCAGGAACCGGCGACTCTGCTTGAGTACTCGATGAATGCAGTAACAGAAGGCATTGATGCTATTGCAACCACTCGGGTTCTAATCCGTGGAGACAACAACTACTCATCAACAAATGCAGTAACCGGTGAATCTGTCCAAAGAACTTTTAGGTAAAACCTTCCTCATCATCCTTGTTGAAACTAATCTAGGACTCATACCAGCAAAGCTAATGTAAAAGAATGTGAACACCGCCATTATTCTTGTCTCGGTAACATGGCTGAGCTGAATTGTGTTCTTACAGTGGAGCTGGAGCAGGGATGGACATTGTGGTGTCGAGTGTTAAAGCTTATGTTGGAGCTTTGAACAAAATGTTGAGTTTCAAAGAACACTCCTCCACCACTCTAAGTAAAACCCCTTTGGAGACCAACAAAGTCCCTGCCTGATACAACCTGCAAGTCTCAGATCAATCACAATTTAGGTTTCAACTTTTCAGTTGGGCATTAGTAAGGTTTCTTCTTCTCCGTAGTGTTGAATATATAAAACGAACATGGATTTTGGTTTTGATTCGCAAATTATTGTCGCCACTTGGATTCAAACTTGTGATTCGGTTAAAAAAATTGAAATAGACATAACTTTCTATAAATAGTTCTTCGTTTGCCCCTACATAAAAAAAAAAACAACCGTTAAACAATTTTTGCATCCCAAAGTTGTCGTAAGCTAAACTAAGAACTTCAACAAACAAACCGAAACACAAAATGGATTCTCTAAAACAGCAAAGCCTTCACCATAAAACGTTTTATCTTCAATCTTGTTTCAATCTCTTAAGATATTTATGTATATAACAAAAGTCAAAGTCTGGTAATAAGCATCTTGAATCTTGAGGGCTTTCATGCTCTCGAGGTTCTGCGAAATTCAAAAATGTCAGAAGTGCAATCTGGTTTGTTTACAATGTCGACGATAATCTTGATCTGCATAGGCCTGTCGATGATGGGAACAGGTCTTTACCAAAAATCAACAGTGTCACCTTGCATCCAAGAAACACCAGGCCAATTCGTGTTTCTCGGCTGGATCCTTCTCTTGATTCCTCAGATCGGTCTATACGGAATCTGTTGCCGCTCCAAACGCCTTTTCGTCTATTTCTTCTACGGTATGGTTGTGGTCATCTTGATTGTAACTGGTTACTCAATCAAGTGCTTCGTTTACAACACCACTTTTGGCATCGCCAAGAATCCGGCCGAGGACCACCGCACCGTTAATCAGTTGCTTGGTCGCCTCGTCTCTCCGGAAAAGTTTCGGCGCGTAACCACGTGTATCGTTCATACCCATGACTGTAATTTCAATGCCAGCAAAAACAGCAATGTTTGGGTCAGTTTTGAATCTTCTACTCAATGTTCCTTACATCATTTACAATTTTTTGCTTTTTTTTTTTTACTATTTGCTTATATTAGTTACCAAAAAATTCAAACAAAAGATATTGAGGAATACTCAAAAATCAAAATACCACCCAAGAATGTTAAAGAACATGAAGCAGTTTTGAAAATTAAGAAATAATTCTATTTTGATATTTTGGAGAAAATTTTTCTTTTTACAAGGGCCTCAAAATATTTTTAGATGTAAAAAAATGCAAAATCACTATTTATAATAAATCTATAAACAATTCATTTTGTACGTAGCTAAGAAAAATCAATATGTACAAAATGAATTGTTACAAGGGCCTCAAAATATTTTTATATATGTAAAAAAAAATGTAAAATCACTATTTATAAACAATTCATTTTGTACATAGCTCGATGTAATTTGCATGATTGCATACGTTAGCATGCATATATTGATTTTTCTTATCTTATTATCCGCAGAGGTATTGCTGTGCACAGCCCGTAGGATGTGGAGACGAGACGATGTTCGACAAGCCAGGCGAATGGAGTTGGAAACAGCAGTACCAACAGAACCAAGTTCCTGAAGAATGCTCTTATGACTATTGTTTGAGTTGCAGAGGTTGCCAGCTCAGCATTCTGAAAGCTATTGTTCATCAGTGGAAGTATCTCTCCATGTTTTCTTATCCTACTTTAGTACTCTCCTGCATCAGTCTTGCTATGGCTTGGTTTCTCAAGGAGACAATCAACCAAGTAGATGATTATCGAGGTTCTTATAGTTGATTTCCGAAATATATCTAGAAATGGTTCTTGAAACTTGCATCCATCATATGTAAAATCCCGTAGTCGTTATACAGGAAGAACAACAAAAAATCGATCAATGAGTTCATCAAAAGATCTTGTTCATGTGCATAACGATGCATGCAAACATTACACATGTGAACATTTGCCTATATAGACATATTCATGGCAAATATACCATAACTTGAGTACCCACTATTTCATCAAGTGCAGTTACAAAAATAAACTAAAAATCAAGGCTAATCCCCACAATATCACAAACCTCCAAAATCAGATCAAGAGTCTAGACTATAAGTCAACGTTTCCTTCATCTCTAAGAGAGCAATGGGTTATATTTTTTTTTTTTGTTATAATATAGTTTGAGAAGCTTTTTCAATGAAGCTGATGAGGATTTCTTCCCTTTATTCACCTTTCCGTGTCATCCTTCAACACACATTGGTCGGCTAAAAGCTCTTTAAAAGACTAATAATGTTCATGTGCACATGCGTATATATAGAGAGATCATTCATTCGCAGATATGCTAACATAAAGATCCCATCGATCTATCAACCAATATTGAATCTTAATCTCCCAAAACAAAAACATCATAAGGTCCAATGGCAATGACTGGTACTAGTAGCAGCACTTCGTTGTATCCCAACCAACAACAACCGCAACAGCCATTAGGTAGCAATGAGATCGAACCTACGGCGACAAATGCTAATCTAATCTCAGCACCAAACGGTCCAAGCCACTACTCTTCCGGCTCCATTGGACCCTTCTTTGCAGTCATCTCTGTTCTTGCCGTTCTTGCGGTTCTCTCCTGCTTCTTGAGCCGGATATGCGCACGGCGCCGCCAGCGAACTGCTTTAGTTGCTGAAGTCAATCCGTTGGAGATGATAAAGAGTGGTGGGCTTTCAGGGTGGCTGAGGCGGAAATGGAGACGGTGTTTTACCGGAGACATTGAGGCGGGAGCTAAAGTTGCTGATTGTGCCGGTAAAGAGACGCCTAAAGATGTTGATCAGCCTCGTTTAGAAGCTCCTTCGGCTTGATCTCTGATTAACTATGTGTAATGTTTGAGAGAAGCTTGTAATAAAAATTTAGAAAGATTTCAAGTAGAAACTAAGCAAATAACATGTTCCACATGTTAATTTCAACACTTCAAAAAATATTAAGTCTTCAAAATCCATTTCGTAAATAGTAGTTTCATTTCTTCAGTCCTTGCCATGTTCCATTATTAGAAGTCTTGTAAAAACTTAACCACAATGCTACAAATCTCACGTTCAAAAACAAGATTGATAAATTATCCATATGTAAAACAGAAAATATAGGAATGTAGAAGCCAAAAATTTGTCTTTGATCGGTGAACAAGAACAAGACAACCCGTTCAGAGGATAAAACTAAAGGAGAAAGACACACTAGAAACCTCGGAAAAAGGCTATGAAATCTAGAAAACAAGCTCATGGGGCTTCATTCCTTGTTTCAGTGAGAACCTTGCGCCAAGGTAAGTCTTGAGCTCTGGAACTGCTTCAATGGCTTTGATCAAAGCTGCATCCACGGCCTTCTGGTCATCTTTCTTTCCTTGTGGAATCTCCTTCTTCTCCTGCAAAATCAAAAACCCGCAAGGTTCACTGATTCGGTAATGCACAATGGAGAGAGGACTTCTAACTTATAGTACTACTCAACAAGAAGACGAGATTGGATATGATATATACCTCTTTCTCTGCCTCGAAGAACTCTCCCTCGCTCTTGGTCTTCTTCTTCTCAGCAACCTTTCCGAAATACTTGTCATCAAATTTGTCAAGGCTGACTCCAGAAATGTCAACCTTTGTGGATGTGCCGATCACATAGGACTGGTTCACACGTCTCAAAGGAACACCATTGATCTTGAACGGTCCTTAAGGCCAATAACAAAAGAGGAATCGTCAGGTGACAAAAACAGTAATCGAATGAATCATAGAAGGTAACGAAGATCAATGAAAACAGGTATAGAAGAACTAACCAGTCACAAGAAGTAGACCAGAGGTAAGTTGCTTCAGAAAGACAACTCTCTTGCCCTTGAATCTACCAGCAAGGATAATCAGCACTGTCCCTGGGGTGATGCTGGATCTGCAATACAGATGACGTGATTAGGCCGGAAACACATATACAGATGAGATTGTCAACGAATAATCTTGAAAGTATGAGCAAGCAAGGTTTAAGGAATCAAATACATAGTTTCAAGAACATTTGAGAACACAATATGACTTAACAAACAAATCGATCCGACCAAAGATATATAAAACATGGTAATCTTCGTTTCTTAAACACTGCATTTTTACTATTCTTAATAAAATCCTTGCAAACGACACAAAACTAGTCATTTCTTCCGGCAGATTTAAGGAATCAAACACATAGAAGACGATTACATCGAGCTAAATAACAGTCCTGAGAGTGCATCGAGCAAGGAGAGTTTTATAAAGTACCTGAGCTTGGTAGGCTTTGGCTTGCGCCTGTTGGCGAGAGGCTTCTTGACGTCTTCAGCGGGGTAGAACTTCGGGGGCTTCTCGGCCGGAGCAACAACCTTGGATTTAGCGTCGTGTCGGGGGAAAACGCCGCCATTTTTGGCCTTGATAGCCCACAAACCCCTCTTATGGTACATCTGCGATCTAGAGTATTTACCAACTCCCCTGACTAGATCAGGGTTTCGGCTGACCTTAGGCGTCCTCTGTTTTGCCGGCATCTTTGCTTTCTCTCGGCGCTAATCCTAGAAGGGGGATGACAATATTTCCGGCTGTGTGAATATAAGAGAGAAGGAGACGCCAACGATATAAGATAACTGAAGACAGAAACCCTAGATTTAGATGGGCCTATTTTGGGCTTCAGATTAGCTCGGGCTTCAGTTGTGGACCAGACGATTGATTTTATTTACATGATACATCTACTACATATTATTTGAGAAGTAACATTATTGAAAATAGCTTACTTGTCAACACTACAGCCAAAGTTAGTGTTTTTAATTGATGACATGTAAATGTGACATGTCAAACTTCCTAAAATAAAAAAAATGTTTTGATTGGTTGAATAAAATTATAGTTATGGAATTAAAACATAAATAAACTAGATTATATTTGTAACACTAAAATTAACAAATTTAAATTAACAGAAAATAAAAGTTATTATAATTATAATTTTTTTACAAATATTCATATATTCATAATTTCATAAAATATAATTATGAATTTTTTTAACAATATATATATATTATAATTTTACATAAAACAAAAAAAAGTAATACTAAATGATCTAATAGAATAGTAAAAATTATATTTATTAATAATACTTGAAGTATGATATATTTTTATATCGGAAAGTTATTAATTACAAAATATATTAATAACATCTAAACAAGTTCTAAATAAAAAAATTATTAAATAATACAATTTTAAATAAAATACAATCATGATAAAAATAATTTAAAGAATAAAATGTTAAAATAATTAAATAATTAAATTTTATTGAAATGGTTTTAAAAAACATAATTTTGAATAATTTATTTTCAAATCGATATTTACTAATTGAATAAAGTATATACTAATTATTATTTTATAATATTAATAGGACCATATATTTTTCTATAACTTTTATCATCTTTTTATTGTTGTTTTCTAAAATGTACATAACTTATGTTACTCTCTCATCTTATCTCTTATCATATTTTAAATAAAAATAATAGCATATGCATATATATATAAATTTATTTTCATTGTATATGAAAATTTTGAGATGGTAAATGAAATAAAAAATAACCGAATGAAAAAATAAATTATAATAAGATGAAACAATATGAATCATAAATAAAAAATAAAAGTATATAAAAATAAATCTCTCGCACTTTGTTTTACAAAGTCACTTAACAAAATTTTAAGACGTAAGAGCCATATTTTATTTTTTTACAAATACGCGTAGATACATATATATTAATTGTACATTAGTTGAAGTCACATGCGAACTTTTCCGTGCATGTATTTTGTTAAGATTGATTACAGTCTAATTTTTATTTTAATTATTATACAATTTATATTTTTAAAACTTTTTTATCTATTCTAAGTGTAGTAAAGTGGTTGGTATATTCGCATATGCGCGCCAATTATTTATCCGATCTTAGAAATAAGTAAAAATAGTAAAAACTATTTCAATTTAATTTGCAATAAATTAAGAAAATTATATACTTAGATATATTATATGTATTTGCAAATTCATATTATGTAAGATGCAAAAAAGCATATCGTAGATTGTGTAAGGAGAAATAAAGCATATTATAGAAATATTTAAAAAAATATTATAAGAATTTTTAATTATTATTTAACATAACTTTTATATTTGTGATTATATATTATTACAAGCATTATAAAAATAAAAAGTTTTAAAATACATTAATTTCAGAAAGAAGTTTGTGAAATATTAAAATAATATATATACAAACATACCAATATTTATAAAAAAACTAATCAAAAATTAAATATTACAATTAACTATATATATCAAAAAAATTATACCCGCACATATGTGCGGACCAACCACCTAATTTCCAATTAATTTTTGGGTTAATTTGTCTACTAAGCATATATTGAGTTTGACAATTTGTAATTATGTACACACAAATGTTTTTACGTAAGAATATTTTTGGTTTTACATGTGACTTGACTATTGTGACAAATCTTAAAACTCTGATGATATCTTGGAACAATAAAGAAAAACTCAATATTAAATAACAGTGTTATATGATTAAAGGCTTGTAAACTATTGGTTTTTCTTAGTGTTTTACATTTGTGTCATGTATGCAAACTCGGTTATATGCGTGAGAAATGAGAATAGACAAATAATTGCAATATCAAACTTATATACTATATTTTCCTTCAGTCGATTGTGAAGTTAAACCATATGCAAAAATCATCGGAGAGACAGATACCAAATCGACATTTACAAACCATAAACATTCCCACCATACACACAAAAAAAAAGCATTCCAATAAAAAAAAAGCTTTGACTAAGGCATGAGCTCCTCATTGAGATTGTTGCGAGTCTTGTGACTCAATGAGACCACAATTGGTGACTAGTACTTTTGAATAAGGCCGATTAAACCCTCTCTCCGCCACCACGGCTCTCTTATCTCCGATCACCTTAGCCACCCTGTTTCGCACAACCACCACAACCCTTAATCTCAAGATGACGTGACAAGATCCAACGGTCAATATTCAATTCTTACCTGAAATAAGGAGATCCTGTGTTATCCCTCACTGTCTTCACTTGTCTCATCTTCTCCACAACTCCCATTCCTTCCAACACTTTCCCAATCACTAGCACCGATTCCTCCAGCTCCGGCGAATCACTCGCCGTTATCACAAACTCCGTCCCGTTCGGCCCCACCGCCGAATCCTCCTCCTGTACCTCCAGCTTCCCATTCCTCGCCACCAGCTTCGTCTTCGGCGGCGGTCTCGACGGATCCCTCACCACGATCCCCACGCTCCCCGCCTTGATTTCGCTGCATCTCTCTCCTCTTTTCCCTCTCTCCCATTCCTCGATTAGGTTTTCGAGACTCCCAGCCGCGGCGGTGGCTCGCTCGGCGTCTGCGCCGTACGACCTGATCCCGCCGTGCTGGACGTAGCCTGGCATGATCTTCACGAACTCTTTTCTCCGGTAGCTGATTCCGGCTTTCCCGCTCACGATGCTGCTGAATCTGGCTGTTCCCGCCGGCACATCGTCTCCGTATAAACCGATTATGATCCGTCCGATTGGTTCTCCGTCGATCGATACGTCGATGAATGCTTTCTTAGCCGCAACCTAAATTATGGCCAATTTGGAGGGGAAATCACAAAGAAGTCGAATCATGCATTGTCGAAGATTGAGTCAGCATTTCTTACTCTATCTCCGCAATTTGTGGGATTATCGATTTCCGGAGAGATTGTATCTGCTCGGGCTTTGGAGAGGTCGAACAATGGCGTCATAGTAGTCTGAGTACCGAGGAGTAGAAGCAACGAGGATTTGCTCAGATTCCGGCGCGATAATTTACAGCTCAATTCGAGCGACGGAGAGGCTCCTCCTCCGACGGTTCTCCGGCTGTGTTGCGGTGGCTCTATAGGCGACGGTAGAGATCTTGCGGATGGAGTCGAAAGATTTGCATTGCGTAGCAACATTGTCTTCATTTTCTGCGTCTGATGGGTTTGTGTGTTAGCCGAGGAAGAAAGATAGTTTGGAGATTTCCTGGATAAGGAATTGAAAATGAGCCGTGTATATAACTAATCGGATCATTTGGTTACTAATTATAATTCTCAGTTAAAATATAAATTTAAAGCCCAAACCCAAACCCAAACTAAAGCCCAAGCCCAAATACAAAACCACGATGAACCGAGTAAGTCAGCGCCTGGTTCACAATTGTCAGACCAGACCATGTGTTTGTGGTCGAATAAGCGTGTGGTAGTTTTACTTTTACGGCATTGTGAAGTCACATGCATCTAGTGGAAAAATAAGCTCTATAATATTTGCTTATTACTACTTCAATCTCGCACACAAAATGCCAAACATGATAATTTAATCTACTCAACTTGCTTTTTACCCTCCAACAATACTTTATACTAGTTTATACCACGTGCATAAATGATATAACTATGTCCAGAATACAAATTAATGCGATACATTCAGACTCAGTCACGTGAAATGTATTGTTATAGTAGAATACGAATATTTCAGAGAGCTACACCTCCAAAAGAGATTCGTTGAACATCTCCCTTAAGCAAACTCTATATGATTGTTTATTAGTCTTTAAATCAATAGAAACGTGAGAAATTATTACAGAGCAGACAAGTTACTGATTCAATTATATTTATGATTTCCTTTTCTGTTCATCGCGTGCTTATTGGTCTAGTTACTGTATATATGATGTCCAGGTCCAGTGTTTTAGGAACCAAGAAGACTAGTAGGTTAGTAGTTTCTTCAGAATTGAAACGACATCGATTAGTACAAGTAAATCACCACTTTCCTCGAATTTTCAATATATGTATAACACGACCGCCAACTATTTTTCTAAAACCGTTTCCTATTTCTTATTCATTATTATTAATTTGGTTGTCATGTACTGATTTTTAGTTATTAATTTTTCGTTTGCTTATTGTACTGATCCACAATTTTTGGTCTGATCTTGGAAAAGTCTCGCACTCCATCTTTTACAGTTGATTTTATTCTGACAATAATAACACGTCACAAGTACTCTTTTGGCTACGGATTTTCTTATAATTCTTTCAAATTTGTCTTTTTTGCTATGCATATATCTCGAGGTAAGTTTTGTTTTCTACAACTCGTGAGACGTGAGGTCGTGAATTTTTTTTTTGTTTTTTTTTTTGCGATGCATATATCTCGATGTAAGTTTTTTTCTACAACTCGTGAGAAGTGAGGTCGTGAGCTATGATGACTTTGGACAAATTTTAACTACAACTAATCAATATATTCCGATGGCCGATTTAGTTGTCTAAAAATTAGGCCTGTGCACGGAGTGCATATCCGGAATTTTAGTATAATTCGTGATCCGTTCCGTCCAATCTGGATCAACAATTTTTTGATCCGTATTTGATCTATTGCTAATTGGATATCTGGTATTCGGATATCCGTTAAAATCTGGAATTTTGACCGGATATCCGATCTGTTTCAAAAATATTAAATTAATTATAAAATAATTAAAAATATTTATAAAAATATTTTAAAAGTCAAAAATTAACTCATATATTAAATTTTAAATTGTTATTTTAAATTTATTTAATTTTTGTATTAAAATAACTAATAAAATAAATATAAATTCACAAAAATTTATATATAATTATATTAACTATACATTATATATGTAATTATTTATATATATATGTATATCGGAGCGGATCAGATATCCGACTCTTAAAATTTTAATATTTGTGATTTGTTCCGTTTTAACGGATATCAAAATTTAATATTTATTTTGCTCCGTAAAGCTACGGATATCCAAATTTTTCTAATCGAATCGAAGCAAATAGCGGATCGAATAAAATATAACGGATAATTTGCCCAGCCCTACTAAAAATATCTAAAAATTGATGAGAAAATTCAACTAATTGAAAATATGAGAGTAGAGTACTATACATTTAATGCTCCGACAGTTGTCGACGACAAACAAAAAGATGTTCCGACTGTTAAATCTGTTATGGCGTTGGAATAATAACTGCTGAATGAAATGAATTTATCCTTTATCAACTTTTGTCTATTACGTGAGACCTCAATTATGATGTTAACGTAAGATATTTTCCGACTTTTTTTAGTGGCTAAAGAATATTTATCGAATCTTTTGCCATTTAAATCAGAACTATTTGAACTAGTCGTAATATATGTGTATTTTATGGAATTTTTTTTTATATTATTGTCAGGTCAAATAGTTTTCTCAAGAATAGTATTAGGAAATATTAAATTACAATTTGTAACGGAATTCTGAGTGTACATATTCCGATTATTAACATTTTAAAACTAGTTTAAATGTCTTAAATTCCCAAAATAATCAAACGTTGTAAACAATTAGTTTAGACTTGGACCGATAATTATTAAAAGACAAAACACCACTCTTATTGTGGATTAGAACTCTATATAAAATGGTACGAGTTTGCAGCAGCCACATGCGAAATAGTACCCCTCACTATTCTCAGAAAGATCTCCAATTCCCTAATTGTCACTTGTGACATTATGATGTTCCGAGCTTGGATCCAGGATTCTAATACTCCTTCTATTTCAAAATAAATGTTATTTTGATATTTTTTATATAAATTAAGAAAATCACTGAAAGTTATGTTTTACCTTTTATTTACATACAAAATAACATTCTCTTTCTAATTAATACATTAATATAATAAGATTAAAACATAATTTTTATTAAAAATTTTACATTAGAAATACAAAATAACATTCTTTATAAAATAAAAATAAAATTCTAAAACGACATTGTTTCTGAAACGGAGAGAATAACATTTAAAACCAAATTAAAAATCTATGGCCCGAAAAAACATAAACACTATTTGTTCGTATGGATACAGGATACTGTAATTAATTACCGATCTCAAACTCTTATGCGGTAACTTATAGTAAGAAAAAACCTTATAACAAAAAAGAAAGGGAAATTGGGTCATATGACCATATTTTGAAGCTAAATTAATCAAATAACCATAACAAACTAGGTGCTATAATATTCTTTGTATATTCTACAATATATACAAAAATATCCTTTCGTTCTTTTGTTCTTATTCATTTCTCCTTCAATCTTCTCTTCTCCTTTTATATTTTCCCCCTTCAATATCCTCTGCCACATATGCTCCTCTCATCTCCATTCCTCTATTTTCCTTCCCCTTCCTTCTCCTCCCTTCCTCTCTCGTCTTCTTCCTTTCTTTTCTCTTTACAAAAAAACATTTTTATAAATACTATATCAAATAGAGTTATTCCATAAATTGATATATAGTATAATATATAATATAGCATAGTACAGAGCTATTTTCGACAATTGAATATGGACCACAGTTAGTTTACTAATTTTTTAAACAGCATGGCTATATTCTTCTATTGTTTTATAAATATGGTTATAGAAAAAAAGACCTAAAAAGAAAATCAAAGTCTACACATTTAATAAAAGTTATATATTTTTTATAATCAATATAAAGTTAAATTCCACGTGGTAAACACGAAAACGACGCCGTCTGCTGCACAGTAGCATACGCACGCATATAATAAGTAGCTCTCCTCTCCTTCCTCAAATTTCTCACTTGTCTTGCTAGGCCAAGCGAAACCAAACAAACCTCTCTCTCTCTTCTTTCTATATTCTCCATCTTAAAATACGAGAAAAAAAACCAGTTTTGAGAAGGAAATATATATGAAAAAGAGAAGCAGAGTGTCAAATCTGAACAGGATGTCGATTAGACGTATCTATCGATGCCTTAATGTTCTCATCAAAAGATCAAGTCCTTTCTTTGTATGATCCATCACAAACCCGTACAAATACAAACTCTCTCTCTCTCTCTTCTCACTTTCACTCTAGCTTCTGTTATTACAATCAAGAATCAAGAATGGTACGGACACCGTGTTGCAAAGCAGAAGGACTGAAGAAAGGAGCATGGACTCAAGAAGAAGACCAAAAGCTCATTGACTACGTTCAACGTCACGGTGAAGGAGGATGGCGAACCCTTCCCGATAAAGCTGGTAAGCCTTTTTATTTTTCCTTCTATGTTTTTAATTTCCGCCAATTTGGATTATTTAGTCAGCTTTTCTTTGCATTATTCGGTTTTATTTGATAATTAATGTTTTTCAATCATTATAACATTACAGGACTCAAAAGATGTGGCAAAAGCTGCAGATTGAGATGGGCCAATTACCTTAGACCTGACATTAAGCGTGGAGAATTTAGCCACGAGGACGAAGACTCTATCATCAACCTCCATGCCATTCATGGCAACAAGTAAGTCTTAAACTATAGAATATTACATTTGCTTAAGGACATCAAACTAGGCTCGATTGTTACTTATTCAAAAAGAATTGTTTATATACTTGTTTATAACCCCATTTAAAAACTTTCTTTTATCATCAATCATTGTAAAAGCAAACATTTTATATTATTGTTAATGCCATGCTATTAAAAAGGAAATATAAAAACAAAACAAAAAGTGATCTAACACATGCAAGAAATAAGTTAATTAGTGTAAAGGTAGGATAAAAAATAAAACATTTCAATCCTCACGAATCATGTGCTTCCTCACAGTGAATCTATATAGTGGCGATTTGGTATACCTTTACAATATAGTATAACTTAATTGGCTATGTGTAAAGGTAGATTAAAATTATATTAAAAAAAAATATTGCCTCTTAAACAGATCCTATAGTGGCGATTTGGTAGAAACACGTTTGCTAATTGCTAATAAACAACGTTTCGTTGATCAGATGGTCGGCCATAGCTCGTAGATTACCAGGAAGAACAGACAACGAGATCAAGAACCATTGGAACACCCACATCAAGAAACGTCTGCTCAAGAAAGGTATAGATCCGTTGACCCACAAATCCCTTCTTGATGGTGCCGGTAAATCATCTGACCATCCCGAGACACCACCGGATAAAAGTAGCGTTCATCAGGAGGAAGATGATCAGAAGTCAACCAAAAATAAGTCGTCAGGATCATCATCAGCTCGGTTCTTGAACAGAGTAGCAAACAGATTCGGTAAGAGAATCATCAACCACAATGTTCTGTCTGATATTATTGGAAGTGGTGGCTCGCTTACTAGTCACACTACTCCTACTACAAGTGCTTCTGAATGTGAGAAGTCAACGAGCTCTTCCTCCTCACCATCCCCTTCGAATCTACTCATTAACCAAAACATGAACCTCGATGCAACATCTTTGTCATCGTCCACGTTTTCTGACTCCTCCGATCCGTTAATGTACGACAACATCTTCGATGACATTGAAGATATGACGGGGTTTTCATCAAGATTTTTAAGTGATGTATCTCATCATGATGATGAAGATTTCTTGATGTTAGATGAGTCATGTTTGGAGAACACTTTGTTCATGAAGGAACTTACAATGATTCTTCAAGAGGATAAAATCGAAACGAAGTCGTTTAGTGATAGCCACGTGACGCCGGTCGTTGAAGTTGACGACTCCTTTGACGAGATCGACAACTATTTTGGATAAGTGCAGATAAATGTCGAGAAACTTGGCAAGCAAATCAATTAGACTTTGATTTTGCTGTGTTTCTTGATTTAGTTTCTGTGAGTCTCTCACTTATTGTGACGTTGTTTGCTTTCTAGGCAACTACAAATTGATAAAACTCATGTACTATAGGATTTGAATCTGAAAGAACGTTCTCTGATATAAGTTAACCACTAAATTAACAAATGAAAATAATTTACAAAGATTATTATTCTCTTCACTTTAACAATCTGAACCTTTGGAGATATCCAAAATCACTATTATTGTTTTCGTTTAGTATGCATAGTGTTCCATTCCACTATTGGTTTGATGACTCATGAGTGGACAAACCAGCTAACCGCTACAGCTAGCAGGTGAGTTACATGATAGCTAATCATATACATATTTATATATTATCCTTTTGGTTCCACTTGAACCACTTGAATAGAAATTAAAAAATTTCAATTAATAGAATACCAATTGTGCTTATTGAATAATTTTATAAAACATATATACAGTATATATATACATATAAGAATTAATAATATCACTGAACACTATAATTATGTCTGTTCGAATATGTCTGCTTTGAAAAATAATATATAATTTTAAATTACAGGTAACATAGAATTTAACAGAATCTGCCATCGGAGAATTTTCGATTGTGTTAGAAATATTCATCTTATCTCACATTCATTCACATCAACATAGTCTTCGGTTCGATCCATCAGAATTGATAATTTGGTCCGAGTAATGTTCATTTATGATATTTTTTTTTATGCTATGAAGACATAATATTAATTTGATAATTCTGAACTGAATATTGCCACTAACTCCTACATCTGTTCTAAATCTATTCTAAATCTCTACATACGTCAAAGTGTTAAAAAGAAAGAAAAAAAAAAAGAAAGGGAGAATTCCTTCATGATGATCAATGAGAAAAGCAGCTCTCATACAACCTCCTCCACAGTGAAACCTGCACAACTCTCTCAGCTCAAAGACTGAAAGCTCAGTGGGAGAGTGTGCTTCAACAATCTCATTTGCAGACATCGTTTATGATATATTCTTATTTTCTTTTGAACTAAATTTGGTTTTGTTGCGACTGTCTTTTTAAATATATTATAATTCTCACATGTTGACATATAAACTAGCTATGTTTAGATCGATTTTTACTAGAAGTGCCAATCAAAATAAAATAAAGGTGGTATTTTTGAACAAAATATTAAAAAATGTTGGTAGCCCACTCAAAAAAGAAAATAAGACTGTTTTTCACATATTGAAAGCTGAAAAGATTAATGATCACATGATTTATTCATAACCTTTTCAAATCACTTAAGGGACTAAAGATTCCAAACTAAATAATAACAGGTTAAAGTAATATATATTTTTAGACAAACAAGTCAAAAAGTTTAGATATTCCAAATCTCAACTTAGTGCTGATTATTTAAGTAATAACTGATGATATTTATGTGTTGTACATGTGTGGAAAATATGAATTGTTTTTACTAATAGCAAGACAAAAAGATTTTGGGATTTACGAAAATGATATGTTGCATATTGATGGGTTGAGGAGAAAACGAGAAATCATCAAGTCTAGTCTATTGCGATGGCACGGGTTTGTGACTTGACTATTCAACGATCCATGACGTAAATTCCAACTTAATATTTATGTATAATAACCCTAATAATAATGCATGCACTCAACATTAGCATAATTATTTATTTCCCAAATAACTTTCAACATTGGCTCCTTTCCACTTGAAAGCTGGATTTTGTTTGTAAATAATTACTAAAATTATACTTATACGGTTATACCCATAAGATATGCTTGATTCCATTTCTCCGTAAACTCGAAAATCGAAATCGGTAATCAATCATATAATGAAACACTATAATGAGTGTTACACGTAAATTTTAGCAACAAATAAAGGTGTTACACACATGTAATAAAAAATAAAGACGTGATTTGCTTTTCTAAAAGTGAAATCACCATCAAACGTCCTATGCTACTCCGAGCCTTCTTCAACAAAGTGATTCTACTAAATCATTTGTATATTTTTTGTCGCACTTGATTGATGACAAACAAATAGCAATAGTTGGTAAAGTGATTTACTTCTTTATGAACTTTAAACAACTAATACCCATGATGTTAAAAAAAAAAAAAAACAACTAATACCCATGAAATGTTTTTTTTTTTTTTTTGAACATTAATACTCATGAAATGTTGTAGAGTGGAGAGTTCTGCGCACAAATTAATTAAGGGAGCATAAGCATTGCAATCCCATATGATACAGATTAGATTGTATATATAGAAGGTGGACCATCATTTTGTATGTTGTGGTCGAAAATGCTACAGCTACAAGTTTGTTTGATCTATATTGTATATAGATAAATCGTAGAAAGAATAATGACATGAGAATTGAAAATATATAATGGAAATGGCAATATATAAATGACAATTAGTAAACAAAGTAAATAAAAAAGTATTCGTATAAACATGTTTTTTACGTACGTGTTCATCATGTTAAGGTATTTCGTGAGCTAGACAGCTAACCGGAGTCTAACCAGATTTCATGAATTCTTCCCAAGTCCAAGAAACCAGCGTAGGAACCTAAACATGCGGATTTCTCTCGTAACGGATCAGAGACGGAACGTTTGTTGTGGTGGCGAAGAAGGATCTAGTGTATACGAAAATTACCGGTTTATGAGTTTTAATGCAAATGTGGTTATGGTATGAACATACATCGATAGTAGGATAATGGAGAAATTCATTTGTTTTATGAACGTGCGCACCAAACCAACAACCTGCGAATCACATATTAACACGTGGTGTAGATAGTAGCTTCACTATTAAACCCAATCTGATCTTTGTCCCAAGACAGACCACCACTCATCTCCCACAGAACACAATGGAATCAGAAACCGTTACCGACACGACCGTACCGAACCACGAAGTGACCGAGACAGAGTCAACAGAGTTCGTGAAGAATCAAGAACGGTACCAAGATCTAATCTCCACGTTTCCTCACGAGAAAGGCTGGAGGCCGAAAGAGCCCTTTATCGAGTACGGCGGTCACTGGTGGCTACAGCCTCTCCTCGAAGGCTGTATCCACGCGCAAGAGTTCTTTCGGGCGCGACCCAACGACTTCTTCGTCTGTAGCTACCCGAAGACAGGTACCACTTGGCTCAAAGCCCTAACTTTCGCCATCGCCAATCGATCCCGCTTCGACGATGCCTCGAATCCTCTCCTCAAACGTAACCCTCACGAGTTTGTTCCTTACATTGAGATCGATTTCCCCTTCTTCCCTGAAGTAGATGTTCTCAACGACAAAGGGAACACTCTGTTTTCGACTCATGTCCCATACGGGTCATTACCCGATTCGGTTGTGAAGTCGGGTTGTAAGATGGTTTACATCTGGAGAGATCCGAAGGACACTTTCATATCCATGTGGACATTCCTCCACAAGGAAAAGTCAGAACTTGGACCTATAAACAATCTCGAGGAGTCTTTTGATATGTTCTGCCGAGGTTTGTCTGGGTACGGTCCTTATCTTGATCATGTCTTGGCGTATTGGAAAGCTTACCAAGAGAATCCAGATCAGATTCTGTTCCTCAAGTACGAGACTATGAGAGCTGATCCTTTGCCGTACGTGAAGAAACTAGCTGAGTTCATGGGTTATGGATTCACTGCTGAGGAAGAGGAGAAAGGTGTTGCTGAGAAAGTGGTGAATCTTTGCAGCTTCGAGACGCTGAAGAATCTTGAAGCTAACAAAGGGGAGAAAGAGAGAGAGGATCGTGCTGCTGTTTATGCTAATAGCGCATATTTTAGGAAAGGGAAAGTTGGAGACTGGTCGAATTATCTGACTCCAGAAATGGCTGCTCGTATCAATGGGATAATGGAAGAGAGATTCAAGGATACAGGTTTGCTTCAACATGGTAAATGACTGCTTCTTGTTCCGAGAAATGATTGATTGATCTCTAAATGCTTGTTTACAGCACACGTTTGCTCCTTTTGTCAGTTTGATTCCATAATGTAATCATTTATATATTGGAATAATAAAATCTTGCTTCAGTTTTATCCAAAAGGTATTGTTTCTTGAGCCGGATGTGTCTTGATCTTCTGCAACTTATGTTTCAATCTCTTTTCTGTTCATGCACAGAGATTAATTAAATCCGAATGTTTCGGATAGATATTGATTCAAGATACGAGGATATCATAAATAGATCTTTCTCTTGTTATAAATAAGATGATACAAATTACACAGACATACAGAACCAAAAGAGAAGAAACAGAGCCTCCTCTGTTTCGCACCAACAAAGAACAAAAAGGACATAGATGAAGTCAGAGAAAACGCATTTCACTGATCATGTTGAAGCAAGCCAGTGTCTTTGAATTTCTCTTCCACTAACCCATCGATACGAGCAGCCATCTCCGGAGTCAGATAATTGGCCCAATCTCCGACCTTTCCTTTCCTGAAATAAGCGCTATTAGCATAAACCGCAGGACGGTCCTCTCTCTCCTTATCTCCTTTGTTAGCTTCAAGATTCTTCAGCGTCTCGAAGCTGCACAGGTTCACCACTTTCTCAGCGACACCTTTCTCCTCTTCCTCAGCGGTGAATCCATAACCCATGAACTCAGCCAATCTCTTCACAAACGGCAAAGGATTAGCTCTCATCGTCTCGTACCTGAGGAACAAAATCCGGTCTGGGTTCTCTTGGTAAGCCTTCCAGTAGCCTAAAACATGATCCAGGTAAGGACCGTACACAGATAAACCTTTACAGAACATATCGAAAGACTCCTCGAGGCTCGCTAATTGTCCCTCTTGAGACTTCTCCTTGTGGAGGAAAGTCCACATGGAGATGAAAGTGTCCTTCGGGTCCCTCCATATGTAAACCATCTTGCAACCCGATTTCACAATCGAATCGGGTAGCGACCCGTTAGGGATGTGGGTGGAGAAAAGCGGGTTCTTTCTGTCTTGGAGGACATCGACGGTCGGGTAAAACGCGAAATCGATCTCGACGTAAGGCACGAACTCGTGAGGGTTTCGTTTGAGGAGCGGGTTCGTGGCGTCGTCGAACCGAGATCGATTGACGATGGCGTAGGTCAGGGCTTTGAGCCAAGTCGTGCCGGTTTTCGGGTAGCTACAGACGAGGAAGTCGGAGGGTCGTGCCTGAAAATGGTCCTTGGCGTGAAAGAGGCCTTCGAGGAGACATTCTTGCCACCAGTGTCCGTCGTACTGGGTTAAGATCTCGGTGGGTCTCCAGCCTTTGCTCTTGGGAAGCGCGGCGATGAGATCGTGGTACTTCTTCTGGGTTTTCTCAAACTCCGAGAGTTCGACTTCGGATCCGTTCTGGGTCGTGTTTGATTCCATTGCGGATGAGCTCGAGTGAACGGATTTTAGAGGGGATATATATAGGGAAGCTCTTCTCGTTAGAGTTGTGTGTGGAAGATGAAGAAGTTGGGTTGAGATTGTTGAGTGACGAGAAAATGGGTTTTATAATCGAATCGAAAATTTTGGTAGATGATGGCTCGAATATACGACAAATTGTTAATAAGGTATCATTTGGTTTGAAGTTAAACAAATGTTGAAGTTTTTCTAAATTTAAAAATTAAATGGGTTTAAGGCTTATAAAAATTGAAATTTGTTATAAGTGTTTGCATGAAATTTGATATGATTATGAAAAATCTCGTCTAATAAATTAAAATTATATTTATATATTTTTTGTAGGTAAAATTATATAACTCAAAAATAGATAAGCAAACTGAAGAAGTGGTTGTTGTTGGAACTAAAAAATCACGTTTTAGAAATGGAAGTTTGTAGGTAAAAGACATGGTTGGTCTCGCTCCCTAATTGAAAATTCGGTCCACGTTTAATATCAGAGCCATTGCTGATTTTTCTGTGCAACCTCCAAACCCCTTCTACAATTTATTTTCTGGTAAAACAACATTTTTATATCATTGAATTTCTAATGCAGTCCAGCCCATTAAGGCCCATCTGATAGATCCGCGAGTTCATATTCTTCCGAAGGTTTTCCTCCGATTCGTGTACGAAGTACGAACATAATTGTTTTAATAAATAATTACTCCGATAATGAAAATTTGATATCCATTACAGAAAATATCCTTTTAACATGTTTGGTTTGATGGATTAACAGAAAACAATAATTTAAAGCTGAAGTTTTATTCATTGGATTTATATATCATCAAATCCGGCACATGCTTTTTAGGCTAATTCATTTAGATGCAGTGACAAAAAGAAAATACATGATTAGATAACTCTCGTAGGAAATCAAACAGAACCGGGAGAGAGATAGAGTGGCATGCTTTTATAGCCAAGGAGATCCTAACTAAACCCTAGGGATTGCCTTGCAAACAAGAGTGTTCTTCATCTCCATAGAGAGCTTCAAAGTCTCGCTCAAATCTACTTCACCACATGGGACCCACTTGAAGCTACGTAGCAACTGAGCCAGCCATAGCTCCACAGTGGCTAGACCCATCGACTTGCCGGGACAGACTCTACGTCCAGCACCGAAGGGAGCAAGCCTTAAATCAGATCCCATGATGGGGAAGTTATAACTTTCTTGGGCACCAAGAAACCTCTCTGGCTTATACGCATGAGCCTCTGGCCAGACCTTTTCATCATGGGTTATAGCCCACATGTTAACCATGGCAGTGGTCCCAGCGGGGATAAAGTGGGTCACAATTTGAGTGTCGTGAATGGAGAGACGAGCCCATGAGAGGAGAGGGCCAGGTGGATGCATCCTTAGGGTTTCCTTGACGATGGCTCGAAGATATGGAAGCTTGGAGAGGTCTGAGTCCGAAACAGTACTACGTCCGGAGTCACCCAAGATAGCATCGATCTCGGCCTGCGCCTGCGCTTGGATGTCAGGGTGAAGAACCATCCTTGCAAGGATCCATTCCAGTAGAATCGCCACCGTGTCTGTTCCCCTAAAAATCATTTCCTATACCGTACGTAAAACCAATATTCGTGTTACGTTGATTACGCTAGAAATCCACATGTGTATATAAACAGTAGATTTGTACTAACCCAAAGGACAGCGATCATATCAGAGTCAGAAAGTTTGCTGTTGCCTTGCATGCCAAGTAAGACATTCACAAAGTCATTATCACTAGTGCTCTCTTCTTCTTGATTCTCCTGAAGAGACCTCTTCGATTTGTGGTCGGCGATTATCTTTCCGACGAATACATTGACTTTGACGACCAAGCTACGGCATCTTCTCCTCACGCCTTGTAAATCTAACCACCTCATTCCCGGGAAATGATCACTCCAGTTGAAGATCCCGAGAAGCTCATAGCCTTCCGACACCAAATACTCCAACTCATTGCGCTCTTTTAAGTTGGAAATATTACCATCGTTGAAGTCGTATGTTTTGCCAAAAACGCTAGACATCACGTTGTTGAGTGATCCGAAATGCAACATCCTTCTGATCTTCACCTCTCCATAACTCTCCATTGATTTCTTGATTTCTCCTACCATTTTTAGACCGATTTTTTTACGAGACTCGCTGAAGCCGGAGATCCTCTTAGGGCTAAAGAGATGAGTAGAAGAGATTCTCCTCAGCTCTCTCAGTAGTCACCAAAAGGAGCAAAACCCATGGCTCTATGAAAGAGCAACTCGTAAGCGGACTCTTTCACGGGCCGGTCTGCAAAAGCAGAGCTGTTTAAGAGCTCTTTCGCTGTCTCTGGTTCGCTGGTTATCACAAACCGGGTCGACCCGACGGAGAACGCCATGAGAGCTTTTGCTTTGCAAGAGTTAGCAATATTGGCGAGGATTCTGTGTGTCAAGGCGTTGTTGACGAAGGCCAAGAGGAGGCCAATGAAGGGGAGACCAGACGGGCCAGGAATGGCGGGTCCGGTTTTGGAATCAGGTCGGGTATGGAAACGAGCATTGTAAAGTGCCCAAGCAAAGCCACCTGGAGTCAACCAGAAAACGAAAAGGGATATGAAGAGGAAAATGCTGAGACAAAGCTCGAGACTCGGAAATGGAGAAGATTCGGATCCAAGAACGAAGGAAAGATACGTATCAATAGCCATTTTTGTTGTTGAAGATATTAGGGTTTCTTTTTAGCTAGTGATGCCGAAGAGAAGAAACAGTTGATGATGATGGAGATAGTGAGACTGCTTCTTATATAGTGGATGAAATTAACTAGGGTTAGATGATGGGTTAATAAGTAATATTGATTAGGTAAAATTGTAGCCAGCTACAGTTTAACCATGGTCCAAGCCTCCAAGGTTAAGACTTAAGACTCTGTAGAAAGATAAACTTGCCCCGCTTAACTTTGCTCGGTCTGATGGAATTGCCTTTTCGTTGCATGGTTTGTTAAAACATGCTTTAGTTGATGGAAATTAAGCTATTATTAAGTTATGACAAAAAAAAAAATCAATTACTTGTCATAACACAGATACATTTGGTTAATTTTACAAGGAAGAACTAATTGTATAAGAAAATAAAGAACATATTTTGGAACCGCAAATTATTTTTCCGGCTCTTTTTAACGCAACTAGTTAAGTGGCAAACCTTTTAGCAAAGAAAAAAACTAGTTAAGTGATACCCCACTGCCCTGTGAGGTGTTGGATTGCATTTGAAAGACAATACATTTGCGGACACCGATACGTTCGCAGTCAAGTGGATCTAACGATGTCGGATCAGATATTTGTTAATATCCTCCGATAAATTTATAAAAATTGGTTATATCTTTATATTGTTATCGATAATGCGTGTAAGAACAATGTACGTACCCATGTTTGCAAAAAAAAAAAAAAAAAAAAAACAATGTACCAACTTAAATACAAAAACACAACATATACCCACTTTTCTATTTATATATGTCGACAATTTTTTTATTTTTAATTTTGAGGCGTATTGGAAAGTCAGTCTGCCGGTGTGAAAGTTGAAAAAAATACCCAAGGAGGAAAATGTGTAAAAACATCAATTAATTAAGGAATATATAATATATATATATGTCTACACGAAATGGTCGGTTGAATTTTATAATACGATTTGACCGGAATGTGAACGAAGTTCCCTTATTATATATAGGGTTGGCTCCCTATTTGAGCCTGCAAGATCATAGGAACTAGGAAATACTATAACGGATTTGCCACCATATTTCTAGTATAAACTATCAATATAATTACGGATTCGCCACAATATATTCCCCCAGTTTGATGTAGATCAGTAATATGATATTGTTGTCTTCCGACTCGCGACCATGTTATAAACCTATATGAAAAATGGTATCTTAGCTTAGCCCATATCCGAGCTCATTACATCTCACATATATATTGAACTTGGTAAAATGTAAGTTTACAGAATGAAATTTTAGAGTAGAGAGAGCCTTTATAATTATTGAATTCAAACGCGCATAAATAATTAAATAAGAATAGATGGACGTGTTTTCTACCTAGATATTCCATTGGGACTCCACCCCAATTAATAATGAAATCGTTAATTAACAAGATGGATTTGCTTCCCTTTAGCCCAACAAAAAAGTCACTTTTTCCTCAGTGTCTCTTGAAAACGCACATGAGTCGACGACTCGACAGTGTCGGTCCTTCATGCAAACGGATAAGTATTTTAATATATTTCAAAACCAAAATCAAGAAGGAGATCGATCCTTGGCCTGATTTATATTCATGCTACTATAGAAAATATTGCATGTGTAGGAATATATAGCACGGACAAGTGAATTAACGATTGAATATAACATTTTGTTGGTCATATAGTATTTGCATGTTTAGGGATACAAAACTCAGTTTAGACGTTGATGAGCTAATTACCCTATCTATTAATGGAGATTGTTCGAACCTGGTTCCATATAAAACATGGTTTTGATGTTATATTATTTTCATCTTTAGTGGGCAATCAATTTTAGTAATGGAGGGAAATTATCTTAACTAAGGATTCTTGAATCTTAATTAATACCGGCCTATATATGTATAGGTCTAAATGAATCATACTATATTCAATTTGTTTGGTTGATAAATGATATACATACCAATTACGCCAAGAGACATAGTAATATGGTGGCCATGCATGATGCAGGGTGTCGACCAAACATAGCCTCGACCTCGTTTGCCACAAAATTGTCCCATTTAACATTGATACCACACACAGTGTGACACATATGGCATATAAAGTCCATGTGTGCGGTTATGGTCATATGTTGTCTAACTCAACGAGACATTTTAAGCTGTGATGAAGCTTAACAAAAAAAAAGCAAATGTCACAAATCGTGTGGGTCTTAAAAAAATAAATTCCATTTCTAACCGAAAACCGTTGATAGATACGTTGACCAAGTCAAAGATGTTATTTGACCAACTGTCGATCCTAGCTCAGATAATTTTCTTTTGTTGTTGTTTTTGTTGAAAATCAAAAGAAAATTATCTGACCAAGGAGCGACAGTTGTATCTATTTTCTTTTGATCCACCATTAATATTATACGTATTTTAGGAATTTTTTTTTTATCGAACAAGTTTCGCTTATCGCTATTTTAGCAATACAACAACCACAGGCCGGGCATAGCATTGCTTTAAAAAATTGCCAAAACGAACCAGAGTGACTGGGCCGGCTCGGCCCACCTAACTAGTAGTTACAATTGCAGGTCTGGAACAAGGGCCTCCGATTTTTGAACCCAAAGTATACATTTCCTCAGCAAATCCTTCACAGGGAATCGGAAGGCAATGGGCGTTGGTTTCGTTAATGTTTTCTTGCTATCAACTTTTCAGAACATCATCATGAACAGTGTTACTAATCCAATCTTTTATTGATCAGTCTTATTGTCCTTTCTCTTATTGCACTTCAAATGTGGGTCTTCTTTTAACACTTAATCGCTAGCTTCTTCTCTAGTTTTGAAAGATTAGACGGTGATTAGCACTGCTTTAGCATTGTTTTCAGGTCATATTGGCACTTTCTCTATTAATCAGCACTAATTAATCATAAGTTACTTAGATCCTGTCAAGAACATTTCATCTTCAGGTATTTTCTCGTGGCGGCATATAAGTTTAAGCACACAAGAAAACTCGGTCTCTAGCTACTTGTCTAGTTTTAAAGCATTAAACGGTGGGTTTTAATCACTGTGCTTGTGTCAAGTTACCGGTCATATGAGGTAGATTATGTAATAAAGATTACGTTCATCACAAGAGCAAAACCAAAAAGCACAAACACAATCTTTAAAACAATTAGTTAACCCATTTTCCATATTGTAAAGAAAACACGACGACGAGTCTGGAGCGAGATGATTAAAGAAAACAAACAAGGGTAAAACATTATTAAGGCGCACTAATTATTCATTTATTCTCATCCTCAGACTATAATTTGGCCCTTATTGCAGACTTTTTATCGCCATCATCTTGCTCTTCCTCAGCCGCGCCTGCTGGTGTCTTCTTCTTCTTCCTCTCTTTCTCTAGAATTCTTTTCAGAGTCGCAGACGCCTACTTGAACCATATGAAATCAAGTCTCAATTGTGAAAAATTATATATGCAATGAGGTATCAGTTGTGAAAAACCAAAATCGCTATATGCATCTGACCCTTTCATACACACCAGACGCAATCCTGGCACGCGTATCCTTTCTCATCTCTGCCAGAATTTTCCGGCAATAGGCTACATTACTCTCGTGGACATACCATTAGTAAAGAGCCTCCACTTTCCTCCGATAGAAATCGTCTATCTCCGGACTCTCCCATTCCTTCAAATCTTCTTTGAGCTCTACTTTTCCGCTCTCTCTCATCTTTGATCTCCCTTCTCCTCGGATGATCCGTTGCATTTATACAACTCTTACGATTTTTCTATGTCATTATCATTAAAAAAAAAAAAAAACTTATATTGAGATAATATATCTCGCCCCACAATATCCGCGATTTCCTGAATATGCAACAAAGCTCAATGCGGACATGCTTCAAGCCTCTGAAATTAAACTCCAGCCCACTAGATTATTGGACCTAAAGTTGATAACCACTGGGAGGATGCATTGTCCTCGAGCCACCAACTCAAGAAAACTGATATCAGATTCGATAGCTCATGGCAGTTTCAAGATAACCCATATCGATGGTAGTTTTTGTCAGCAGGATGAAACTGTTCCCTGAATAATCACGCCACGAAATTGAAAGCGGGTTTGAAAAGCGAGTCCCATCATTTCGGAGCAGCTCGTGGTAAAGTCAGACTTAAGTAAGAGGCAGCCTTTGTTTCAAGCAGTGCAAGAATAGCCAATCTACGAAGCAACCGACTCCATGAAGGACTTCATGTTCACCACATCTTCTTTCGTCGTTAGATGGCTAGACGGTTTCAGAAGCTTCCAAAGCCCAGCGGGATGTCGTTGTTTCACTCGTGCATTCTCTCTTCTCTTCCCGAACATTCTTTCGCACTCTGGGTATGGCTTCACGTACAGATTATAGAATCTTTTCGTGCTTGGTTTGATCAAACCTTTCAATCCTATATCGCAGCCAAGCCCTCCTTTGAGTTTCAAGTAATCGACGACATTGTACCGAGGGATTATCTGCTTCTGGAGACTCACCCCTAGATACTCTGGCACATCAGCTAAGCAATCGATGTGGAATCCCATTCGGTTTGTTAAAATATCAATCTTCTTCTCTATTTCATCGACCTCATACAAGATCACCCTCGGCTCTTTCCACACAACCTTGAATGCGTCTCTACGGATCAACCCGTGTTTGCATAAACAATCGACTCTGAGTTTCACTTCAAATCCAGCACGTAACGCTCCTTCGCTGAGAATACTGACTCTGATCACTTCGCGGCATTTCAATGTCTTGACCAACTCCAAACACCGTGAAAGCTCTCCTAACTCCAACCCAAGAACTCTCGGTTCTCTAGCAATCTCTTTCTTGATCTCGTCCTTGCTAAATCCCATCTTCAGTAACTCATCAAGCAGTGGCCTAAGCCTGGTCTCGGTGCCAAGTCCTAGAATCTCAGGAAAGATGTGAAAGAACCTCTCGATGCTATCTCGAGGAATGCCGATTCCAGCCAAAAACTCAACCTTCCTGAAGATTTCAATCTCGCTCACCACGAGAACGCCAGGGAACGCATCTAAAACCCTACCAACAGTACTGTCACAAAACCCTAAACCCCTCAAAACCTTCGTGCATTCATAAAACTTATCAGGACCAATCCCAATTCCGCTGGAATATTCAAGGACGCTCTTAATCGCGGAAGAGGATACGCCGTGTTTGCCGCAATCGGAGAGAGGAGCCCTCCATTTCCTCAGGAACTCAGATCGCAGAACGGCGGGGCAATCGCAAATCAACGAGACGAGTGATTTCTGAGGGATTTTCAGCGACAGCAAGATACCGAGAGAGGTATCGATCTCGGATAAATCCGAATTCAAGAGGAAGCTGTTCCTTGAGAGGAATTGCTGGAGAGAAGAGGGAGGGAATCCGTACCTCTGAAGGAGATTCGCGAGCAAAATCTGCTTCCTATAGTGCGATTGGTTGACAGGTGCGAGAATCCGTGAAGATAGTGATCGATTCTGGTTGAATAGAGTTGCTGTGTAGCAGCCACGGAGATTGATTAAGGTTCGAAGTTTTGAGGCCATTCTGATTTTAGCTTCGGCTTTGAAGACAGACAAACACTGTGTGTGCAAAGGAGGAAGGACACAATCGGATGAAAATTAAGATTACCGTAATTACACTTTTGCCCTTAGAGTTTTCATCTTATTTTACTAAAAGACAGTCACTATTTATTAACTCTCGTTATCATGAAGATAAAAATAATAATTTTTTTAATTCTATCATTTTTCAGTTGTTTTTTATTTTCTAATATTGCCTTTTAAAAAAACATTTTTATATTTAAAAAATGAACGATGGTTTGACAGGCCAAGAGCTTGATAAATATTAGTTCTTTGGCTGCCAAAAACTTCAAAAGAGTCATTATGTGATATTTTTCTCTAAAATGAGATATAAAAACATAATAATGATAATAATTATTTTAATAATAAATATATATTTGTCATGTCGCGAGACGTAAGTATGAAGGACAGTAAAGTTTGTCCTATCCTTGGAACTTCGCCTTTCCCTCAGCATGAATAATAAGATCATCAAAGCATTGATGAGTGTAGTATACAACACAATTGCTAGTAGGAAACGTAATCACAGAACCGATATGTATTGATCTTTAGACAAATAAGAGAGAAATACTCGTGTATGTACTGTGCAAAATATTTGTTAAATTCGATGTCATACACATTATACATAAAAAAAAAATTGGATATCCGTAATTCTATCAAATTTGTAGATACTAAAAGTCAATATCTGTCAAGTTAAGAGCACCTTATAAATGTTAAATTTTCTGTATATACAAATATATAAATAATTATTGTTATTATTATATTTTTATATCTTTCTTCTTATTATTATGTGATATTATCATTTTCTTACATGTTCATTTGATTTACATGTAAATTCTTGAGTTTGGAGGTGGGAAATGAATATATTGCAATTTTAAATTTGATTTTTTTTCCCTCAACAATGAAAATTGTTGGAAAATAGCAAATTCCCCTGTAAACTAATAAATTTTTGATGATTCACTTTTTTTTTATGTGTTTTTTCTTACATAAATTCTTGAGTGGATATCTGTTTTATTCTCTTGCGTCTTAATTTTTTTGTGAGAACTATTTCCTTTAGTAAAAGATAAATTGCCTCAAACCTCTCAGTAGCCTGTGCGCATTCAGAGACCATGTTTGTGATCATCATCGACAAACACATCAAGGTTTTGTTTTATAAACTCCAATACTACTACTTACCTTTACTCTTGCGAATGGAGCAAGGAATGTAAGCTGCAGCAAGATCTCAAATGAAAGAAGTGGAATCAGCCGCTCTCCCTTCCTAACAGCTTCATTCACAAGTATGTTCCGAGTCTTCGGATTCGACAAAATGCTGATAAGAAAAGTGCATAAACAAGATCAGATGATTCTCACAATACTAGATATATAGCAGAGGAGATCACATGAAAACTTATGACTCACTTCTCAACGAATTGCAGTATGAGATCCATTGACTAAGGGCTGCAGCACTTCTTATTACTGGCTAATGGCAACAAGTTATGTGCCCATGAATACAAGCCAGCAAATAAATCGCCTCGGGAGGCCTGCCCACATTTTACGGTTCAGAAAATTGCAGAACACAAACCTGCTACGAACAAATGTATCACACGAACCTGAGCCATCATCCAAACTATAGATGGGAGTTTATCCTGTCCCATCATCCAAACTACGCAATACCAATTTCTACTATTTTTACTAGGATTTTGATTTTTAAATTTCTACAAATTATTTTAAATTACTTAAAAATTAATTATTTTTGAATTTTTGTACATTCTATCAAATTCAATCATCTAATACTACCCCTTTAGTATCAAATGTTTCAATTGATGCAAATTAACATAAAATAAGATCACTTTTTTATAAACTTCATGTTATAGGACACTATAATTACATAATTGTATGGTATTAATGTAATTTTTTGTAGCATCAATTTTAATTGATGTAAATTTTGTATCATTTTAACAAGTCATATTAACCAAAATAAATTTATATAATAATATCAATTTTGTTAAAATGATACAAGTTAATAGAAATCTATACTCAAATTTTGTTCACTTTGATCAACACATATATTTGGTTCTATGTGAACACATTTGAGTATATTCCATAAATTCCTTGCTGTTATCAAATAATATATACAGTAATTGTATTTTCGTTACACCCTTAGTTTGGTATTTATGAAATATACCCGAACTTATGTTATTGCTAGTATCATAATGATGCAACTAGGAATTTTTTAAATTTTTGTTCCTATTTTTTTAATCAAAATTTACAAAAAACATGTTCATTAATCTTTCAGCTGAAATGGTAATACTTCCTTCAAATTGTCTTATATATATACCTCGAGTCTCTCTTTTTTTTGGGTAAAGAACCTTGACTCTGGCTCCAAAATTGTGCATCGAAATTTAGTGGTTCATGTTTGTATAGTTTACGGTAGGATTCGTAAAACAAACCAAAGATCGACACTACACCTAACATATTAATTGTTTCACAGCAATAAAAGTTAGTACAGTATAAAAGAAAAAAAGAAACAAGTAAACAATTAATTATGGTCATCAGAGTGACACTAATTACTCACTGGACAGAGCTGATAGGAAAAGAAACTTTCTCGCTAGATTTAAATAGAAAAAAGTTACGAAGCTCCGTTACATTTATTCATTTATTTCTCGTTTCACCTTAATTATATAATTTGGGTAAATATTTGGGTTCTTTTTCTTGCGGTTGCCATTGTTAAAAAAATACCTAAAACAAAGAGGGACCTTTATCCTCTGTATCGCCCATAAGGATTAAAGATTGATTTGCATTTTGGATTTCCCCTATCTCCAATCTTTTTGTTTTTTTAATCTCCTTATCAAATTTTCCCGCACTTTCCCAACCCAAAGGAAGGAATTTTGTTTTTTCCCAGGAAAAATGAGATGGGAGAGGGTCCGACAACAGAACCAACAAGTGGGTCTCGGTGATTCTTCTTCTTCCGGGCCCGGAAAGAGATGGGGACACACTTGTAACGCCGTCAAAGGAGGCAGATTTCTCTACGTTTTCGGTGGATTTGGTAGAGACGACTGCTTAACCAATCAAGTTCATGTCTTGGACGCTGGTGAGTTCTTCGGATTACATCATCTTTGCGAAAAATGTCACCTTTTTTTTTAATTTTCAAAGTGTTTCTTCGTGTGCATCGATTCTCGTAGTGCCCGTTTTGCCAAAAAAAAAAGTATCAATTTTGTTCGATCCGTGCTGCGATTATGTCTTAGTCTTAAGGTCTTTCTTCTTCTTCTTCTTGTTCGTTCGTGCGGTAGACCCATTCACTAGACACCACTTATTCAATTTTGTAGCCAATCTTGATATTTGTCCGTCTTTGCTTGAATGATTTGAACTTTATTCAGATCTCTTTATTGATGTAAAAGTCTCTTTTCGTGGTGATTTGGTTGCAGAAACCCAGATATGGACTCAGCCGGTAATCAAAGGCGTACCGCCCTCTCCGAGAGACAGTCACAGCTGTACAACAGTCGGGGATAAGCTTTTTGTGTTTGGTGGTACTGATGGCATCAATTATCTCAAGGATCTGCACATTCTAGATACTTGTAAGAGCTCTTCCATCTCTTCTTTCCTTGTCTGGTTAGATAAAAAGAAACACTTGTGTTTTAAGTGTTCCTGGTGTGAGGCTTTTGAGTTTGAATTCGGTTTGTTTCTTGTTTTTGTGTGTGATAGCTTCACATACTTGGAGAATCCAGGATGTTAGAGGAGAAGGACCTGAGGGAAGAGAGGCTCATAGTGCTGTGCTTGTTGACAAACGTATCTTTATATTTGGCGGCTGTGGGAAATCTTCTGGGTCGGATGATGAAGTGTTCTATAATGACCTTTACATTCTTAACACAGGTACAGCTATAGGCTGCTTCTTCATACCATTTATGTAATTGATATGGAACCTGTTTGAGAGATTCTAAAATGAACCTTTTTTTTGCGTTGACTCCTTCTGTGTGCTCATTTCTCTGTTGATTTTTCAAATAGAAATTCTGGTTCTTGTTTCTTTGGACGCATGTAACTGAATTGGCTTTAATATTGTTTAGAGACTTTTGTGTGGAAACGAGCTGTAACGACTGGGAATCCACCCTCTGCACGAGATAGCCACACTTGCTCAACGTGGAAGAAGAAAATCATTGTAGTAGGTGGTGAAGATTTGAATGACTATTACCTCTCCGATGTTCATATCCTTGACACAGGTGCTAAATTTAGCATTGTTGAATCACATCTTCTTCTTATGCGTGCGTGTGTATGTCTTGTGATATATTCTGGTTTTGTATTTTCAGAGACATTTGTATGGAAGGAGTTGAAAACTTCAGGGCAGTTGTTAACACCTCGAGCCGGTCATGTCACTGTTGCACTTGAGAGGAACTTATTTGTCTTTGGAGGGTTTACGGATTCTCAGGATCTTTATGATGATCTCCATGTGCTTGATGTGGGTATGTAACTGAGACATTCGTTTAATTACAAGCTTTCAATTGCTTTATCTGTCTTGTGATATTTAAAATAACTAAAATTGTCGGTTTCGCCTATGTAGAAACGGGTGTATGGTCCAAGGTAGTTTCCATGGAAGAAGGGCCATCTGCTAGATTCTCTGCTGCAGCGGTTTGTTTAGGCCCTTACAAGGATGGTTTGTTTTTGTTTCTTGGCGGCTGCAATAAGAATCTCGAGCCGTTGGATGACATTTACTACTTACACACAGGTTCGTTACGACCTCTCGGTTTAACCCCCATTCTTGGGTCTATGGAGCTGATGTTCTGTATTTGCTAACTACCCTCCTGTCTTTGCTTATGGCTAATAGAAGGCGGATACGATGCACGGGTTGATCTAAATCCAGGGAGGTTGTCTCTAAGGAAACAAATGAAGCTAAAATGTCATTTAGCTGTGCCCGGGACCAATACTGATCAAGGTGTGTTTAACATGGAGGACCTCTTACGTTAATGTGGCATTTACTGTATATATGAAACCACTCAGCTGCTGTTTTTTATTTATTGTAGGAAGAGAGGATCTCCTCCCTTTGAGCATTGTGCCGATTGACCAAGGAAAAACGATTTTTCAAGCAAGGGTTACAGAAAACGTTCATTCAGGTTACACTATAGAAACGATCATTGATGGAAAGGTGCTTCGCGGTGTTTTGTTTTCAAACAGGCACAGCTCTGTTCAAACGGCAGATCCAAGTAGGCAAGTGTTAGTTATTATCATTCTTCCTCTTTTTTTTTTGGCTTTCAGGTTATAGTTTCTCTTTTGCCGCAGCATTGTTGATCTGTTGATTCTTAGCAGGATAAGGCCTGCTGTGTCGTCGGATGCCGATTATGATCATAGAGCAAAGTCTCAGAGAACTTTGAGCAAGGATTCAGCAGGCAGTAGCCAGCAAGCTGATCCTATCGATGATGCTAGCAAGAACGTTGCAGATTCAAACGATATGGACACACCCATGATTGACACTGCTGATGCTAGTGCAAACACGGCGGGACCACAGGACGCAGAAACCGCTGCTGTGACCTCTGATGTCAAAGATCAAGATCCTTCTCAAGTCGATATGGTATGGAAAATATCCATCTCCAGCAATTTCTGCTATTTTGGAATGATGCTGTTTCTTAAGAGAATTGAATCTGCAGGGCATTGTGAACGCAGAACCATCAGGGGTTACTCTTGATCAGGCGAATGTAGAGCCGGTGAGAAATGAGATAACAACAGACGTTGGTGATGCTGCTAAAGCTGGACCTGCAGGAGATTCTTTGCCACAAAACCAAGGTCGATCGGTTATAAAGTCTTAACTAATTCTTTATGATGAACAACAGATGAGGAAACAGTTACTACGGAAGATGCAAACGCAGAGCAGCAACCACAACCTTCATCAACAACATGAAGGATCTTTTTGGGGTTGTACAGTAGCAGCTGGAGATAGGTTATGGATTAGAAGCTAGGGTAGAAGAAAGTTAAGGATGAGTAGAAGAAACTAACTCTTGAGTTGAGGTCATTTGTTTCTGTTTTTTTTTTTTTTTTTGTATTTGAAGCTCTGCAATACGAAACCAGCTTTACTCTGTTCTTACTGTTATTATTCATTTTTTTTTTTCATGAGCATAGTTTTTTTCTTCCAAGTGAACGCACGCACAGAAACAGAACAGTTATTTCTGAAGAAAATTGGGTGATTGGCATTTACTTTGGCATACCTAAACTCTACACAATCTCAAGAAGGAGTCTCTGTTTCTTCGGGAATAAGCTTGCCATTTATGGGAACTATGATTAGGACAATTTACTGAAGATATTTGGAAAAAAATCGTTTTCCTCTCACTGGCATTGTTTCACCTTGATATAAAGATTACGTTTGACATTAGTCTTTTCGTAATGACTATTGACAGTAAATGTAACCATTGATCAATTAAAAACATGTGTGTATCAGTGTATGTATGCGTGTTCTATGGAGATGTTAAAAAGGTAAAGAGACAAAAATTCGATGATTACATATTTTTTTTTGACAAATCAGTAATGGCGTGAAACCATGTGCCTCGATGATTGAGCATTCTTAATCTTTGACCAAGACCCACTTTAACTTTACTTATACCACGATTAATATTAATTGTGTTTGTGTAGCTTTGGAAAATGTTGATTGTGTTTGTGATACCATCATTGGTCATGTATTCATATGTATGTATGTAGTGTGTATTTATATGTAGCATATACAGAGAATCTGCTTTATACGTTTGGATCCAACGACAAAGAGTAAATGCTAAAGAAAGTAGATATATTAACTACGAAATAATTACTTCAATCGCTATATTACCAACCGAAGTTATTTCTCTTACTAATTCATAACCATTTCTTTGACGTGGGTCTAATACTTTTGTTCTTTTACTTAACTCTTTTTTTAAATGATTTTGTTGTACCATTCACGTGGGGAATGCTACAATTTTCAAACAAGCATTGTTTCTAAAAGAAAATAAAAACCAGTTCAATTGATTTTACGAATTCAAAAATATACAACTGTGTGATACAGAATATATCATTCGGAGATCAGTTTAATGAAAAATCCAAATTGTCCTTGTTGGCATCCCCAACCACTCTCCAACTAATTTTTGCGACTCATTAATCTATTTAGTAGTATTAGTAAGTGTATATAAAACCAAATATTTCCTATAATACTTTGTAGATTTTCCAATTATTTAATCCTCAACATTTCTTTTAAGTTTTAATAAGTTCCATGCAACAAAAGACATGCATATTATAAAAATTTTGAAAGAGTTCCACTATGATAAAAATAAGAAGAACAGCACTTGCTACTTTTATGTTGACACGATAATTAAGACCCTTTATCTTCTTTAGTGGCTCTAAATTAAATTAATAACAAATCAAGATTCTTCTTATTGATATATAAAAAAATTACTAAAGTTTAGTAGCTATTCGTTTGTTTTTTCGTAAAGCTATATACTACTAGACTCTACAGTTCACAGTATGTCATCTACGAATACGAAAATGATTGATTTAGATTGGAGAAATAAAAAAAAAGTCGAACAAAATTGATGTGGTTGTCAATTTTTATAATTATGAGTCGAAAATGACAAGAAAAAGGAACAACAAGAATAAGGTGTTGAGATGCAAAAAAACTGAGGAGATCTCGACGTAAGAAGAGAGAAACTATAAATAAAGCAAAAGGGTAACATAGAAAAGTACAAAGTTTTCGTCTGAAATTAAAAGAAGAAGAAGAAAGTGACGACTTTTTAAAGAAACATCATCATAAATTAGAGAAACTGCGGAAATAATATGTTTTCATGTATGTGGTTACACTTACACATATTTTTGTTTTACTTACCTTTGCGGATGGCATTTAATGTAATTCCGTGTCCTCACCGGCAAAAAAAAAAAAATTAAAGACGAAACTGAGATATTTTTTCTAAATAGTTTTCATATATCTAATCTGACTCTGGATTGAAACACATTTGGTTTCATTTTAAGTGTTGAGAGTACATATCGACTTATGTGTTGTAATCTCTATCGTGTTTGAAATAGTTTAAGAGATAATAATAATTAGATTTCATGTATTGTATGTGAAATTGTAACATGTTAACATTTTTTTTTCCTAATCGTAGAGGAGAAATATTATTGTGTAAATCTATGGAAAACAATCTCCACCAAGATGAGATTATTTATTGCAAATTTTCAGTCTCAAATCCGGGATCTTGAACATTATTTTTTTTAAAATACAGTAAGAAGAAAAAGAAAAAAAAAAATGAATCATTCTCTGGATATGTCGATGACCTGACACAGAAGAGGTCACATGTAGAGAAAGTAAACCAGATCCACTCTCTCACATGCTTTTGTGAGATGGAGAGCCTCTGTCTCTTCCACACACCACTTCCAATGTTTTTATTTTTCAACTTCTCCATTATCTAATAAATAATCTGAAATTTCTTGTTCATGCTAACATTTTCTTCTACATTTATTATCTTAAAAGAAAAAAAGAAAAAAAAAATGAAAAGAATCCTTCCATTTTCCCAATAAGCCTTATGTGGCTGTATTTCCGGTTTGTTCTCTCCCTTCTCTGAGCAGTTACCAGTGAGTACAAAAAACAAACAGAGGAACATTTAGTCTCTTCTTGGATCTGGACGAGATTCCTTTGTTCCTTTCTTTAATCTCTTAATTCTTCTTTCTTCACTTGGCGGTTTCTCTTCTTCTGCATCTCTTTCTTATCTCTTCTTCTCATTGGTTCTGTAATTTTTTAGCTACATTTAGGGCTGATTTCTTTTTTTCAGACAAAGGGGGGTCACACTTGTTCATCTTTCTACTGTTTCTGGTTAGATTCTTGTAAGATTAGATCCAATTACCAAAACCTTTTCCTTTTGTCTTCAGTGGAATCTGGGAATCTAGGTCTGTAAAAAAAAGGCGGAAACTTTTTCTTTCCTTTTTAGATCCGTAGGTTACTATTAGTGTGGGACTCAGAACTCTGATTAAAATGATGAATTTTTTTTAGTCTGTGAGTTTGGGATTTTTTTTTTTTTCGAAGCTTTACTTAGCTGGTTTTGAATTGAAATCTTTAAACGGGTATCAAGTTTTCTTCAGAGAGAAAAAGGCTAAATTTTTGGAGTTTATATGTATTTGGAAGTTGCGTCATTCTCGTTATGGTTTTAATGGTGGTTACTGTTGATGATGGAGATATAGAAAGAAAAAAGAAAGCTTTAAAAGTCATCTCTTCCATATTATTGCAAACACATCATTGAGTCAAAAAAAGTTTGGGTTCTTTGGAAAATCAATAAAGGGGAGAGTAAAAGGTGGAGCAGAAAGTTCCGGCGCCGGAGAATTGTTTTGTGATCTATTGTCATGGCTGCGAAGCTTCTGCATTCGTTGGCAGATGATAGTGCAGATCTGCAGAAGCAAATTGGATGTATGAATGGGATTTTTCAAATCTTTGATCGTCACCATGTTCTCACAGGCCGGCGAAAAAGCCTTACTTTAGGTAAAATTATTATTAAATGTTTCAAACACTATCTCTTCTGCTCTCTATGGTTCGTGTCTCGTAGTCGTTGACTTGTATATGATCACTTATGTAGTTTTTTAATTCATGTCTTTTTCCTTTCCTTTCTGTATGATCTTCCCTATTTTGTTTTGGCTCTGCATTTGCCAATGTGGTGTGATTCTTTCATAAACCAGGTCTTGTTACATTCTCAAAGATCTAAACTTTTTGGTTTTGCTTGCTTTCTTAGTGATGTTGATCTGCCGAATCTTTTATTTAGATTTGATTTCCATTTCTGCCGGTTTTTTTCTTGGTAGATTTTGACTTTTAGCAGCTCCTTCTTAGGCTCAAGAAGTTTCCAACCAAATGTGATACTGACTTGCAGCTTCTTATAGGTTTCTTAATTGCGTCTCTCAATGCGTAATTGTGTGTTCCTTGTTGAGAGTGTCGATATGATCCTCAAGCTTGTTTTATGTGTTTGTTGCAGGTAATGAAAATGCCAATAGTATCAACTTTGAGAGAGAGACTGTTGATACATTTTATCAAACAAAAGACACTGTAAGCTTATTCTGTGGTCACAGATCTACGATTTTTTCATTTAAACCGAGGTTTTCAATAAGATCCTAAGGTTTTTTCTGCATTTCAGTTTCAGGACACAAACACTGGTGGGAATGTGAAAGAGAAGCAAAGGGTTTCAACAGAATCATCGAGAGTTTCTTTCTCGTCTTCCTGCTCGTCCTCCCCATCGTCTTCTGAGTTCAATAGAGGAGTTCAACCTGAAGCTTCTGCCTATGACCAAGCCAATTTCCCAGAATCTCCTACAAGTGATCCTGAGATGACTGAAGGGAACGGATTTTCACATCTGGGAGTTGACCTCAGAGATGTTGTGAGAGACTCTATGTACAGAGAAGCCAGAGGGCTTTCGGTTAAGACTCCTATGACAAGAGAGGAAGTAGTTAGACGCAGCAGAAGAGAGGATTCTCCAAGGCCTTACGGTTTGAAGCAATCCACACCTGCTGATCTCAATGAATCCTTCAGATTTCTAGCCAAACTTCGAGAAACACCTCAACATTACAATGAGGTTGGAGCAAAAGATGCACCTCGTTACTCCGTTGATTCTCACGATACGTTGAAATCCAGACAGAGGCTGAAAGAGTTGCCTAGGCTTTCTCTGGATAGTAGAGAACGAGTGGTGCTAAACTCCAGTGTTGATCTTAAATCAGGTAAGCTTTCTGAAAGTTTCAGCGGAAGCTCAAGCAGCAGCAAGAAACGGCCTCCCAGTGTTGTTGCAAAGCTCATGGGCCTGGAGACACTGCCTGGTTCTCCATTGGGCAGAGACATCCATCAGTATGGTTTGAACAAAATCGACTCTTTTGATCATAGCAACGATCCGTTCTCAAGATCATTGAGGGAGAAAAATCTGAATCGTGCAATCCGGTTTTCTCCTAGCTCACCGAGAAGCCTGGGGAAGGACCCGTCTTCTCCAAGATGGAGAAACTCTGATTTTGTTATGAAACCTCTATCAAGTTCTAGATTTCCCATTGAACCAGCTCCATGGAAGCAAGCTGATAGAAACCGAGTTTTGCAAAAGCAAGCTATGCCCGTGAAATCAGCGCCGTCTGAAGCACCTAAGTTTCCTCCTACTGTGTACAGTGAAATGGAGAGGAGGCTGAACGAGCTCGAGTTCAAACATTCGGGAAAAGATCTGCGAGCTCTTAAACAAATATTAGAGGCTATGCAATCAAAGGGTTACTTGGACACAGAGAAACAACAACAATCCTCAAACTCGGCAGCTCAAAGAGATTATGAAAGAGCAAATCCTGCAACTTTAAACCAAGCCATGCCAACTAGAACGAGAGTCCCGTCTTCTTCATCTTCATCCAGCCAGGTGTATCAATCCCCGATTGTGATTATGAAACCTGCAAAACTTGTTGAAAAGGCTGGTATTCCCGCGTCGTCCCTTATTCCCATTCACAGCCTCTCTGGACTTAATAAGGCCCGTAGAGAGATACCTGATGGAAAAGGAACTTCAACGAGTAGCAAACGGGTGACTAAAGATCGTAGTCCAGGAAACCGAAGAGCTGAATCATGTACCAGCTCCATTGATAAGAAATCTGACAGCAGAAATGTCCGGTCTTCTTCTTCAAAGAAGCCTCATCAGGTTGCCAAAGAAAGTACTTCAAAGAGTTCAGGATCGGTAAGTCCAAGATTGCAGCAGAAGAAGCTTGAGTATGACAAACGTTCAAGGCCACCAACCCCTCCATCTGATTCTAGTAAATCAAGGAAACCTCCAAATAGACAACTCGCGGAATCGACTTCTCCTGGTGGCAGACGTAGACCCAAGGCTCAGAAGAGTTTGCAGCAAAACGAGGACCAACTTAGTCAAGCCAGCAATGAATCTAGGACGTCAAGTCATGACACGTGTACTCAGTCTGAAGCAGAAGCCGATGGTGGTAAAAGCCCATCTGTAATCGAGGCAGCCAAAGCTGTAGTCTCTAACTTAATGCAGAATGTGAGTTCTGTGCCTCTTTGTTATTTCTAAGCATTTGGTGTGAAAAGATGTTATGTTAATAATTCTCACAATTTTTTTGTTTGTTTATGTTTTCAGAAATCCAGTCCAAGGTTTAGTGAAGATGGATCGTCAGCAAACCTTTCACTAGTTGCTTTGGAACATCCAAGTCCTATCTCTGTTCTCGACGCCTCAATCTACAGAGAGATTGAACCATCTCCTGTGAAGACACAAGGTAGCAAACGGATTCTAACTCTAGTATTATCATGGTCATGAACACTGAAAAATATTGGCATGGATAATTGCAAAGATCAAAGTCACTTTAAGATGTTATGACCAGTGGTCCAAACTCTTACATCTGTCTTTAGCTTGCTTAGTATGGGAAAGTTTCTCTATTTCAATATTTTCTCAATGCAAGGATTGGATATTCAGTTTCTGACTCAGAAATGATCATGTGATTAGGTAATGTTGCCCATGATTCTGGCGATGAACATTGCGAGGACCAGTGGAATCCAGCTTACAGTTTCTCGGAGACAACATCAAGCTTTTCGCCAGAGATAAACCGCAAGAAGCTTCAGAATGTTGAGCACTTGGTTCAGAAGCTCAGACGACTGAACTCCAGCCATGATGAAGCCAGCCAAGATTACATTGCATCGCTTTGTGAGAACGCAGATCCCAACACCGATCACAGATACATCTCCGAGATTCTATTAGCCTCTGGTCTTCTCCTACGAGATCTTGGCTCAGGACTAACGACGTTTCAACTACACCCATCAGGCCACCCGATCAACCCCGAGCTGTTCTTTGTTCTTGAGCAGACAAAGGGAAGCAGCACTACACATCTGTTACACAAAGAAGAAAGCAAGGTTCTGAACAAGGAGAAGCTCAACCGCAAACTCGTGTTTGACACCGTTAATGAGATTCTTGTGGAGAAACTAGCTTCGGTTGAAGCCACGACGAATCCATGGATGAAGTCATCTGCTAAGATGACTAAGAAAGCCATGAGTGCGCAACAGCTGCTGAAAGAACTGTGTTCAGAGATAGAAACACTGCAAAAGCAAGCCACAAAGAGATCAGAAAACTGCTTGTTGGAGGAAGAAGACGACTTCTTGAAAAGTATACTTGCAGAAGATGTAATGATTCGGTCTGGGAACTGGGTAGACTTCAATGGAGAAATCACAGGATTGGTGCTGGATGTGGAGAGGCTTCTCTTCAAGGATCTGGTGAATGAGATCGTACATGCAGAGGCTAGCCGTCTGCAAGCAAAGTCAGGAAGGAGAAGAACGCTTTTCGCAGACCAGTAGCAAAGGCTGTTAAAGAAGACAATATATAGACAAGTGGTTTTCCCTTCTTTCTCTAACTCTGTAACTGTGTTCCATGCAACTCTGGTCTTTTTTGTCTTCTGATTCGTATGCTCGTTTTTGGTCATCTGTATTGTACGGCAGGATAATAATCACATGGTGTGTTATGTAATAACTGAAATTCTTGATATGGTACCTGAAGAAAAAACTGTAAAGCGGGTAAAAGAAGAAAGGAACCAATGGGAAATCTTCTTTGAGAGATCTCAAGCAAGTTTTTGTATTCAGTTGATACTTGATACGCACTGAACAAACCACCAAACAGCTCCAAGTCGAAGATATGTTTGAATCATTACATTTATTCAAAGACAGACAACAACACATAGGAACCAAACACAAGTCGTCCTGGTTTTGCGAAATAGTGCAGGAGGTTTTGAGAAGAACAACAGCAGATGGGGACAATAAAGATATTAACACACTAATGGATTTGACATCAACGATGTAGAACCAAGGAGAATCAAAAGAGAGAGATGAACGCCTTGTGGAAATCTTTTCATGCAACTTCTTGTGTTTTAATATATTATTGATTGAACCAGCCACCAAACCAGCTCTAAGATAAGTTTAAGCATTATTACATTTATTCAAAGACAGGAACAGTCCACAGGAACCAAACACAAGTTAAGTGAAACAAAGCAGAAAATTTTGAGAAGAACAGCAACAGATGGGGCACATTAGTGGATCTGACACCAACAGTAGTTTCACCACAACTAATCCTTTGCCTTGTGGATGAAAGTATCAACAAGGTAGAACCAAAATCTGCTCCAAGGAGAGTCAAAAGAGAGAGATGCAAAGATTCCAAGAAGTATGGTCACATAAGCTGCGGCAAAAGCCCAGTAGAAAAATACCATGTCGATTTGGCTCTCATCGTCCTTCAATCCATTATATGGTTCTTGAAAGTTAATGCCCTCGCAGCTTCTGTTGGTTGGTTGTCCACAGAGAAGAGGATTACCTAAGAAGCTTTGTGTTTCAAAGGTATTAAACTGTTTTCCCTGTGGAATGACTCCTGATAAGTTGTTGAAGGAGACATCAAAGACAGCGAGGCTGCTCAGCTTTGCTAGTTGTGATGGGATCCGACCTTGTAACCTGTTGAAGGAAAGATCAAGGCTTTCCACATTCTTCAGACCTGAAAGGCTTTCTGGTATCACTCCTGATAAGTGGTTGTGTGAAAGATTAAGAGCTTGTAGCTCCAGAAGATCTTCAAACTCTATTGAGATCTCACCGCTGAGCTCATTCTCTGAGAGATCCATTCCAAACAACAGTTTGAGGTTTTCACCCAAGTAGACATCGTACCGGTGCTTTGTTGCAAATTCAATCTTGATCCGGGTGTTTAACCTGTATATAATTATAAACGGATCAAGCACAATAAGGGATTTGAAATGTCTGCTGTGCCACCTTGTTAAACCAAAGCTGTTTTGGAAAGAAAGACCACTGTACACAAAACCAGTGTCGGAAATAACACTGTAAGTGCCGTAATCATATTCATATGAAGTATCCTCTTTTCCCAAACCAAATGATGTATTGCTGAGACACAGAGGTAGGGATCCACTCAATCTGTTGTTGGCAAGATCAAGAAGCTGGATGTTTCTTAGGCCACACAACTGGCGAGAAATACTGCCTGTTAAACGATTCCCTCGAAGAAGAAGAGTATGGGTGTTTTGGGTGTTGGTGAACTCGGGAATATTCCCAGACAATCTGTTGTTTCTCAGATCAAGCACAGTGACATTCGTCAGCAATGTGTCCGGAATGACCCCTGATAAGTTATTATCTTGAAGGAGTAATACAACCGGCCATCTCGAGTTGATGTATGGAGGTATGTCCCCAGATAAAGTGTTTGCAGAGAGGTCCATCAGCTCAAGATAAGGCAAGTTGACCAACGAAAGAGATATCTCACCTTCCAATGAGTTGTTTGAAAGCAAGAGCGCACTTAAGGATGGTAATTCGCCAAGCCAGCTCGGAATCACACCAGAGAGATTGTTGTTCGAAATGTCAAGCAGTTCCAAGTACTCCAAGCTATGCAAACCTTGTCCAATCTTTCCTGTGAACTGATTGTTATCCATAGACAGCTCCATTAAATAAGTAAAGATGACTGATTCCGGAAACACCTCTCCACTTAGATTGTTATGTGACAGCGTCAAGATTCTCATGGAATAACAACCCATTAAAAAACTTTTTGGTAGGTTCCCTTGGAAGCTGTTGTGAGATATATCCAGAAATGAAATACTCTTCATGTTACCTAGAGAAGATGGCAGATTTCCTTCAAAACTGTTATTTGATATGTTCATCAAAACTAACTGAGGAAGTATCCACCCAATGTTATCAGGAAGAAGATGACTGAATTCATTACCTGACACATCCATGTAAAGCAGATTGTGAGCAGATTTCGGTAGCTGAAACTTCGTAAGTGAATTATTTTGTAGAAACAAAACCTCCAGTTTCGTATTGTTTGCCAATAGCCAATGAGGATAACTTCCAGAAATTTTATTGTCAGAAAGATCAATGTGACTCAGATCCTTCTGGTGAAGGAGAAAATGAGGAACATTCTCCAAGTTGCAAGATGGCAGTGCAATAACACTCAGTTGAAATTTTGGCTTCCAAGAACTTTCAGACTCTGCTTGAAATGAGGTGGATTGTGAACCAAGTTGTAACACCCTGAGCTTTGAGAGGTTGGCAAGCGAACCAAGTGAGAAGAGGCCTTCGAAGCTGTTATAAGACAAGGATAAGTAGATGGCACGTTCCCAGTCAACTGGTTTGATGAGAGATCAAGAACTCTAAGTCCTCTCAAGCTAGTTAAGCATAAGGGAAACTGACCTACTAGCTTGTTTCGACTGAGATCTAGCTCTTGCATATTCTTCAATTCGCAAATACCTACGATAATCAAATGCACATACACATGAGTTAACGTTATTTACCACCAGTTTTAATGGAGGAGCTAAAGATATGTCTAGACTTGCCTTGCAAGTTACAATTCCTTTGAGCCAGAAAATTCATAATTACTTAGATCCAGAGCTTTCAGCTAAGGATATGCACACACAAAAAGAAAGATAGCTAAGGATATGTTTAAACTTGCCTTGCAATCCCATTGATTCAGAAAATTCATTACCACTTAGATCCAGAGCTTTCAGCTTCGTCAGTGTAGATAACTCTGCCACAGGACAAAACCAACACAAAGGTAAGCCAACCTATACCTAAAAGACAGAAATGATTTCAAAATGTTATATGCAAAGCAACCTTGTACTTGTATGGAGCCATTAAATCTGTTTCCGCTCAGGTCAAGCAGTTCCAAATTTATCAAATCTTTAAGTTCTGAAAGGGAGCTCAGCAGTATATAACAATGTTACAAATTGATCTAAGTCATACAAAAAAATTAATCCAATAATGATGATAAATTGAATCGATTGAACAAACGATAACACACCTTCAACTGGAAGGGGGCCATCAATATTGTTTCCCCGAAGAAAAAGAGTTGTAAGTGATGTAGCCGGATTTAAAAATGGAAAGATGCTTCTATTGAATCTATTGAAGGAGAGATCCAGAATCTCCAGGTTTCTTAATCTTCCGAGGCTTTTATAACCTGCAGACAAGAATCTTTTACTTTGGATATAAACGCAAACAAGTAGCCTCTCATAGCTAACAACGGGGACATCATCAATAATAAGGTCATCCTGTATATCGACTTAGTCACAAATGGATTAAAAAAAAACATACCTTTAGCAGGAAAAGGGCCATTTATGTAGTTTCCCTGAAGAAAGAGAGCTTTGAGTGATGTGGCAGAACTAAGAAAGGGCAAGATTCTGCTATTGAATCTATTATCAGAGAGATCTAGAATCTCCAGGTTTCTTAATCTCCCTAGGCTTTCATAACCTTGCAAACGAGAGAGTCTTGGTAAGCATATAATAATAATGATAACACACCTCAAATCATTACTTATAATTTTCAGGTGAAGTGGAATGCAAGCAACCGTTTGATGCGATTGCAACACGCAACACATGAGCAAGTCAGGGCAGAAACAGAGAAAATCTAGTAATTTACACCACCATAATATCACAATGGTATAAATCTTTTAAGAATTTGAAACAATGAAGTAAGATTAGTCCATATAGGTTCGTTAAAGAAGTAGAACCCTAACACAGGGATGACTAAATGATCAAAGTAACCATAAGGGAAAAACCTAATAAATACCTTCAACATCATCGAACAAGCCACTGAATGCGACGTCAGTTAAGTTCAGACTTCGAACTTGTTCAAAAGGATGCAGCAAAGACAGATTTAGGAGATAACTATCCTTGAGGTACGGTATATCAATGGCAATATCGGTCACCCTTCCGCTTGTAAGATCGCACTTAAGGCCTTTCCACCCGCAGCAATCGCTATTTGTGCCATTAGTCCAAGAAGTGAGAACAGAGACGATCTCCTCTTCTATAGTAATTGAGATTAGGTATTGTTTGATCTCCAACAAACCAATCCTTTCTTTCTCAATACAGCTTTTGTATCCATGTAGCTGCCCCAACAGTATCATCAACCATATCAAGTACTGGCCCAAGAAGAGCTTCCCCTCCATTGCAAATAAGATAGTAATTGTGAGTTCAATGCAAATGCCTCCACGGTTATATATAAACTCAACAAGAACTTATTTTGCATAGTTAGGAACGTCGAAGTCTCTATTAATGAACAACACTTTAAAAATGCGTTGAGTGACCGCTATCGTTTAATTTTCAATTATATATGTTAAGAAAAGTCAAGGTCTATGTAGAAAAAGCTCTTAAAAATGTGTGATTTATGCGTCTCGCCTAAACCCATTTACAACAAAATTAATTATCAAAGACTTATGTTCAAATGTCACCCAAGACTTTTGTTGGAAAGTAGGGAAATCAAGAAAAAGTATACTGTATGTTTTGTAATCGAATTGCAACAGAAACCACAACAATTTCCTCAGCTCATTACTAATTTTCTGCAGCAGAATGATTTTGGTTTGAATAAAAAAGATCACAACAAGTTGCTGATGTGGCATAATAGTCGTCCACGTCAGAAACAACGATATAAAACAAAAAGCACATAATTTAATTTTTCCAATCGCGATTCTCACGACTAACGATCGCGACCGTGAAGTAAAAGGAGGTGAGCCGAAAGACGAGAAAACAGTGGCGGCGATGATGAAGGCGAGAGCCGCAAGGTCGCCACCACTGTCAGAAAAAAATAGGAAATAACGCAAACGTGAATTCCTTTATTTCTAATCGCCAACCGCGATTGTTTCGAAGTATCCGTCCAGCGATTGCCACCGCGAAGTAGAAGTTGGAGAGACGAAAGACGGTAATATGGATATTCTCCTTATTGTATTATGTAATGAACCAACCAGCAAACCAGCTCCCAGATATGTTCGAGGCATTACAATTATTGAAAGACAAAGACAGTACATATTTATTCAAAGACAAACACAACAGTACACAGGAACCAAACACATGTTCTGGTTTTGTGAAACAAAGCACATAAGAAGCATTTGGTACCTGCAATGTTTTACCCAAACACATTCCTAACCTTGTGGATGAAAACATCAACAATGTAGAACCAAGCTCTGCTCCAAGGAGAATCAAATGAGAGAGATGCGAGTATTCCAAGAAGTATGGTCACATAAGCTGCAGCGAAACTCCAGTAGAAAGAAACCAAGTCGATCGTAGATTCATCAGCTTCCACCACATTATCTGGTTCGTGAATACTGTCAAAGCTTTTGTTGATTGACTGTCCACTGAGAAGAGGATTTCCTAAGTAGCTCTGTTGATCAAAGGTGTTGAACTGTCTTCCCTGTGGAATGACTCCTGATAAGTTGTTGAACGAGACATTGAAGATGGAGAGGCTGCTCAGCTCTGCTAGTTGCTGCGGGATCGGGCCTTGCAACCTGTTGAAGGAAAGATCAAGGCTTTCAACATTCTTCAGACCTGAAAAGCTTTTTGGTATCACTCCTGATAAGTTGTTGTGTGAAAGATTGAGAGCTTGTAGATGCAGAAGACATCCAAGCTCTACTGGAATATCACCACTCAGCTCGTTTTCTGAGAGATCCATTCCAAACATTAACTTGAGATTTCCACCCATGTAGGAATCGTATCGGTGTTTTGTTGCAAATTCAATTTTGATCTGGATGTTTGATTCGCATACCACCACAAACGGATCGAGCACAATAAGAGATTTGAAAGATATACCATAAGCCCCTCCTACAAAGTATTTTTGCAGATCAAACCCATAGAACGTGGAAGAACTGACGTAATCATACTCATAAAATATATCTTCTCCCTCCAAAAAAAATGATGTATTGCTGAGGCATGAAGGTATGGATCCACTTAATCTGTTGTTGGCAAGATCAAGAAGCTGGATGTTTATTAGGCCGCACAACTGGTGAGGAATACTGCCTGTTAAACTATTCCCCCGAAGCAGAAGAGTACGGGTGGTTTGGGTGTTGGTAAACTCGGGAATGTTCCCAGACAATCTGTTGTTTCTCAGATCAAGCATAGAGACATTCGTTAGCAATGTGTCTGGAATAGCCCCTGATAAATTATTATCTTGGAGGAGTAACACTACCGGCCTTTCCGAATAGACGTGTGGAGGTATGCCCCCAGATAAAGTGTTTGCAGAGAGGTCCAGCAGCCTAAGACGAGTTGAGTTGAATAACGAAAGAGGTATCTCACCTTCCAACATATTGTTTGCAACCACTAGTCCTTTAATGAATGGAAGTTCACCAAGCCAGCTCGGAATCACACCAGAGAGATAGTTGTTCGAAATGTCAAGCAGTTCCAAAAACTCCAAGCTACACAAACCTTGTCCAATCTTTCCTGTAAACTGATTGTTATCCATAGACAGCTCCAGTATATCTGTAAAGTTGACTGATTCCGAAAACACCTCTCCACTTAGTTTGTTATGTGACAGCCTCAAGAAGCTCATGGAATAACAACCCATTACCAAACTTCTTGGTAGCTTTCCTTGGAAGCTGTTGTGGGATATATCCAGATATTTAGTTCTCTCCATGTTTCCCAAAGAAGATGGCAGATGTCCTTGAAAATTGTTATCAGCTAGTTTCATATACCTTAAATGAGGAAGTATCCACCCGATGTTCTCAGGAAGCAGATGACTGAATTCATTAGCTGACACATCTAGGTAAAGCAGCTTATGAGCAGATTTCGGTATCTGAAACTTTGTAAGTGAATTATTTTGCAGAAACAAAAATTCCAGTTTTGTATTGTTTGCCAATAGCCAATGAGGAAAAATCCCGGAAATTTTGTTGTCAGAAAGATCAATGCGACTCAAATCCTTCTGGTGTAGGAGAAAATGAGGAACATTCTCCAAGTTGCAAGATGATAGTGCAATAACACTCAGTTGAAATTTTGGCTTCCAAGAACTTTCAGACTCTAACTGAAATGAGTTGGATTGTGAACCAAGTTGTAACACCCTAAGCTCTGAGAGGTTAGCAAGCGAACCAACAGAGAAGAGACCTTCGAAGTTGTTATCAGACAAGGATAAGTACTTGAGGGATTCAAGGTTACCGAGAGCAGATGGCACATTCCCAGTCAATTGGTTTGATGAGAGATCAAGAACTCTAAGTCCTCTCAAGCTAGTTAAGCATAGCGGAAACCGACCTTCTAGTTTGTTTCGACTGAGATCAAGATCTTGCATATTCTTCATTTCGCAAATCCCTACGATAATCAAATGCATGTATACACATGATTAAACGTTAATTCGTCATCAGTTTTAATGGAGTATCTAAGGATATGTTGAGACTTACCTTGTAATTCAATTGAGCCAGAAAATTCATTACCACTTAGATCCAGAGCTTTCAGCTTCTTCAGGGAAAATAAATCTGCCACAAGGAAAAACCAACACAAAGGTAAGCCAACCTTTACCTACGAACATCATGAATTCAAAGATTACACGAACCAATTGAAAAAAAGGGGTTATGCAGCCATTAAACTAGCTTAAATTTCTGAGCTACCTTGTATTAATATGGAGCCGTTAAATCTGTTATCACTCAGGTCCAACAGCTCCAAGTTTGTCAAATCTTTAAGTTCTGAAAGTAAAACCAACAAATACAAACAATAACTATAATGATTAAAACGAACTAACAAGTGAGACATCATCAATAATAAGGCCATCCTGTGTCGTTTCCACTTAGTTACAAATGGAACAAAAAACATACCATTAGCAGGAAAATGGCCATCCAAGATGTTTCCCCGAAGAAAGAGAGTTTTAAGTGATGTAGCAGAATTAAGAAAGGGAAAGATGCTGTTATTGAATCTATTTCGAGAGAGATCCAGAATCTCCAGGTTTCTTAATCTCCCTAGACTTTTATACCCTGCAAAAAAAGAATCTTGCTAAGCTTATATAATAATGTTAGCATATCTCAATCATTTTTTTTATATAATTTTCATGTGAAGGGAATGCAATTGATTGTTTGATGTCACGCAACATGGCACACACATACATGAGCAAGTCAATGCAGAAAATAGAGAAACCTCAATCACTATAATATCAAAAAGGCATAATTTTTCATGAATTTTGAAACAATGAAGTAAGATTTAGTCTAAAGAAGTAGAACCCTAACACAAGGAAGATATAAGAAGCTCCAGTGAAAAACAAAATGATCAAACTAATTGCCACAAGTGATAACCTGGTGAAATACCTTCAACATCATCGAACAAGCCACTTAACTCGGGCATAGATAAATTTAGACTTCGAACCTCTTCAAATGGATGCAGCAAAGAAAGATCTAGGAGAGAACTCTCTTTGACGAACAGTCCATCAAAGGCAATCTCAGTCACTCGTCCGCTTGTACGATTGCACTTAATTCCCTTCCATCGGCAGCAGTCACTCTTTGTGTCATTAGTCCAATTAGGGAAAAGATAGTCGAGAGCCCATTCTTCGGTAAGTGAGATTGAGGTCAGGTATTGCTTGAGCTCCAACAAAGCTTTCCTTTCTTTCCGAATACAACTTTTGTATCCATGTAGCTGCCCCAACAACAATATCACCCATATCAAATATTGACCCAATAAAAACTTTCTCTCCATTGCAGATAGGATAATAATTATAGGAAGAAAAAAACAAATATAACAAACTACAAAGAAGAATGTGGGAATGCCTTCACGGTTATATAAATTCAACAAGAAATGATTCTGTATATTTAGAGAAGTCGAAGTCTCTGTCAATGAACACACTTAAAAGTCATATGGCATGCGTTAAGTGAGTGATCGCTATCGTTTACTTTGAATGGCATACGGTAAGAGACAAGTCAAGGTCTTGTAGAAAAATCTCATAAGTGTGCAAAGTTAAGTGAAAGGTTTTTTGTAGTAAACAGATAAGATAAGCAAGAAAATTAAGGAAAAACAGATTGCTAGACAAGCATTATTCACTGAATGAATTTCTAACCTTTTGAATACTGATGAAACAACCAATAGTAGATTTGAGGAAAAAGCCTAACACGGTCATGCTAATGATGTGGCTCTCTTTGATTGGTTACGACTGAAAACAAAAGGGTTGTAAACGCCATCGTTTTAGTCGCGCCATCCTGTTCATGCCTTGCGTCTCCATGACTCCGGCCATAACTAGATCGCCGGAAAAAAAGACAAGAGGCGATTATGCATCAAAGGAGCTAAGGCGGTGAAGAACAATTGAAGAATAGAGTCGGCAACACATCGTGATAATGCAAATTAAAACCAAAAGAAAATAGAAAATTTTCTTGGTCTAATAATATAAGAAGAAGGTTATTTTCTGGATTTAATCTGGGAATGGCGTGGGTCATTTTATCAATTATCTAATTTCGGGGGAAAACTGAAAACTTCACATCTATCTAAGTTTTATGTAGCTAATAAACATTTTTGTTGTTGAGCTAATTGATTCCTAATTTAATCTACAGTATTGGGAAAAAGAAAAAAAAAAACGAAACCTCAAAAATCAAAATGTCTTATAAGCATAACCAAAACTGGAATATTCGTGTGAATGATGGACAGAAGAATGGATAGATTCGTGAAAGCAGGTCAACGGACTAACACTTGGATAAAAATAGATCCCAAAACCCAATCGACTCGCACAAGAGACAGATAAAAAGCTTTAAACAATCATCAATCCGATTCATCGAAGAGATCGTCATGATTCTTACGAGTAAGCTTCTCAATTTCAACCTTTTTTTTTTTTTATGATTTCTGGGTTATCAGTGTTCTCTGTCTTTCCCCATCTGAGTATGATTGTAACTTGTTTTACTTGATTGATTGCGTCTACTGCATTAGCTTGCGGATGTATGTAGCTTGCAAAACTTTATCATTTCCCCTTTGACTTTTCCTGTTCATCCATTCCTTAAAATGAATAGCAAATCGAAATGAAAAAAAAAAGAAAGAGAATAGGTTCTCACAAGAAAGTATCTGGATTTGTTTCCTTTTTCAGTTTCAGCTTATAAGAAAAATTGGATCTTTGAGAGACTAATTTCTCATTTTACTGAAGCTAAGAAAAAGTTTGGATCTTTGGAGAGAATGGAGATTAGGCTTATTGAATCTGGATATGTTTCGTTTTTCACTACAAGCTAAAGGAAAAGTTGGGTCTTGGATCAGTTTTTGCCTTTGTTTCTGCTTAACACAGCAGTAAAAAGAGAGGCATGAAGAAAAGTGAAGCTTGATAAAAAACTAAAAAGTGGTTATTGTTCATCTTACAGAATGCTTGCCATTGATATGGCTATCTCTACTTGCTGTGGTATGTGCTGGAAGGACATTGTACCAAATCCCTGCTAAAGGAGCTAAAGGCGTCAAGCTTCAGCTTCAGACTTCACGTCCCTATAACATCGCACACAGAGGTTCCAATGGAGAGATTCCAGAAGAAACCGCAGCTGCATACTTGGTATACCATTGATCATTCTTGATCAATCTCCTTTCTGGCTCATTTGGTTATTTGGATGTTGCTTGTTTTGAAGAGGGGAATTAAAGAACTTGACTCAGGAAAACTGTGAAGCAGTTTTGTTTGTAGAAATGAATATTCTTCTTTTTTGGAACATTTTGCTTAAAGCGATTTCATGTCTTTTGACAGAGAGCAATTGAAGAGGGTACAGACTTTATAGAAACAGATATCTTATCATCCAAAGATGGTGCGCTTATCTGTTTCCATGATGTTGTCCTTGACCTAACAACCGATGTCGCTAGTCGCAAGGAGTTTGCGGATCGTAAAAGGACATATGAGGTCCAAGGATTCAACATCACTGGCTTTTTTACTTGTACGTTACCAAAATTCTCCTTTTTTTGTTTCTTATGCCTGAGTTGATGGAATCTTTTTCAGCATTTAGAGTCTTTTTCATTTGTGCTAAAGATCTCATACACGTAATCTCATTTCATAACCGCTTAGAGATGCATCTAATAAAGCTCCAACATGGTTTATTTGCTAACAGCTGGTTCTTTGATTGCTTGCAGTTGATTTTACTCTCAACGAACTAAAGAAACTACGGACAAAACAGAGATACGCTTTTCGGGACCAGCAATACAACGGTTAGCTAACCTTTCTCTCCTTGATTTAGCTGTTGGAAGAAACAATAAAGAATGGCTTGGTACATGAAATATATAACACTGCCGATCTCATTTTGTGTTGCAGGAAAGTACCCTATCATTACGTTTGACGAATTCATCAACATTGCTCGGGATGCTCCAAGAGTTGTCGGGATATATCCTGAGATTAAAAATCCAGTTTTAATGAACCAGCATGTGAGTCAAAATCACACAAGCTTTGATTTCCTTTGAAACCTTTACCTTTTCTTCTAATCACTGTTAAATATTCGCAGGTCAAGTGGCCTGGTGGTAAGAGATTTGAGGATAAAATTGTGGAGACACTTAAGAAGTATGGGTACGGAGGCGCATATTTGTCCAAGAAGTGGTTGAAGAAACCGTTGTTTATTCAGTCATTTGCCCCAACTTCACTCGTGTACATATCAAACTTTACAGACTCACCGAAAGTTCTCCTAATAGACGATGTAACCATGCCAACTCAAGATACTAACCAGGTCCATCCTCTGGTCCTCTTCTTGTTTTTTGTATGTTCCTGGAAGTTCTTGTCCTTTTGCTTAAGTGTCTGACCAATCTTTCTGTCAAATCTAAGCAGACATACGCAGAGATCACATCAGATACCTATTTCAGCTACATTAAGCAGTATGTGGTTGGGATTGGACCATGGAAGGATACAATTGTTCCAGTAACCAACAACTATATGCAAGCTCCTACAGATTTGGTCAAAAGAGCTCATGCGCATAATCTACAGGTATAAAATTCAAGATTCTCCCGGAGGCCGAGTGTCAGTAAAAAAATGCTAATAACTTATTGAATCTTGACCATGTTGTTTGTGATACAAATCCAGGTTCATCCATACACGTACAGGAATGAAAACGGGTTCTTACACTTTAACTTCAGCCAAGACCCATATAAGGAATACGAGTACTGGATCAATGAGATTGGAGTTGATGGACTCTTTACCGATTTCACGGGCAGCCTCCATAAGTATCAAGAGTGGACATCTCCATTACCTGATACCGCCAAGTCTCCACGACAGCTCTTGGCTCAAATTGCTTCATTGGTCCTCCCTTATGCAAAGGCTTGAAGTACTAATTCCTTTCAGTCTATCCATTGTTTGTCATCAATTTGGTACACATCCACCATTCTTATTCTTGACAAATAAATATGAAAATAAACAGTTTTCCCACGTTTACTGAAATTGATTCTTGTAATGGAGATCTACGTGGGGTTTTTAGTCGCTCAAAAGTAAAATGATGCAGCTTTATCAAGTCGTATTTGTTTACTTCACAAGATTATACATAAAAAGCTAAACAACTTGGTAAATCTTGGAACAGACTTCTTCTAATTAAACCAAGAAGAAGGAAACAATTTCTCTAAACTTGAAAAGATCGTATACAAATCAGACTCAGTTTCCTCAAAAGGTCTTTCAATTAGACACAGAAGGTTGTGCAGCAAGGAAAGCAAAATAACCATCTAGGGTTGCGATTAGAGGCGCGATCAGCTTCTGCTTTAGGATTAACTGATTTAGGAGCTTCTTCTTTCTTCATTCCTTCATCTCCTTCAGCCTCATTCGACATCTTTGGTGTCTCTGGCTGCGACGGCCTCCTCTGTTTCTTTTGTGGCGCTGAACCTTGTAATCCTCCCTTGTCTGCGTTCCCCAATCTACGTAATCAAGAACAACAACAACAAAAATGAGAAAAGAAAAGACATTTCTCTGTTTTAGGACATGAAGAGAAGAGATGTTTACATTGGAAAAGCGAAAGACTTGACGCTTAAATCTTCCGACCGTCGAGAAACCGAACGATCTAATTTATTGGTTTTGTTGTTTTCTTTATTAGCAGCTTCATTAGCCATAATAACCTCTCGTATACTTGCTGCAGCCTTTTGTTCCTCTTCTTTACTTGCGCGGTAAGCTTTGTCTGTTTCAGCTGCTTTCTTGCCTATATCCACCGGATTTTTAGCCTCCTCCACAACTCCGATTCCTCCTCCTTGGTGCGGAGATGGTGAAGGAGAATGCATAGGAGGAGTCATTGGTGAGGGAGGCTGTGGAAACGTGAGCTCGCCGGATTTAAAGTAATCTCCTCCGGTGAAGCTGTTGTTCCCCATGTGGATGCTGAAGAGAGATTCATTGGAGAGAGTGCTCCATTCAACTGGAGCTGTAGAGGTTGTTCTTGCGAAAACGTGTGAAGGGATCCTGTAAGGAGGTGTATGAGGGCTCGAGGTCGTCGTGGTTGTGTTGTTTGAGGATCTCTCCATGATTTGTGTTGGAGGAGATTGCTCTACGTCGTTTTTGCTTAGATTCTGATCAGGTTTTGGTTCGGCTTCTATGGAAGAACAAGAAGAGGAGGAGGAAGAAGAAAGTCGTACGGTGGGATCTTCTGTTTCTTGTTTAGAGTCTAATGAGTTTGACGAGCTTTGGTTCGTGGGGTTAAAAAAGTTTTGCTCTTGTGACGTTTCCATGATTCCAAAATGAAAGAATCTCTTGTTCTTGAGCTCTGATTTGGGTTGTTCTTTGGCGCCAAATTCTCAATCTGCAACGTAACAATGAAGACTAAATCAAAACCGGGATTATGGATTCAGAATGCAGAAAATCACATTGATGAAAAAGAGATTTAGTTGACCTGACGATGAAGACGAAGAACACAAGCAAGACAAAAATATTTAATTTTAGAAAATTTCAAAGACAAGTTTGGAAGATAGAGAGAGACGTTTGTTTTGGAATCAAGAGATTGAGAGTTTAAAGGACACGCACGCGTCTAGGAGTTTTTGTTTTACTTCTGATAATAACAATTGTTACCCAATTTTAATCAACTATTTTTCGCCATTGCTAAGTAAAGATTAAAAAGTGTTCTTTTTAATCCGTTCTCGGTTTCGGTTCGACCATTATATTAGTTTAGTTATACCGGGTGAACATATAAATCTGTGATTAACGGTCAAGATTATCTCATATAAATGAACGGTCAGGATAAGATAACTAATTGACATAAGCCCTTCTCTACGGGTCTCAGGGTTTTTTCGCATTTCACTACTGGCGAGGATTGAAAGACGCTTCCAGAGAGATCGTCTCCGTTAAACCCTAGAGAGTGAGTACAATCTCATAGATTCTTCTTTCTCTATCTGTTTCAAGTTTTTTTGTTTCTTTTGATTTTAGTGCTTCGATTTGATATTCCGTTGTTTCATTCGCTGATCCGAAACTGGATCGTTCTGTGTTTGTTGGTTTTCTGCTCATTATTTGTTTACGATTCTCTTCTGCAACTCTAGGAATTCGATTTGGAGTTAAGATGTGTTTATCGATGTTTCATTTCATTGGTTCTGACTACTGAGTATTGCGATTTATGGATTTAGTGAGTTGACCTTTTAAGCTTTGCTTCAATTTTTTTTTTATTCTTCTTTCAAACTGATGATTACTGAATTCCGGCATAGATCTTTTTCGTGTCTGATGATCTTTCGGTCACGACGGTGTAGCAAACACGATAACTGATAATGAAAGTTTTATCCTTCTTGTGTTTTTGCATTTGTATTTATATTTATGAAAGAATGTCTTTTTCTTACTTTTATTGACCATTGAATTGATGTTTGAATTGCTCTTTATTTGTCTAACCACTTTGTGAATGCTCTTTCAATTGCTTCCAGAATACATTTACGAAGAAAATGGCTTTCTTGAGTAAAGTTGGAAAGATATTCAGGCAGACCAGCGCCCATGTCACTGCCTCTAACTCAATGCTACAGAGCATCCGTTGCATGTCTTCGTCAAAAATCTTTGTTGGAGGTGACTATAACTCTATTTCGGTTGTGTGAGACAGTGAGAGAGTACTCTCTTTGATTTTGGTTATGTTTCTCTCCTTTTCTTTGTCTCAAAATTGTCTATGTTGCTTCAGGTATCTCCTACAGCACTGATGAGTTTGGCTTGAGAGAAGCTTTTAGCAAATATGGAGAAGTTGTTGATGGTAGCTACCTATCTCGCTTTAAGTCACTTCAAAGCTCTAGCCTTTGAAGCTTTATCTTCCTTTTGCTTCTGAATAGTTTTCGTGGTTTTACTCTCAGAGCTGACTAATTTTTATCAATTGCAGCGAAAATTATTGTGGACCGTGAAACTGGCAGATCAAGGGGTTTTGCTTTCGTAACATTTACTTCAACCGAGGAGGCTAGTAATGCTATGCAATTGGATGGACAGGTAGCACACACAAGTTCCAGCTTCTTTTAATGCTATACTAAGATGTCATCCGGCTTATTCCTTTGTCATTTCTTTTTCGTTTCTGACCTTAATAGTCATGTTCTAGAACACTTAGGAGTAGGTATCATCTTCTAATTGAAAATGCTATTCATCTGTTAGGCAGCGACTTGCTCTCTCTTAATGAATGGCTGAATGTGGAGCAATATACCATTCTGTTTGTTGATTGTATATCATGTTTCAAAATAAATCTTTGTTTTCAATCTGTGTCTAGATGATTCAGAACATGCTAAAATTGTTCCTTCTTTGCTTGGCATTGTCAATCTGCTATTTATTGGGGTTTATTATTGCATACAGGACCTTCATGGTCGAAGAATTAGGGTGAACTACGCAACTGAAAGAGGAAGTGGATTTGGAGGAAGGGGATTCGGTGGTCCTGGTGGTGGCAATGCGGGTGGTTACGGTGCTCCAGCTGGTGGTTATGGAGGCGGTGGTTACGGTGCTCCAGGCGGTGGTTACGGAGGTGGCTCTTACGGCGGAAATGCTGGTGGTGGTGGTTATGGAAATAACTCTCCTTATGGTGGCAATGCGGCTGGTGGTGATTACGGAAGCAACTTTGGCGGCGGATATGGTGTTGCTGGTGGTGTTGGTGGAAGTGACAACTTTGCCCAAGGCAGTTCCACTAATGCTGGATTTGACGACAAGTTTGGCAGCAACGAACCACTAGGCAATGATACGGACCATCAGCTCGAAAGTGGGTTCGGCGGCGGCGATGAACAGTTTGGTGGCAGTGACAATCAATTCGGCGACTCGGAGAACGGTAAAACAGAGAATGATGGAGATGGGTTTGAGCAGACTGACGATGGCGATGTTGCTAAGAGAGCTTAGATCTCCTACAATGTTTCCACCGCCTACGTTACTCGTAGCGTCCTGCTTTCTTATGCAAGTTTCTTAATTTCTGTTTAACGTTTGTGCTGTTTAATCATGTAGAGACCCTCTATTGTTGGTCGTTTTTTTTAAAATGTTTTCTAACATTTGAGGCCCATCAATAAAAATTGTAATAACTTCTGACAGACTCGTGTTTATTCTATTGAAGATTTTCTACTAGAGACTACTAATTCAACGAGTGAATAAGAACTTCAAACTTGAAGAAGACCCGCCTTCTACTTAGTTCATCAGAATTAATCCCAATTATAAGAAGCTAAAACTTGACGAAATACCATATATGATTCAACATTTGAAAATTTCGTGTGTGATATGAAATAACTTGTAAAATCAGATTCGGCAAAATCGAATAAAATGAATTACAGAGTTTTTGACGTTAAATAATTTCTGAAGAAAAAAGAAACTAGTACTTTTAATTGGATACAGAGTAAATCGTTGCGGTTCACAAATTGGTATTCGTCGCCGGTTCGTCCATGTGGAGAGCGTTTTGGCGAGAAGCGCGCCAGTCTTTTCGCTAAAACCTTTGTAAACCCTAACTCTTGGAAGGCTCTAGACATTCAGTCTCTTCTCTCTGCGACGGAGATGGCGAACAAGGCCGTGGATTCGAGCCACGAGCAACCTCCACTGAGTTACCGCAAGAGTATCGAAATCAAAGCCACGCATGATCAGTTTATCGGTAAGCGCCGGTTCTCTTCTTTGGCTCATCGTCCTCTTTAGTTTATGCGTCGGGAGGCGAATCTGAGGAAATCGTTGTAGATTGATGATATATGCATAGATGATTACGCTTAGACGATGCGTTTCTCAGCGAATATGTCGAAATTTCGTCCGGTGATTGATGAGAACATTCTGATCATGCTCAGTGACATTTTATCGGAGCCTAATTGTTCCAAATCTGTTCCAAATAGTCTAAAGTTCCAACGCATTGATGTAGTTTGGAGAGAGTTCCTATGGGGAGGTATAGCTGGAGCTTTTGGAGAAGGAATGATGCATCCCGTAGATACTCTCAAAACCCGACTTCAGAGTCAAATTATTATGAATGCGACTCAGGTATTAACAAGCACATATCACTGATTTTGGCTTTGAAAAGTCTAATTAGACTTGATTGTATGGTTACTTTCGATTCGCGGAGTATATCATCTCTAACCTTGTTTAGTTGTTGATTTCAGAGACAAAAGAGCATTCCACAAATGCTTCGGACTGTGTGGGTTGGTGATGGATTAAAAGGTACATCATCAATACAGTACTCTTTTCCCTTTCATCTTCTTCTAGCTTTCAAGTATTGCTGTATTACCCTCTCATCTTGTGGCATGCTTATGTGTGATTCACTATCCTACTTATCATCGTTTTAAGCAACATACTCCCTATGCTATACATGTTTGCGTTGTGAATGTGGAACAGCAAATATTTTTTCTTGTGTGCTCTGAGTTTTTGGTTTTTTGTTCTTTTATCTCTGACTTTAATTTCAGGCTTTTATAGGGGAATTGCTCCTGGAGTAACAGGGTCTCTTGCCACTGGAGCGACCTACTTTGGTGTTATTGAGTCCACAAAGAAATGGATTGAGGAGTCTCATCCCAGCTTAGGAGGCCACTGGGTGCACTTTCTAGCAGGAGCTATTGGTATGTTATCTAATCTCTCCTCTCCTTTCTCGGTAATCTGATCAATGAGTTGGTGGTAAAGATAGGAGGGAAATGTATCTTCACTCAAGTGGAAACTGATTTTGAGTGCCAAGCAATGCAGCAGATTTGAAAAATCAGACATTTAAATGTTATGTGATGACTCTAACTATGGATATCGTGGGTCTTTAAAAAGATAAAATCCATGTTTTCAGCAAAACCACACGAGAGAAAATGTGGTCTTTTTTTCTCTCCCTAATGTCATGAGTCGCCATTGACTGGCCTTTTTGTGGATTTCATCATGAAAATTTGTGGCTGTATGTTTCACATACACGTCATATGAGTGTGTTCCCAAAAAAAAAAAACATGAATGGAAATCTAGAGTCATCTGAGGTTGGAAAGCATCTGATTCCTTTGTGTTGTGCTGCTTCTTTCCTTATTTCAGGTGATACACTTGGTTCTTTCGTATACGTTCCTTGTGAAGTAATAAAGCAGCGGATGCAAATTCAAGGCACTAGTAGCTCCTGGAGCTCCTTTATTTCTAGGAACAGCGTTCCGGTGAAACCAAGTGGTGACATGTATGGTTATTATACTGGAATGTTCCAAGCTGGATGCTCAATATATAAAGAGCAAGGGCCAAAAGGACTGTATGCTGGGTATGTAATCTTCCTTCAGGACATTATGATACCGATTAAATACATCTTAAAATTTGCTGCATCCTATTTCAAGGGACTCGTTGTTATTTTCCTTTTTCCTTCGGCAGATATTGGTCTACACTTGCAAGGGATGTACCGTTTGCTGGCCTTATGGTGTGTAGTGTGACGCTTCAGTGAAACTGTCACCTCCATTCATCTTATGGGTCTTTGTCTCCTCATGTTCGTTCTGGTTTTTGCTTTTCAGGTAATGTTTTATGAAGCATTAAAGGATCTAACAGATCAAGCCCAGAAAAAGTTTCCACAGTATGGAGTCAACAGTTCTATCGAGGGGCTCGTATTGGGAGGATTATCTGGTGGTACGTTTGGATGAGATCAGTTTAAAGAAACCCTTTAAAATATAGCTCATCCGTAGGTGATCTGTGTGTGTTTAAATTTATGTCTCTCCAGGACTAAGCGCTTATCTCACAACTCCACTGGATGTTGTAAAAACAAGATTGCAAGTGCAAGGAACAACGATCAAGTATGTCTCATGTTCTTACAGATTCATATGATCATATATCTAAAATAACATTCCCCAAGTAGAATCAAGAACTTGGTTATGTCGATAGGTACAAGGGGTGGTTGGATGCAGTTGGGAAGATATGGAGGAAGGAAGGTCCAGAGGGGTTTTTCCGGGGAAGCGTCCCGAGGGTTATGTGGTATATTCCGGCCTCGGCACTCACCTTCATGGCCGTTGAATTCCTTAGAGAGAATTTCAGAGAGAAAGGTAAGAATGATAACGTCGTGTCGAACTTGATCATAGAGAGGAAGATATCATCTTCTTCAGTACTTGAAGCTAGGGAGAAGTAGTGAGATGATTCTTTGGATTCAAAGTAGAAAAAGTGAGCAACATTCACAAACTTGTCTCTATATATGGCTCACAATGTTTTGTTTCTTCTTGTAAGAAACTTTTAACAACGATCTGATCATCTTTAATAAAGATACTTAGCTTCAGTTTCTCTTTTTATATTAGCCTGAAGAAAAAACAAATCAAAATTAATTTAATAATCGGACTGTTAAATACATCTCAAATAGTCAAATCTCGGACGGACAGCTTGAACTGGTTATGCGTTTAAAAACGACAACAAAAGAGGAATTAGCCTAAACCCTAAGAAGGAGATGGCGTCTTCTTCTCGCGCGGATAAACGATGCCTCTACGAGGTTCTCGGTATCAGCAAGGAATCATCGCCGGACGAGATTCGATCCTCCTATCGGCGGTTGGCTTTGCAGCGTCACCCCGACAAGCTTATCAAGGCCGGTGGAATAACCGAGGCTGAAGCCACCGCCCAGTTCCAAGAGCTCGTTCACGCTTACGAGGTTTTATCCGATCCAAAGGAGCGAGCCTGGTACGATTCCCACCGATCTCAGATTCTATTCGCCGACCATGGCTCCGCCGGTGGCTCGAAATCCGGTGGAATGCCTGGCGGCTCCGTCCCGGATCTATTCGCCTTCTTCTCGTCCACTGTATATTCCGGGTATTCTGACACCGGGAAGGGATTCTACAAGGTGTATTTCGATGTCTTTAACAGTGTATACCTCAACGAGATTAAGTTCGCGAGGACGCTAGGGTTGGCGATGGACTCTGTGAGGGAAGCTCCGATCATGGGGAATCTCGAGAGTCCGTACGCACAGGTGACGGCGTTTTACAATTACTGGTTAGGTTTCAGCACTGTTATGGATTTCTGCTGGGTGGATGAGTATGATGCGATGGCTGGACCGAACCGGAAGTCGAGAAGGTTGATGGAGGAAGAGAACAAGAAGGTGAGGAAGAAAGCCAAGAGAGAGTATAACGAGACCGTGAGAGGCTTGGCGGAGTTTGTCAAGAAGAGGGACAAGAGAGTGATTGACATGATGGTGAAGAAGAACGCGGAGATGGAGTTGAAGAAGGCGGAGGAGAGGGAGAGGAAGAGGAAGATGGAGAAGGAGAGATTGGAGAGAGCTATGAACTACGAGGAGCCTGATTGGGCAAAGGCTCAGGACGAGGAGGAGGAAGAAGCAGTGGAAGAGGATGATGACGATGATGCAAAGAGGAAGAACGAGCAGCTCTATTGCATTGTTTGTAGCAAGAAGTTCAAAAGTGAGAAGCAGTGGAAAAACCATGAACAGTCGAAGAAGCACAAAGAGAAAGTGGCGGAGTTGAGAGTGTCATTTGATATAGAAGACGAAATGCTGAGAGAAGATGAGGAAGAGAATGATGGGCCGGTTGAGCCACCTGAAACTGTAGAGGAGCTCCATGAGAAGTTTCAGGAGGGATTAAATATCGACGACGAAGAAGTGGTGAAAGAAAAGGATATTGAGGAGGAAGTTGTAGGGGAAGCTGAAGAAACTGATGATGAGGAGTATTTTGTGGCAGAGGAGCATGTGAAAGAATCTAGTGAAAGTGAGGATGAGGATGGCGATGATGAGATGAGTCTGCTCAAGAAAATGGTATCTGGGCAGAAGAACAAGCGAAAGAATGTTGTGTCAAGGAAAGAAGATGAAGCTCAAGTCGAGATTGAGAGCGACACAGCAGAGTTCAGAGACTTTGATAACCAGAAAAGCACAGGTAGGAATAGAAAAGGTAAGGAGAAGAATAAACGGAACGCTGGAAAAGACACGACGGATGATGCCAGCAAGGCACAGATACCCGGAGACGACGGTGTTACAGAAGACGACAATGTGGATGCATCGAACACAGCTTCTGGAGCATTTGAGGATTCTCAGAAGGATGAGCCAGATCTAATGGAGTATGATAACAGAAAGACCACAGGGAGGAGGCGCAGAAGTAAGAAGGTTAAGGATAAGAATAATCTTGGAGGGTTAATGGAGAAGAAGAGCAGTGAAGCTGATGATACTCAAGATCGAAATGGAGACGTGGAAGAATCTCGTTCAGAAACGTTTGAGGATCGAACTGAATATATAGAACATCACAAGGCTCCTAGATCAAAGAAATCAACCAGAGGAATGAAAGCCAAGGTACAATCATTCTTCCCTTGTAGCATCACTTAAATCCTAGATTTCGGAGTGATAGTTCTTGAAATCATTTACATTTAAATGCAGGGCACATCGAAGAAAACCAGTAATAACGAATGTGATAGATGCGGAGAGGAGTTTGAGTCGAGGTTAGAAGTTTGTTCTTTTGCCATCTCCAGTTCTCCAGCATTATATTTCTGCATCATTCAAATGTTGACCCACCACCATTTATCTACCATGTCCAGGTCAAAACTATTCAAGCATATTGCTGATACCGGTCATGCGACCTTGAAAAACAAATGATCTATTTGCTCGTTTTAAAGCGCATTTAAGGATTATGCAGAAGAGAAGAACCAAAGGTTGGCTGGAGAATTGCATTCTTTGATTTAATTTATACACATTGAACACAATGTAGAAGAAGGAAGGGGGAAAGAGAGCAAATAAGCTTAAGTTTTTGACATTGTTGTAGTGCAAACGAATTGATGATCGAACTCTATGTACTTGACTAGTATGTTTGAAACAAAGATTTTGCAGAGAAGAAAGCTGTCAGTGGTTCCAAGATTGTCTCATTATTAGGACATTAATAAATCAAAATTTCGGAAACATATGATTATATCGGTTACAACTTTCATACTATGAAAAATTCATTATCATTTGAAACAAAACGTAAGACCAAATTGTCAAGAGAATCTTACGAAACTTCTTTCAAAAAACTCTGCATCACCCAAAACGTACATAAAACAGAAAATCCTGCAGACAAAGTTTAAATGAGGCTTAAACAGTTGGATTCTATAGCTGAGAGCACCAATCCCTAGCATTCTGGAACATCTTCAACCACGGACTCGGCCCAGCTTTCTCAACCTCCCAGCTTTTCGGGTACCACGGGAACTGCCACATCAAGAAACAACGTTCAGGGTGAGGCATCATCGCCAAATGTCTCCCGTCAGGTGAACATATAGCCGCTATTCCCAAAGGTGAACCATTGAGGTTAAAAGGATAAGCTTCAGTCACGCTGCCATCATCATCACAGTATCTCAATGGAGCCAAATCTGAGTGAAGCATATTGTCCAAGACTCCTTCGTCCGGGAAATAAGCCCGTCCTTCTCCATGAGCTGCCCAAACTCCCAAAGTACTTCCCTCCATCCCTTTCAGCATTATCGATGGCGAGTCCTTTATGGTAACGCTTGTGAACCTGCACTCGAACCTTCCTGATTCGTTGTGAACAAACCTCGGCTGCGACGTGTCGAGTGACCCGCCAACTTGAGGACCAGGAACCCATCCTAACAATGCCATTAACTGACATCCGTTGCAGATTCCGAGGCTGAACGTGTCTGGTCTTTTGTAGAACTCCTGGAACTGGCTGAGGAGAGGCTCGTTGAACCTTATTGAAGCAGCCCATCCTTTGGCTGAGTCCAGGACGTCCGCGTAACTAAACCCTCCCACAAACACAATCCCACGGAACTGATCAAGAGTGATTGATCCGGCTAGAAGATCAGACACTGTCACGTCCCACGGTTCAAAACCGGCGGCGTAAAATGCAGCCGACATTTCCCTGTCTCCATTGCTGCCTTCCTCTCGGATCACAGCTACTTTCGGTTTAACATCTGAGAACATACAAAATCAAGAAAAGCTCTCATCACTTATCAGGAACTATAAGCTTTATGATAAGAAAAGAAGCTTTCATAGAGATAGATCTTACCCTTGGACATATGATTATTGTTGGTCCAGGAAGGAGTAAATGAGAGCTTCCAATTAGGCTCATGCCTCAACTTTAAACCTTCTTTCTCCATGTCTACACAAGACGCCAATCTCTGCAGCTTTTCCAACTGGAAACTGGTGTCTTCCCACATGTCTCTGAGGAATGAAGTTTTCTCGCTCAAATGAGTAATCCCATCAACTTTCACCTCTATCAAAGGAGAGTCAGTCACTGTCCCAATGATCTCAGCAGTAACATTGAAACCACGGAGTTTTTCCATCACAGTGTCTAAGTTCTTGCTGCTAATCTCCATAACGAGACCGAGTTCTTCAGAAAACAAAGTCTCAAAGAGGCTTATCCCGTTCGAAGCCAAGTTGAGGTTTATACCTCTGTTTCCAGCAAAAGCCATTTCCAAAGCTGTTACAACTAGTCCACCATCGCTGATGTCGTGTCCCGCAGATACCAAGTTCTCTGAAATGAGAGCTTGAACGCCCTCGAAAACGTTTTTCAGATATGGGACATCATCAAGATCAGGACAGTCGTTTCCAATCTGACCAAACACTTGAGCCAGTGCAGATCCACCTAATCTCCGCTTTCCCTTGGCCAAATCAACATGCACGAGAACACCATCATCATCTCCTAGCTTCAGATCCGGAGTCACTGTCTTTGTTATGTCTTGACAGGTAACATAGGCACTGATCACAAGATTTCCTGGAGCTTTAACAGCCTCACCATCCGCGAGAGCTGCCATCGAAAGACTGTCTTTTCCACCATCAATTGCAATGCCAAGTTTGATCATCGCTTCAGATAGAGCAATTGCAGCATCATACATCGCTGGTCCTTCTCCTTCAAACTTGGCAGCATACATCCAGTTACCACTGGCTTTAACATCAGAAAGTGCAGTGACCTTTGCCCAAACCAGATTTGTCAAAGCCTCTCCAACAGCTAGTCTAGCCATGGCTTTTGGATCAAGCAGGCCTTTGATCGGCTGCTCGCCAATAGCACATGCACCACCTGTTAGATCTGTGTACGTCTGTGCGATGACCGCAACATCAGCAAGGGTGATCTGCAATGGTCCAACTGTTTGCTGCTGTGCAACAAGACCTGTCACACATCTATCCACTTTGGTTGTCAAGAACCGCTTCGAAGAAACTGATGGCAATCGCAGAACCCTTTTCAAAGAATCCATCAATGTAATCCCAGGAGCAATATCAAGTGGCTCCCGTAGATAAGCAACGCGGTTGAACTCAAAAGTCTTCTTAGGCATATCACCAAGAACCTTCTCGAGTTCAAAATCTACAGCAGGAGGAGGTGGAGGTAGCCCTTCTTTACTGCACTTCGCCGCAGCTGTGCTGTCAATTAAAGTACAGCGACCCTCCCCGTTAATAGTTCCAATGACAGCCATTGAAAGCCTTTCCCTCTTACAGATCGACTGCAAAATCTCTCGGCTCTCAGCTTTCACCAGAATGGCATCTTGCTCTTGATATTCTGCTCCCCATATCTCCAACACCGACATAGTATGGTCACCCACAACAACCGCTCTTATGTCAATCTCTGCACCTTTTGGATAAATAATCTCCTTGACGACATTGCAGTTCCCACCAGCGCCTTGATCATGAATGCTGATAATGGGATTCTTCTCGCCCATCTCAATGCAAGTACGGACAACACGGTACAGCTTCTGGGCCATCTCAGCGTCTCCACGCTGCACAGCGTTGAAATCAAGCTCTGCATCGTTCTGGCCACTAGCCATACTCGAAGCTGCACCTCCTCCCATGCCAATACGGTAAGCAGGTCCACCAATCTTGACAACAAGCATCCCAACTTCTGGCTCCCCTTTAGTGATATGAGTATGATCAATCTGTCCAATACCTGCACTAAACATAATCGGCTTCAGCCACTCTCTTCTATCCCCACTCGGCAGCCTCATTCCAAAAGTCCTGGTGTATCCCTGAATCATCGGCTCTCCGAACTTGTTCCCATAGTCTGAGGCGCCATTGCTAGCGTCGATGAGTATCTTTAAAGGCGAGGCTAGGTTCGGTGGGTATTGGAAAGACGAGTCTTCCCATGGAGCATAAGATCCCTCCATGTTGAGGTTCCCAACACAGTAACCAGAAGTGGATGCAACCACAAAAGAGCCTCTTCCTGTTGCATGCGTATCCCTGATTCGACCTCCAGCACCTGTCTCAGCACCAGGATATGGAGCCACAGCACAAGGGAAGTTATGGGTCTCAGCAGTAAACAATATGTCGAGATCACGTGCACTCAGATCAAGCAAGCACGCAGAACCAGGAAGTAGAGGCCGTAGCTGGTTCACCAGAAAGCCTCTCATTGCACTTGAGTTATCGTGAAACCCAATGACGGAATTATTCTTATTTGCCTACAAAATTTAACACAGAAGATCAGAGTGAATCAAAATGAACAAAAAGTACATATATTTTGACTGAAGAAGCCATTAATTGTTACCTCCCAAGTGCTCTTTACAATCTGCATAAGAGACCTATCCATTGGCTTCCCATCAATAACAATTTTCCCAGCAAAGAACCAGTGTCGACTATGCTCGCTGTTGGACTGAGCGATATCAAAAAGCTCCACATTTGTTGGGTTACGCTGAATGTCCTCTTTGAAAAGTCTAGTGTAGTACTGCAAGTCTTGCTCATCAAAGGCTAAACCCATCTCCTGGTTGATTTCTTCCAGAGCCTTCCGACCTTTCTCCATCACAGGCACGTACTTCACTTCCTCGGGAACCACATTTGTCTCAAACGACGTCAGCCTCTGTGAGTACACGCACTCGGTCATTCTATCGTGAACCATCGCGGCGAACTCCATTACTTGATTCTCCAACAGTGGCTCCTTGCTGAACAAGAGGTACCTCCTCGACCTTTCCAAGCGAGTCACCTCGTTTAACCCACAAGCTCTACATATTGAAACCGCATTGGTGGACCACGCTGTTGTAAAAGACAATCTGGGACCAACTTCAACAACTGTAGCATGGAGACCTTCCTGCTTCTTCTTCTCAAGAAAACTATCCGTACCTGAAGTTAGACACAATCGTCAGTAACAGAGAGGGGTCAAGAATATAGCAAAACAAAAAAAATAAAACAGAACGACATTAAAAGTACCTAGATTTTCTGGCTCAAATGTTTCTTGAAGAATCCACTTAAGAACCGAGAGCTTTTCGTCTTCCAGCTTCGACTCAAGCCCGATGTTGAAACACTGCTCTGTTGTCAAACTGACGATCTGGTTGCTGATTTTGGTTTGAACCGACTTGAGGAGTTCAGCGTTTGCGCTTTCTTGAATCAAAGGCACGCGATAGAAATGGATAACCTCTGCAGCCGGCTTCTCGACCAAGCTCGGTTGCTCCTCGACAGAAACAACAGAGCCAGTAGAAACAGCTGCTCCAGGCTTATTAGTCTGAGCAGAACATCTCAAGCCAGCAGCTTTCGCTCGATTCAGAGACAGACGCTGCGGGGAATGAAATCTAACGGAACCCCACAATTGACCTGTTGAGCTTCGCTGCAAAAGCGTCGTTTGTCTATTGGAACCCTGCAAGAACCATTAACTTTTAGAATCGAAAGTAACCAGGAATATGGAATCTTGTATCAAAAAAATACGATAAGAGTAGAGATCAAAAACATAACAGATGCCAATATAGAGATATACGAATGTATCCCGACCAATCTATGAAAAGTTTATGCAATAGCACGGGAGCAATTAAGCTTATCAATCATCGACACAAAACTTCAACCAATGGAGAATAAATAAGAGAATATTTACGTTGAGAAACAGAGCCGCACGAGTTGCTTGGGAGGTATTCATCGCGACGAAGATGAACAACGAACAAAGCGAAATAGGGGGTTTAGGGTTTTTCTCTTTCTCTCTCTCTGCTTCTGTCTTAACGGGACTGCAGCTCCGACTCCGAGGACACCACAGTCGACACACAGTCCTTTGTCTGGACTCTTTTTAACGCTTTTTAACGCGACTCTTTAGGTTTTTAGTGTTTTACTATTTTTTTCATTTCAGGAAGAAAAACAAAAAACAAAATGTGATAGCTTTTCAAAGTTGCGCCACGAAGGCCCAAAATATCTAATGGGCCTACGGGCAGATATAACATTTCGTGCCCATATAAGAAAACCAAAATTATTAAACACATTTGAAAGAAATGTGTATTCAATTAAATATTTTGAAGAATTTAATTTTTGATTTCTAATGAGTTTTAGAACTGTTTTAAGGGGATATACTCTAATCTCGTATTTTAAATCTAATCTCGTATTTTAAGGTTAGAATTTATTTTAAGGAGGATATATTCAATCAAGTATTTAAGATTAATATTTTAAGGGGGATGTATTCAATCTAGTATTTTAGGTTAGAAATGATTTATGGGGATCTATTCAATCTAGTATTTTGAAGAATTTGATTTTTAATAAGTTGTAAAATGCTTTGAAGGGGATGGATGTATTAAATGTAGTATTCAATCTAGTATATTAAGGTAAGTAGTTATTTTAAGAGGGATGTATTCAATCTATTATTCTAAATAATTACATTTTTAATTAGTAGAATGATTTTAGCTGAATTAGTAAAGTTGTTATAATTTGTATCTTAATTTTCATGAAATCTCACTTATAATCGTCATAGGAATTAGATTCTTTCTATTAAGAAACTCCACCAATACAGCTTTAAACACACTCAAAACTCTACTTAGGAAGACATTTCAATACTTGATAAATTAAATTTACAAATCATTGGTATAATAACATCATATACTAAAAGAATTTTTAAATTTCAAGTTTAAAGTACAATACGATTTATCATTTTAATATAAATCATTCAAAATGCTAAATCAAAATCACTAGAGAACGCCATTCATTTACTTCAACACAGTATTAAGTGAGGAGGAAAAACAAATTCTAATATGGGATTAAAAACCAGATCCATGCTCAAAGTCTATTCAGATAATCTCCAAACACTTCAAACGATAAAAGGAAAATGCTTTCAATATCAAATACAAAATAACGAACTAGTGGACAAAAACCACAGCTAAATCAAGTTTATGCTGTTTTACTTTGCTTCATATGTTACTCGGATACATGAAGACTCTGACCCTGTTTCCCTGCAAGACAAAAAAAATAAAAGATGTCTTCACTTCACAACCCAAAGCAGAAGATTTAACATCTAAAACGATAATGATCTAATCTGTATTAAGTACCATGGACTTGGGAGGCAAGTTCGAGGTGAATTTGGCGCGGACGACACCACTATTACCATGAGGCCTGGTTACTTTTCCCCAGATGCAACGGTAGTGGCTACCGTTCTTCTTCGTCTTAGCCTTGTAGATGTAAGCCATCCTCTTTCCCTTGTACCATGTTACCTCCTCCGTGGTGTTGACTCCTTCGATCTGAATAAGAGATGTGTTTGGATACTGGTTCGATTTCGACCTGCACATTTACAAAAAATGTCAGACAAAGCAGTAGCAGTATGAAACGGTTCGGTTTAGGTTCGACATGACATGGCTATTATAACAGAACTCGGTTAAAACATGGCTTGTCTAGATTGATGATAAGCTACTATAATGTCCTAAGAAAATGCAGGCAACAAAGTTTCGAATTTGTTCAAGTCATTAGAAACAGAGTCTGATTATAAGTCGAAGGATCCTTGCACAAACTAGTCAATGTGGCTAACTACAGCCAAATCAAGGACGAGTAAGCAGTATAAAATGAACAACAAAGAGATTAAAGTAAAGTGTCACCTTTTGTATCCGAGGATGGTTCCTCTAACGTAGAGTCTGCAAAATTTTGATCAGACAAAATAAATCAGATATTTCGCAGAATAAAACTTCATGGAAATTGCAATACTGAGCATTGTACAATCTACAAGAGCAAAATGTTCCATTTACAAACGATAAGATAGATTTCTAAAATTATCACGAATCAGTTCAAATCTAGACAATACGAGAGAAGCAAGATAGTTACAGAAGAGAGGGATCATAGAGGCAAACGAGCAAATCTCAAGTGATACCATAAGAAAGGAACAAACAGCTTTGAAAAAAGCTACGGAAAGATCAAACTCGATGGGAAATAGAAGAAGAAGAGTGACCTGACTCGTTCTCCTTGGCGTCCCTTCACCATTTTCGCTTCGGCCGAATTGACGCAAGACTGCTGCTGCTACTGAGGTAAACGGAGGAGAAGAAAACCCTAAATCACAACTACGGAATTTATATATGCTCTCCCAAGTTCTCATTTTTTTCTTTTGATTAAAAATAGGCCTATGGGCTTCAAAACTTGGCCCAGTAGTATTTTAGAACTGATATAAATGGGCTTTCTCGTGACACGATATGTAGTCGTTTTATTCCTCTCTCCCGCAATTCTCATTTCTCGTTACCGACCGCATTAGCCGCCGTGCCTCTCCGTCTCCGATCATCTCTCCGGCTGAAGAATGTCGACTGGATCGTCAAACAGAAGTTCATTGCCGTCTCCTCGAAGTAGTCTTCTTCTTCCCTCCACCGTGGTCATCGTTGTTGGGACGATCGTGGCGTTGACTTATCAGTCAATATTAATACCTCCTCCGCCGAAGCTATGTGGCTCCCCCGGAGGTCCACCGATCACAGCACCGCGGATAAAGCTCCGAGACGGGAGAAATCTGGCGTACAAAGAGCATGGACTTCCGAGAGAGAAAGCTCGCCGCAAAGTCATCTTCATCCATGGATCCGATTGTTGTCGACACGATGCTATTTACGCCACTCTCCTCTCTCCGGTACTTGTACATACCAGTTTCTTGAAATTAGGGGTTTTTATCATCAAGCTTTTGATGAATTGCATTTTATAGGATTTAGTGGAGGAACTTGGCATGTATATGGTTTCGTTCGACAGACCGGGTTACGGAGAGAGCGATCCGGATCCAAATCGAACTCCACGGAGCTTGGTTTTAGACATTGAAGAGCTCGCTGATCAATTGAATCTTGGAGCGAAGTTCTACGTGCTTGGGTATTCAATGGGAGGACAAGCAACATGGGGATGCCTTAAATACATCCCTCACCGGTTAGCCGGAGTGACGCTTGTTGCTCCGGTGGTTAACTATTGGTGGAAGAACTTACCTTTGAATGTTTCCACTCAAGGTTTCAACTTGCAACCAAAAAGGGATCAGTGGGCGGTTCGTGTGGCTCACTATGCTCCTTGGCTCATCTATTGGTGGAACACACAAAAGTGGTTCCCGGGTTCGAGTGTATCAAACCGAGATCGCAGTATCTTGTCACAGCCGGATAAAGATATCATTTTGAGGCTGGGTTCTTCGAGGAAACCGCATTTGGCAGAGATAAGGGCGCAAGGATCACATGAGAGTATGAACCGTGACATGATTGTGGGGTTTGGAAGCTGGGAATTTGATCCTATAGATCTCGAGAACCCGTTCTTGAACAACCAAGGCTCTGTTCATCTGTGGCAAGGAAATGAGGATATGTTGGTGCCTGTGACGATGCAGCGTTACATTGCGCAGAAGCTTCCATGGATTCACTATCATGAGGTTCCGGAAAGTGGCCACTTCTTCCACTACAATAAAGGTGTGGTTGATGTCATTGTAAAGAAGCTCTTAACAACCGATGCTGAGAATTAGTGAAGATCTCAGTGGTCTTAAAAAACGGCCCGAAAAAATTATGGATACCATGTAAATTGATGTATTTCTACAGCAGCATAATAAATTAGTGTTGAATCTCTTAGTTTCACACCATTTTTGTTGCTTTGTAGCCCACAAAAGAAGCCAAAGCCAAAACAGAGCATAGCTCTCTTTCCGATTCATAGACTAAGTTACAACACCTCAAGGCACTATTAACCGTTGGTGTTTCTCCAAGATTGTGACTTATAATCCTCAGTCTTGAAATCGAGACAGTAGAACATAAGAAGAAGGGGGTCTTCAAAAGGAATCTTTAGATCAGTCCATAGTATGTGCTAAGACCGCAACAAAAGTTAGTGTAGAAACTAGATTGACTATGTTCAAGATTCTTAGAGATAGCAAAATGGCAAGTACACTCAACTTATAAAGCTATATTGTCAAGAACAAAAAGAAAGATGCGGTTTCTGGTGTGGTTGATGACATTGTTAAAGATACTCTTGACCACCGATGCTGAGAATTAAGTAATTAACTAAGATCCCAGTAGTTAAAATAGGCCCCAAAAAAATATCTACACAATGAAATGATTTATAGATTGATTCATCTCTCAGCAAACATATAATAAAAGTGGACTTTTTTACAGCTTCACACCATTTTTGTTACAAGTCCACCAAAGCCAAGCCAAAGCAGAAAGAAAAAAAAACAGAGCATGAGTCTCTTCCGACAACACCTCGAGGAACTCTCAAACGTTGGAGACACTTAAGGTTAAGACTTTAATCCTCAACCATCTCCTCATCATCATCTTCTATTTCCTCAATCCGCATCTTCTTCACCGCCTGAGCTGCATCACTTTTATTCGGCCCATTAGCAATGTGAATTAACACATCGGACTTCTTCCCTGTCGTAGCGTTCACTAGCCCTCCATTCGTCTCAACACGGTACACAAGATCAGATCCACCAGCGCCTGCATCTATGTAAACCGTGGAGTTCTCATCTATTTCCTCACGCACAACCATCTTCGACAACTCTGTAACCACCTTCTTCTCCATCCATCTCCTTATTGGCCTAGCACCATACACCTGACCATACAACAAAACAAAGCAACCACAAGAGTCAGCCAACAGACCAAACCAATCTAAGAGAATGGTGCATGACAAAACACTGCATTAAGTAAAGAGACTTACCGGGTCATAACTCTCCGCCAAAATGTAGTCTAAAGCAGCATCAGTGACTGCCAAAGCAACGCCTCTCTCAGCAAGCCGGACAGCAACGTCTTTCATTTGGAGCCGAGCAACTTTCCTCAACTGGTCATGCGACAATGGATCGAACACCACAATCTCGTCAAGCCTGTTGAGGAGCTCTGGCCTGAAGTGCTTTCTCACTTCCTGCATCACACATTCCCGAGCCACTTGCATTGACACTTTCCCAGTCAGTCCTGAAAGAAGATGCTCTGCACCAAGGTTCGACGTCATGATTATCACCGAGTTCCTGAAATCGACGGTCCTGCCTTGCCCGTCTGTCAATCTACCATCATCCAACACTTGGAGCAATGTGTTGAAAACAGCAACATGGGCTTTCTCCACTTCATCAAACAGAATAACACAGTAAGGTCGCCTCCTCACAGCCTCAGTTAACTGTCCTCCTTCCTCGTGACCAACATAGCTGATAAAGAGTGTAATTATGTTAGAAGACAAACTTCATAGCCAAACAATATTGTCTTAAGAAAGTAAAGGATTAGGTACTTACCCAGGTGGTGCCCCAATGAGGCGAGAGACAGAGTGTTGTTCCATATACTCGGACATATCAATCCGAACTAAGAGGTTTTCGTCATCGAAGAGCTGCTCAGCAAGAGCCTTAGCTAGCTCAGTTTTGCCAACACCAGTTGGGCCAAGGAATAAGAATGATCCAGTTGGTTGTTGTGGCCTTCCAAGTCCAGCCCTTGACCTCAAAATCGCCTCAGAAACTGCATTTACCGCTTGATCTTGTCCCACAACCCTCTTGTGCAACCTGTCAGCAAGACCAATCAGCCTCTCCTTCTCGTTCTGGCCGAGTCTCGTCACTGGAATCCCAGTCCAACGGCTCACAACTTCAGCAATGTGTTCTGGCCCGACGTTCTCTGTTAGCATCACATTCTCTTCATGAGTTCCTTCAAGTTGGGCAATTGCAGATTCCACTTCTTGAATTGCTCCATATCTTAGATCAGCCGCTCTTGCAAGGTCATATCTCCGTTCTGCTTCCTGCAGAGCAAACATGAGTTCTTCTCTTTTCTGTTTAAGCCGTCGAATTTCATCAATCCTCTCTTTCTCCTTTCTGTACTTCATCGTGAGAGGCTGAAGCTTATCTCTCAGGTCATCAAGCTCTTTCCGCACCTACAGAATCATAGTTTGAGAAAACTATATCAACAACTCGTCCCGGAAAACAGATTCTAACAAGCAACAATTATTTTCTGAAGGGTCATATGCTAAAGAGAGAAGGAAACTGTATCATACCTCTACAAGTCGAGCTTTGCTGGCCTTGTCCTTCTCTCTTTCCAAGGCATGAAGTTCAATTTCCAGCTGCATCCTCTTCCTCTCAAGGTTATCAATCTCCTCCGGTTGACTATCAAGCTGGACTCTCACATTGGCACAAGCCTCATCCACCAAATCAATAGCTTTGTCCGGTAAATGCCGACCTAATCAAAGCACACAAGTGTCATGTCAAGAACAAAACTCATACGAAACCACAACATCAGCTTAATGACTAAAGAATCTTAACATACCAGTGATGTAACGAGCAGACAGCTGAGCAGCATTGATAAGAGCCCTGTCTTGGATACGAACACCATGATGTCCCTCGTACTTCTCTTTAAGCCCTCTAAGAATACTAATAGTGTCAGGCACACTTGGCTCAGCTACATAGACTTGTTGAAACCGTCTCTCGAAGGCAGCGTCTTTCTCAACATATTTCCTGTACTCTTCAAGCGTTGTAGCACCAATGCATCGAAGCTGACCTCTAGCTAACATGGGCTTAAACAGATTAGCTGCATCCATCGACCCTTCAGTTTTGCCAGCACCAAGAACCAAATGAATCTCATCAATAAAGAGAATCACTTTGCCTTCAGCATCCTCGACCTCTTTCAAAACAGCTTTCAATCTTTCTTCAAACTCTCCTCTGTACTTGGCACCAGCAACTAACGCACCCATGTCCAACGAAATCAATCTCACATCAGTAAGACTGTTGGGGACATCTCCTTTCACAATCCTCTGTGCTAAACCTTCAACAACAGCTGTTTTCCCAACTCCTGGTTCTCCGATAAGCACTGGATTGTTCTTTGTTCTTCTTGAAAGGATCCTCACTACTCTTCTGATCTCCTCGTCCCTACCAATCACTGGATCAAGCTTCCCTGCTTGCTCAACCAAATCTCTTCCATACGTCTTCAAAGCTTGAAAATTTGTATCCCCTGAAGCACTCTCCACTTTCTTCCCTTCTTTCCCACGAAGCTTCTCAACCTCAGATTTTATCTTCGCCGTTGCAACACCCACTTCGTTCAACAGATCCCGGATCTGAGAATCTTCGAGTATACCCATAATCAGCTGATCTACGGCCAAGTGAGTGTCACCGCGTGACTTTTGAGCAGCTTGAGCACGGCGTATAACCTTGATGAGGCTCGAACTCGCTGGAACATCATCTGGCGGAGGAGATTGCGAGGGAAGTTTCTTCAGGGCTTGATTGATCACTCTTTCAGCAGATTGAGCTGCGTTCTCGCCGCCGGCACTAGAGATTGCTTGAGGGAATATTCCGGCGGGGTCAGAGATCAAAGCGCCGGCCAAATGCAGAGGAGTGATTTGAGCATGTCCTGCATTTACAGCTAGCTCATGAGCAGCAGCTATTGTCTCGTTTGTCTTGTGTGTGAATTTCTCAGGATTCATCTTCGATTAGCCTCTGTAATCCCTGAAAAACAAACCAAACAGCCATAATCTCAGCATACACAATCCACACAAAACGATATACTGTTGAAGACATGTTTGATGTAAATCGTAAACAGAAACCCAGATATGAACATGAACAAGAATCAAAAACAATCTAAGTCAGTACCTTAAACGATATGAGAAATCGGGTTCTTCGCGGATTTTTCTTCAATGAGTCAGAAAACTTCTTCGTCTTCTTCCTAATAACAAGTCTCTCTTTTCCCAGAGAATCAAGCAGATTGTATCGTCAATTGAAATCTTTAGATGATTGTTGGAAACTTTGTGAATTGCGAGAGAGAAAGGAGGCAGGAGAGGTATTTTTAAGGGAAGGAGATTCATCTGGAAAGATAGAGAATTATCGTCGCCTTCCTCCTTAGAACTAGAAGCTACTAGAGAATTCAGGTCAAGAGAGAGGAAGAGTGAAATCAATTCCACTTTTTATCATCTGACAAGTATATGCCACGTGGAACCTTCCTTTTAAAGCTGCCCTCGTGGATTGTTTTTAACTTTTCTGAAAATGTATGTACAAATAAAAAGCATTCTACAAATTAAAGGAGTTAAATGAAAATTTAAGAAGTTTTTAACCTCCATTTTCCGTTATTTAACAAATAGTCCTTCATTGCCTCCTCCATTTTCTTTCCCAAAAATCTGATCCTATCCTCTGTTCTTCCTCGATCTGCGCAGTGTTCTCTCTCTCTCCCAAACTCCATAATCATATCTCGATTAACTTCTCTTCCTGAACTTTCTTCTCATACCTATCCTTCTCTCGCATCCGTCGTGTGATTTTCTTTCTTTCCAAGCGTAAGTTTTCTTCCATTTCCAATGCTTGTCTTGTGCCTATCTCAAAGTAGATCGTCCTGGGGAGGAACCAAGTATAGAGATTGATAAACCCAATTGTTCACATTCATATTGTAGAAACTTTACCAAGTTTTAATCTGGATATAATCATAAAGTTCTTAGATTGGGGTCAAGAAATTTCAGGAAACGGAACAGCTATGTGACTCTTAGAATATTTTTGTTAGTGTTAGTAGTAGCTGAATCGAGTTTCTCTTTGATCTTGTACACAGGAATTAGCAATCAAAATTACGATGGGTGCTAATCATAAGAATGTAGAGAATAAAGAATATCGTCTCCCTCGTGAAGTCAAGGAAGCTCTACAAGCAATAGCATCAGAGTGGGAAGATGTGATTGATTCAAAGGCTCTGCTTGTTATTCCTTTGAAAGGTGCAATGACCAACGAGGTCTTTCAGATCAAATGGCCAACTAGAGAAAGTGGACCTTCGCGTAAGGTTCTGGTTAGGATTTATGGTGAAGGCGTTGAGATATTCTTTGACCGTGAGGATGAGATCAGGACATTTGAGTTCATGTCAAAGCATGGTCATGGACCTTTGTTGTTAGGCCGGTTTGGCAATGGCCGTATCGAGGAGTTCCTCCATGCACGGGTTAGTAGTATTCATATTTGTAAAGCTTATTCTTTTTTATATGTTCGTTTGCTGGAGATTATAACTTCTTTGTTGAACTATGAACTTTCAGACCCTATCTGCTTGTGACTTGCGTGATCCTGAAATATCTGGTCGCATAGCAACTAGGATGAAGGAGTTTCACGGTCTTGAAATGCCTGGTTTGAAGAAGGCTTTGCTTTGGGACAGATTACGGTATATTTCCCTTGTTTCCTGCTAAGATTCTACTTTGCTTTTTGTGAGAAAGCATTAAACTTTTGGTCTAGTTGAATCTGTTTGTCTTGCGTTGTGATTTCAGAAACTGGCTCAGTGCATGCAAGAGGCTGGCTTCACCAGAAGAAGCTAAGTCCTTCCGTCTAGATGTTATGGAGATGGAAATTACTTTGCTTGAGAAATCTCTGTTTAAGAATGATGAAAGTATTGGATTTTGCCACAATGATTTACAGTATGGGAACATAATGATGGATGAAGAAACCAAAGCAATTACCATCATTGTGAGGTTTCATTATTTGTTTAATCATCTGTCATTTTTTGTGTGTGTGTGGCCTTACTAGAATATAGATCCTAACTCGGATTCTATAATTTATCTGACAAATTCATAGGATTATGAATATTCATGCTACAATCCTGTGGCTTATGACATTGCTAATCACTTCTGCGAGATGGCTGCCGATTACCACACTGAAACTCCTCACATCATGGATTACAGTAAATACCCTGGTAAGTGATCATTTCAAGTAACTTTATTAGCCTTTGAAATGATAAAAGATCGATCATAGATGTTAATATGTGACTCATTTAATAGGTGTGGAAGAGCGTCAACGATTTCTGAAAACGTATATGAGTTCTTCAGGTGATCATTTTATCACACTCTCTCCCTCTCTCTATGAGCTTCAGCAAGAAATCATAGTATGCTCTAGATCCTCAATTGTTTTTGGTTCTTTTTGAGTATGTAGGTGAAGAAGAGCCCAGTGATACAATGGTCGAGAAACTCCTTGAAGATGTTGAGAAATATACACTTGCTAGTCATCTAACTTGGGGTTTATGGGGGATTATATCGGTATATTCTACAGTAACCTTCTATCATACCTGCACATTGTGTCTAAAGATATGGCTTTGATTTTGATATTGTAAAACTTTGTAGGAACATGTGAATGAAATCGACTTCGACTACATGGAGTACGCAAGACAAAGGTTTGAGCAGTATTGGTTAACAAAGCCGACGCTCCTTGCTTAATTTCATTTCTATGGACCCAGGAAGAGGTTTTTTTACGGTGGTAAAGAGAGGTATACAACATATACGCAAAAAGTACCGAATACAAACGATATTTACCAGTTTAGAGAAATAAGAAAAATGTAACTTCTGTTTCATTATATTAGAAGCCAAAATGTAACAGTCAGTAGTTTTATAATCTACTGTTGAAGTTGTTTCAGATTATATAAAACTTCTTATTTGTTTTCTCTCGTTAACGTTCAACGACATTTGTAAACTACGATTCAACCATAGATGTGAACAATCAGAAAAAAAAATACAATCTTCAAGTATACGTTCAATGTGTAGTGCTTATTATTTAAAAAGACTAGTATTAAAAAAATTGCAAGTTGGTTCACTTCTCAGTAACCACAGATCACCATCATGAAAGAAGATGGTCCTAAACTTTTATTATACAATTGAATATCTTATACTATAAATCTTCTCATCTGTTATACAACTGGACTTAAAGTACAAAGCTGTATTTGTATATATGTGCCTATAGATGCTGCTTATGATACTCTAGGAACTGAGCTCTCTAGAGTATTGTCTCAGAATCATACAATTGAATAGGCTCTCAAACTTAATAGCTTAAAGAATAAATCAAACAAAATTAACAACAACAAAAAATGCTTTATGGCCTTCTCTCCATCTTGCTTTGATATTCACAGGTCATGTGCACTGTTTTCTCCATCTCCTTGTGGGGTTTGGGACGGCTTGAGAAGTTTACAATCACTACACTTCACTTCCCCTGTTTTTTATCTGCAAATTCAAAAAACCAACATACTTGTTCATGTTTCAAATTTTCATGCATAAAAGCATGGGGTCTGAATCACAAGCACAGAACAAGTTACAAAATTCAGTTGAGAAAAGAAAAAACTTTTGTTGTTTGTCTTGGACTAGATCGCGAAAGATAATGTCTTTGCTCAACAAGTTTGGTTAGTTGAGCGACAAAAGGCTGCAAAGGTACTATTTGTAAAAGAGAAGAACCGAGACACACACAATGAAGGATAGTCAGTTAAAGCAATCCTAATTTTACCTTTCTGGAACCACGGTTTACGAATTAGCTTTCGGATGCGGTGTTCATGTCTTTCCAATAGTGCATCAACTCCATAAGATTGAGACAACAAAGGGTCCGAGAACTCTATCTTGTGACCATCATCCTGTCAAAAGCTTAAGTTATCAGCATCATTGAGCATGCTTGTCTATAAACCCAAAAAAGGAGACAAACCAAATCATGCCTACTTTTTTCTCTTTCCTCTCAACTTTAAGTGAAAGCGTGGAGAGAGACAGAGAGAAGAAAAAAACAAAACTTAAACAGCTGAGCAAACATGATCTGAATACAACGGTAACTTGGTTCTTTCTTTCTAGTTTTCTGAGCTGCATATCTCATTTACACCTTATCTTATACATATAATATCTCCTGTGATCTCCATATTCGCTTAGATATATAACTACTACAGCAGTAGTTCAATCATTTCTCTTTAGAATTACTTTCATTTTATTTCTTATACACACAATCGATTTTGACACTAGCATTACAGCATAAGAAAAAGTTAAGCCATGTTCTTAGTTTCAATTTATAGAACGTCTGGCACAAGTATATTTGATCTTCACTATGCCTATCAAAAGCACTGAACTGCCATGGAAACAATGCAAACAACGAGATTCTATATGGAATTTGGATATCAAAAAAACTAGAGAGGTGGCTTCAATAATCTACGGACGTACCAAATTATTACCCAGCTTTCTTGCCATTCCATCTCTCTGATAGAGTCCCAATGACAGTTCCTGCGAGTGATACTCTTCAGATGCACCAAAAGAATCTGGACGTTCAAGTTGTCTCCACTGCTTCAGCATAGAACGCTTCACCATCTCATATGACTCCTGGCCTTGAGAATCTGTCTTGTCCTCACGCTTTTCAGCATTTTTATCCTCATTTATCTTAGGTTCGACATCACTTTTCCCATTGAAAGCGGGAGAATGTCCAGAGAGATTAGTGATGTGACCTCTTGAGAGAGATCGATTATGTATCCTAACAGATACGTCATCTTTTTCTCGTTTCGCCCAAGCAAAACTACTTGATAAAGAAACTTGTAATGGCCCCGAGAAAGGTACATCTCCTTGAGATGCATTTTTCACATGGGAAGCTTCATCTTTCTTGTGATCTAGCGGGTTTTGTAGTTTCCCACATAACCTGGCATCACTCTCAATCGAATTATGAACTAAATGACCAATTCTTTTCTGAAATGTTTCAGTTTGGTGCCGCACATCCTGCAAACACAGAAAGATGGCACATTTGAGTTTCTTGCACAAGGAATTATACTCTCAAGATGCAGATAACAGCTAGACAAGACAGCAAGTGGAAAACACCTCCGCTGGTGCCAATTTATTGAACGAAAGGGCCTTCCGTGATGGCTTCCTCGCTTCTAGACCACGTCTCCCATTCACGCTAAGTTTTTTCCTGAAAATCAAAAATGACGTATGATGATGTTACAAACACTTCTAAGACCTGACATGTAATGTAAGGCCAACCAAAATGGTCAACTTGGTAATTTCCCCAAGCTGTGGAACAGTAGATTGTGTGTTTCACGCTTAATTTTATTCTGGTTGAAGATGATATGGTCATGAGTTGAAATCTTCTCTACCAGGTAATGAATGAAATTTCTTACCTTGTTGCTTCTTCTCGGTGCTTTGTATCTATCTCCTTGCTAGGTGGGTATATTGGCAAGCTTGAGGGATCACAAGCAAAAGGCTTTGTAGTAAAATACTGAAAAAATAAAATGAAGACGGATGAGCAAAAAACAGTAATATGGTTGGTTTCCACAGAAGTCAGAATTCTTCAAACTTGATGATTGTTAGCATTCATGCAAAGATAAAAAGTTTACCTGAGAAACAAGGGCACTAGAGGCAGTACCGCGTTTGTGGGGATCTATAGAAAGAAGAGTTTCTATCAGATTGATTTCAGTCTCAGACAAATCTTTCAAGGTTTCCCGGAGACAACTGTCGTAATTTTGCTGCGGCTTGAAAAGCATTGCATGAGGAAGTTTGGACTTTTTCCAGTAATCTTCTGGTGGAGATCCACACAGTTTGAAGATCTTGTGCAACTGTTCAACCTGTTTCCATACACAATTCATCAAGCTAATATCACTGACTTCGTTTTCCCACCAAGTAAAACAGAACATATCCATGACCAACAAGGATCAAGAAGCAGTGTTTATGCGGTTTACCTCAGTTCTTCCCCGGAGAATAGGTTTTCCGAGAAGCAGCTCGGCGAAAACACAACCAACACTCCACAAATCAACAGATGCTCCATAGTCCGTTGCCCCAAGTAAAAGCTCAGGTGGACGATACCACAGAGTCACAACTCGACTAGTAAGAGGTTTCTTCTTGTGACCAGAAGCATTGCTGAAGTTTGCTAACCCAAAATCAGCCACCTTCAGTATTCCTTCATTACTCAACAAAAGATTCGAACCTTTTATGTCCCGATGCATCACGCCTCGCGAATGACAATGATCAAGCCCAGACAACAGCTGCTTCATGTAACACTTAATCTGCAGAGGCAAAAGCAACCGATCATACAACCAAACCAAAAATTATAGATGATGATTGTTTCCACCAAAAAAAAAACAAAAATTTGGACGAACCTGTGGCGTCGTGAATTTGATGTCAGGGGAAGAAAGAAGACCAGTGAGATCATGCTCCATATACTCGAACACGAGTTGTATGTTGCAAGATAGCTTTGAAGTAATTAAACCTTCGAGCTTGATAACGTTGGGATGATTGAGTCTTCTAAGTATCAGAATCTCTCTCGCCATAAACTTAACACTCTCCGGCTCAAAGTTGTCGAACCTCACCTTCTTCAATGCCACAATCCTCCCGGTTTCAGTCTCCACCGCACGGAACACGCTGCTATAAGTACCTTGCCCGATCTACACAAACCAATCTAAAACTTCACTACGAGACGTTTCGTATAATACAAAGAGAAAGTATAAATTATTTTTGAGTAAAGAGAAACAAAACCTTCTCGAGCTTTTCGAAAGCATCGGATCGAAGTGGGACCCAACCGTGGATAGCTTCACCAGCGACGTTGCTCAACCACACAGGCCAACCAGCAGCGACCTGCTCGGCCTCAAGGTATTTGCTGAGGTTACCGAGCCGGAAACTCAGCGAGTCGCTAGCACGTCCCGACTCGCTCAACTCGCTACCCAACTCACCGCCGCTCCTCTGGCTCCTCCTCTTCCCGCTCTTACTCCTCCAGGACACGAGCTTCTTCAGAGTCGCGCGAGGCGGATCCTCAGCCACTACCCGACCCGATCCGGAACATTCATTGTCATTGTCCCTGAAGACGCCTGAGTGATCGATTGCAGGCGTCACAGAGACCGTCTGCTTCGAGCTAACGCAACCCATTTTACTGAATTTCGATTGCTTTTCCACACAAGTGATGAGCTAAAAATCTCCTCCCTGAGTTTTTTCCGGCGCCGACGCCGTAATCAGATCTCGGATTCGAGTGAATCTCCTGAAAGTAGTGAAACTCAGAGGTTTCGTATTTTATAATGAGATAGAGAGAATTTAGAGAATGTTTTTAAGACTCTTCTCTTCACTTTTTTGATTTTGGCGTATTATGGACGAGACGGTACATTTTAAAAAAAAATACATAAACTAAGAAGAAAACATGCATTTATTATCCTGGTCCTAAAAATCGAATCTACACCTTCCAATTTCGAAACCCCATTTTAGCATGTAGTTAATGACAGCTTTTTTGTTGCAATGAATAGTAGACTACACAAATGTGGAAGAACATTATTGAAAAAAAAAGAAATAAATATTAAAGCGTGTCAAAAGAAAATTATATATTGGCTGTATGTATTAATTTTTGGTCTCTAGTCAGTACGCGCGAATGGCTATTATTGATTTATATCAATTGTACGAAGATGACTTATATATATATATGTATCTAGAAAGCACTAAGTAGCAAATGACTAATTAGAAAAAGCTAAAACTATGATTAAACTCTTTAAGATAAGTCAAAACAAATTCATTTCAGAGACATATGATAATTGCAAAGAGAAACTTGCTTGTGTCTATAATGCTTTGCCAGCTCTTAGCCTATTATGACTACTACTATTTATCATAATATTCTTTTTTTCTCAACATTTAAGCAATAAAGTTTTGTAGAATTTTTTTTAAAGGATTTAAAGTCACTCCACAGGAGAGTAATTTTCTTACAAACCATCTATGAGTCATATTTATCAATTTTATCCCCTAAAAGACGAAAAGTTACGAAACAAATAGAACCAAAAAAAAGTCGGCAACTACCAACTGTAAACAATACAAAAGACCAAACAAAAAAACAGTAGTCACATATATTCAAAACGCTGTCATTCAGAAGAATCAGAACGCAAACCCCAAATCATTATTATCATCTGTAAATAGATTTTTAGTTGAATTGTTGGTGAGCACTAATATCCATCATAACATACTGTTATTAATGATGATCAGATTAATAAGAGAATTAAATTGGCAGATATCCCAAAAAAAGAAACCTTTATAGTTAATATCTCCATACGTTTTCAACAATAGGACATAGTCTCGTACGGTTCAACTACACCATTTAAAGTCCTCTCAAAGAGGAAATAAAGTAGGCACAGCATCTCAAGGAGCCAAGAACTGAACTTTTTATTTGAGGTAAGGTCGAAAATCATCAAGCCTTCTTCTTTTTGGATTTGAGCATGACCATGCCGATAAATACGGAAAGAAGAGAGAGGAGAGTTACGCCTGCAAAGACAGGTACGAGAATGGCATAGTCTTGGGGCAGGAAGTACTTGTGGATGAAGTGATCACTATCTACAAATGGCTGCAAAGGAAATTTATAACACGTGAGTATCTTACTATTTTAAGGAACTTGGAGGAGATGATTCATGTTATTGTCGCTTACCAGGATGATGACCCAGAAAGTATAGTAGGTGAATATGGATAAGCTGATTGAAGATAATAGAAGCCCGACTGCTCGATCCGCTAACTCCATTTGTCACGTTCCCTACCTACAGCACAGCGACTTAACTGTAAGAAAACAAAATATCAGAAAGATTCAACAAGCATAAACATTGAAAGACACAGTCAAAAAGTAAAGAAATTTATAATTGTGAATGCCGTCAAAACCATTTCACCTAGAATTTTCGCACAAGCACAGCTTAATGCCACGGTTTTAGATTCTGAGGGGTTTATAAACTGTGCTATTGCACATGGCCTCTCAAGAATCAAACAGCCGAAGAACAATAATCACCGGACCTTCTAGACATCAGATACACGGAGCTCAACAAGCTCTCTAAAACGAATCATTGTTGACCTATAAGATACCAGCAACTTGCAGGACTCTTGTCGTGGAGTGAAAGTAATCATCTCCAGGCTCCAAAATCAATGGCTTGAAGTGATATTTGACCCATGTAGAGATCTTTGAGGTGTTGCTTACACAGCCCTATTCTCCTTCCATTTAAGCTAGAAGGAATGCAAACAGAAAATCCCGTTTTCCAACCGGGAAACTTCTGTCTTTCCATTGCGTGTAGAGTATAAACAGCAGGTGCAGCCATCGAGCAACCATTTACGAAGCAATTGCAAGGCCTTGATTCGCTCACTACTCGAGCTAAAGACAATAAACACAGACCACTGTTGGAAATGCCGTAGGTTAGATGTTCATCCCTGTCAAAGGCTGGAGAATCTAGCTTCTCATCTTGTATTTCCTGTTCTATATCTTCAGCAGAGGGAATCGTGCTCAGCTCTGAATCAAGGCGTTTCTCTATTTCATTTTCGTGTATTCTATATTTCGACGCCAAAGTCCGGATGCATGACTTCCTGACCTGATTGTCGATAAGAGCCTTTACCTCATCAAAATTACTACAGCCTCCATACCATATCACCCATCGGCGGACAAGTCCTGAGAACCAATCAATTATCTGGGCAGTATCTTGCAAAATAAGCATAGGATTCGTACGAGCATATCCCGCAGCTGTTACTAATCCATAGCGAAAAAGACGCCTTCTTATAGCATTGGTAGGAGCAACAACATCGCCAAAGAAAACAGGTATATCACGAGAGAGTGGACATGGCAAAAGTGCTTCCACTTTAGCTGTCTCTGAAGAAACATATGCCGCAGCAGAGTTTTGAAACTTGTAAAACGCGTCTCTTAGCTCTTGAGGAATCGTAGGTTCGACAATATGCTTGGACAAGATAAACTCCTCGCCTCTATCTGCAGAGGTTCTTAGCACGTCCTCCATCCATATTCTAAGCAAAACCTTATACCAATGATCTGTTTCCATGCCTGCCTTTCTGTGGCAAGATATTTGGCTCAAGGTAGAGTTACTCTCCGCCAAGCCTTTGATTTCTGACTCCTTGACTTTCTTCAATCCATGTCCTAACCATTTCTTTCCAATTCTAACTGTGCCCAAGCTCCACGCCTCTTCTTTCTGCAATGCAAAGAGCCTAACTTTCTCCTTTAACTTGTGAACAACTTTGACAGAGGGACTCTCCCTAACATTTTTCCTAACTAAGGTACCCAATACACGAAGCCCACTGGTCGTTTCACATGGTGACGAGTCTATTTCATCAGTGATGTCCAAATGCAGTGAGTTCCGTAAGAAACCTATAGCTTCAGATCTGATATCAACAGCGGCTTTCTTGGGACCAGACACAGAGAAAAATATCTCATCCATAAATCTGCAACAATAAACTCTGAGAGCGATGTCCTGCTCCGGAGTACTTTTCAATTCTTGTTCTCCAGCCTGCCTCCTGAACCAGGAACGAAGTTTTGACCCTGGGCTATCTTCATCAGTCTGTGAACCAAGATCAAGAGCTTCATGCCTCATTGAGATTCTATAAAATTCATGATCAAACCGATCAAGATATATGTTCATCAATACACGGGACAACACCCCTTCTTGCGGTAGACCATGGCCCTTGGGAAATCCTCCAAACTCGAGATTGAGCACCTGGGCTTCAAACATAGAACGGAGTAGGATACTTAAACTACTGTCTTCTATTTTTTCTTCCATCACAGAGAGAAGGCTCTCGAAAACAGAAACATCCAGTTTTTTGTTCAGGCTCAAAGTGAAACACCAGTCAGAATGAGACATATTGTTGCTGATATACTTCAACGCAGATGCACGTCCCCTTCCGCTTCGACAACTATGCGAAATCTTAGAGAAATGAGGACTGAAAACGACTTCCAGGACTATTCTGATAGCCTCTTGGACAACTTTCAGAGCTACACTAGGCAGTACAAGGACCTCTTTTGTTTTATCTCTAGCCACAAGCGAGAAGGTATTGGAAGTGACATCAAACATCCCATTAGAGAGCTCTTCCGCAATAGAATCAAACGCAACACTGACATTTCTTTCTGTAATGGGAACGTTGGAGTTAAGCCTAATACAGTCATAAGCGTCCCGAAGAGTTTCAGGCCTCGCAATCACCTTCTTCAGCAGGTCGCTAAACTTCCCGTTGGTGTATTGCTCCTTGACTCTTTTCTTTAAACGGAGTTCAAGAGATCTCTTTAGCTCCATACGGCTTCTGGGTTTGGTATCATCAACATGAGCAGATTCCTCTACGAGAGAGGCTAATTCCCCAGCTAGTGAAAACATTCCCGTTTGCTTACTACTACCCATGCCTGCGTCGTCTGTTGCAAGCAGGACCGATTTAGAGTGTGTGGAAACAGCACGACTCCACAGGGTCCGCGAAATTAGGGTTTCAAAGTCACCGAGATCAGCTCGACGCAACAATTCCGTAACTAGGTTGCGTTTCCTAAACATCAGGTAAATTCCGATTCCCAAATCTAAACCTAAGAGACTATATCCCGACTAAGCCAGTGATATGTCTACAGTATAACGGGGGAAATCAGGTTTATCAATCCCTATGCTTAATTCGAGATACTTTGAGATCAACACAGGTATGGAAGGAAACTTACGTTTAGAAACGAAATCAGACGAGGTATGCGAAAGCACGATTGGGTCTGAGAAGGAAATTGCAGAAGCTTGCTTGAAAAGGATTAATGGAGAGAAGTAGAGAACGCGGCGCACAGCGAATTACTCGAGATGGAGAAGAAAAGAGTCGCGTGGGAAGAGCCGAAGAGGAAGGAAGGACTATTTGCTAAATAACATATAATATTATATATTTTTGAAATTACATTCAAAGCCCTTTAATTGCAGAATGCGTCAGTTTTGGATATAGAATTTCAAATTCAGTTTTGCACTTTTGTGGTTTGTATTAGTCCTCCTCCTTCGATGATCATCAGCATGTTCATTTAATCATTTATGAATTCAAATTCAGTTTTGCACATACATGAAATGCTCGCAATAGAAATTTATGTTATTTTTATTGGCATTTTGTATTCTTTTTAGCTAGATGATCTACTTGTTCTATTGTTTATCAATTTCTCACTATCAATTGACAATGTCTACTATATAAATGCTTTGGATCATGCTTTGCTCTAAACAAAAGAAGAAGAAAAAAAAAACGATGCTTCATGCTTTCCTTTTTCTTTTGGTCAATCTTCATGCTTTGCTTATTTTCCCAATTTTTTTATAATACTATATATGTCGAGCTGGGTTCGTTGGATAATTGTAAAAACCAACCCAAATTTTTCAAGGTTTCAAAAGCACCGGTTTGGTCCGATCATGATATGGATAAAAGGAGTCGTACTAGTTCGCATGGATATTTTACTACCGACCATACTCTCTAGGTTATTGATAAGAGCCAGCCATAGGAGATAATATTGTTGAATTTGATTAATGGCAATGGGTACGCAGAGAAAAACCTTAGCGCACAAACGACGTCGCTTTCAAAGTGGGATTCTCCTATTAAATTCACTAGCAATCTTTTGTTTGTTTATTTGTCGCCTTTGTTTTTTTTGGCATGAACAAATGTTGGCTCATTTAGTCATTACCATTCACACCTTAGTGTTTAATGTGGACCAACTTCTTTTTTTTTTATCCGGAATTTTCCTTGGTTCTTTTTTTTTTCATTCAAATGGTGGAAATCCAAAACTTTAAAATTGGTACCACTTTGAACATTTTCAGACTTAATATCATTTTCTTTAACGAGTTCTAATAGTCTGAAGCCACAACATGCTTATGTGAAAGAGTAATAAAAGGGTTTGAAACATATGTGGCCATCATTTTTTTAGGGTATTTGAATTATGGAAATTATAATTGTAGCTGTCGATATGATTTTTTTTTCGCTGCAAGGGGGAATATAAATCTTTTTTGAAGTGCAGGACAAATCTCATAACTACAAGTCTACAACTCTAACTATTGTATTTTTTCCCAATGGACACAAATAATTTTACTATTCGAAAAAAAAAAAATCATCAAGAGAATAGTAGCCTCTGAATTTTCTAGTTCAATAAATCATTCAATGGTCTGTCAAAAAGTGTCATACTATTCAACTTATTGTGTACTTAGACTAATCAAGGTAAAATAATACACGCATTTGACCATCACGGGAAACAATTAAAGAAAAATATTTCCAACGGGTAAATAAATATAGATAGTATAAACAAAAAAAAAGGAATAATATATGAGTTTTGATCATTAATAATGGTAAAAAAAAACATTGGTCAAAGGACTATATAAGTCAACTAGTGCCGTCCAGATGATTACATAGATTATAGGACCCACCATATACTTGTAATCCTTTTGTTAACAATAACATGTTTAAGACAGTTTATCCTAATTCTGAAAATTTCAAAGCGATACCGGTTTATTCTCTCTTTGGTCGTCTAAATTTGTTTACACTACACGTTTATTCTATACAAGCGAATATTTCTTCCGATAATGCAATTTAGTTATCTCATATAGTCTCATAATGACCTTGTGTAAAACGTAATTAGATTTACATCATGTGTAACATTTTTGTTGATTGTTTTAATCAAAATTAACAACTTATTACCCACTCTGACACGAAGTCAAAATCTTCTACTTGGGTCAACTAAGATGTCTCAGCTGCTCACCTATTTTTTGTTCAAGCTAATGTAAATAAATGAATAAATCTAATTTGATGGCCGGATAAAATTATAGTGAATCTCATTTTATGAAATATCAAACCAAATCACATGCATAATTAAAATTTCTAAAACCTACAGACAAATTCGATATTTACGCCCAAACCTTTTTTTTGTTAAATTTCCCACTTGAACGAGTTCTCGAGTGCGCGTATATGGTACCGTACAAAAGTTAATGATTTCCAATTTATATATTATCAGAAAATAATATTTGTACCCTTTTTAAGCAACTTAAAATAGAGAACTGTTTGTTATATACTTTCAAAGTTTACATGTAAGATGTTTAATGTAAATTGTGAAATGGAAAGTTTTAACAAATTTTCAACAAAAAAATGCGATCTTTTTTAAGATTGGTAACGTAATATGTACGGTATTTGGTCAAAATTAAACATACATTTAATTCAACTTTTTATTTTGTTTTAGTTATGTGAGGGGAAGAAAAAGAAAGGGGAAAGGAAAAGTCTAATAAATAGGAATAAGCCAATATTGTGATGTTCAAAGTTTTCAGTTGCTTGGTCTACGTGCGGGCGGGTCTGTTTTTCAACTTCCTCTTTTTTCTTTCTCGAATCCCTCTTTCCATGAATTTCCATGAAATTCATCTTCTTCCCCGATAATTTCCGCACCTTGTCGAGGAAAATCGCAGCCGAAGAAGACGACGCTAACGATATAGAAGAAGAAGAAGAAAAGGAGCTGGAGAAGGATGAAGATGGTGACGCGACTGATCATGGCGGATGATGATTCTGAGTCACTTACCTTGCTTTATCTCTTACTCTTCGTTTTGATCACTGGTACCTCTTCGCATCTTTTGAATTCTTTGTTTTCAATTTATGTTTCGTTGAGAGTTTTTGGGAATTATACTGTATTCTCTGCTTGAGTGTGAGTTTCAGTTTCTTCGACGTTTACTTCAACCGGTTTAGGGTTTTGACATTTCTGTGCCGAATTCGACGTGATTTTTTGGGCGTTTCCCCTTATTTTATGGATTAGTGTTGTTTATTTGCAAATGATTTCGAGAGATGAAGCTCGCGTATAGTAATTCCGGGTTTTGCATTGTGTGTTGGTGAATCGCAGTTTCAATTTTTTCCTCTGTTTTGACGAACATGATAACGACACTTGCGAATATTATAGTTAACTAAGGATGACGTCGTCGATGATTTTGGTGGTAAAGTTATCTGAAAATTTCGTTTTTTTGAATTGATTTTCTTCCATGGCAGCCATAGCAGTCGCCGGAGATTCTCTGGACAGTGATACGGAAGTCTTATTAAACTTCAAATCTTACCTGGAATCTCGAAACCCAACGAACCGAGGAATGTACACGGAATGGAAAATGGAGAAGCAAGATGTGTGTCAATGGCCTGGAATCACATGTACGCCTCAGGGAAGTAGAGTCACAGGGATCAATCTACGTGATTCCACCATCTCCGGCGCTCTGTTCAGGAACTTCTCCGCCTTAACGCAGCTCACATATCTCGATTTATCAAGGAACACCATCGAAGGCTCGATCCCAGATGACCTAAGCCGCTGTCACAACCTAAAGCATCTGAATCTTTCTCATAATATCCTTGTAGGGGAGCTTAGCTTATCAGGGTTATCAAATCTTGAGGTTCTTGATCTATCGATGAATAGGATTGCCGGTGATATTCACTCTAGCTTCCCTTTTATCTGCAACAGCCTGGTTGTCGCAAATCTGTCGACAAATAACTTTACTGGTAGAATCGATGACATCTTTAATGGGTGTAGGTACCTGAAGTATGTCGACTTCAGCTCCAACAGGTTCAGTGGAGAGATATGGACTGGCTTTGGGAGGCTGGTCCAGTTTTCAGTTTCTGAGAATCATCACCTCTCCGGGAATATCTCAGCTTCCATGTTCAGAGGGAACTGCACTTTGCAAGTGTTGGATTTGTCTGAGAACGAGTTTGTTGGGGAGTTTCCAGGCCAAGTTTCGAATTGCCAGAATCTGAATGTGTTGAATCTGTGGGGAAACAACTTCACAGGGAACATTCCACCTGAGATAGGCTCCATATCCTCTCTCAGAGGTTTGTACTTGGGGAATAATAATTTTTCTCGAGACATACCGGAAACTCTCCTCAACTTGAGCAACTTGGTGTTTCTGGATTTAAGCAAAAACAATTTTGGAGGAGACATTCAAGAAATATTCGGGAGATTCACTCATGTAAAGTATCTAGTCCTGCATGGGAACTCATACGTTGGAGGCATCGATTCTTCCAACATCCTCAAGTTACCTAATCTTTTCAGGCTAGATCTTAGCATGAACAACTTCTCCGGACAGTTACCAGCTGAAATTTCTCAGATCCGGAGTTTGAAGTTCTTGATTCTTGCTTATAATAACTTCAGTGGTCAGATACCACAGGAGTACGGGAACATGCCGGGGCTTCAAGCACTTGATCTCTCCTTTAACAAGCTGACCGGTTCGATACCAGCTTCATTTGGAAAATTGTCATCTCTTTTGTGGCTAATGCTTGCAAATAACTCTCTGTCAGGAGATATCCCTCGAGAGATTGGAAACTGCTCGAGCCTTTTGTGGTTTAACGTGGCAAACAACCAGCTCTCTGGTAGATTCCATCCTGAATTGACTAAAATGGGTAACAATCCTTATCCAACATTTGAAGTGAATAGGCAAAACAACGACAACATAATTGCTGGTTCCGGTGAATGCTTGGCGATGAGGAGATGGATTCCGGCAGAGTTCCCTCCTTTCAAGTTTGTATACGCAATTCTTACGAAGAAGAGTTGTAGAAGCCTATGGGACCATGTTCTGAAAGGGTACGGTCTCTTTCCTGTCTGCTCAGCTGGTTCCACGGTACGCACGCTTGATATTTCAGCCTATCTTCAGCTCAGTGGAAACAAGCTATCCGGTGAGGTTCCTGCGAATATCTCTCAGATGAAGAAGCTGAGTATGCTTCATTTGGGGTTCAATGAGTTCCAAGGGAAACTGCCTCCAGAGATTGGACAATTGCCTCTCGCATTTCTCAACCTGACCAGAAACAACTTTTCAGGCCAGATTCCTCAAGAAATCGGAAATCTCAAGTGTCTGCAGAATCTTGATCTGTCTTGCAACAATTTCTCAGGAAACTTTCCAACGATTTTGAATGACTTGACTGAGATGAGTAAGTTCAACATCTCGTATAACTCCTTAATTTCTGGTGTGATACCATCGACGGGACAACTGGCAACCTTTGAAGAAGACTCCTTTCTTGGAAATCCGCTGCTGCGGTTTCCTAGTTTCTTCAACCAATCAGGGAACAGCACGAGGATCCAGGTTTCTCACCAAAATCTAGGACGAAGAACTATTCTTTTGGTTTGGATTTCCGCGGCTCTTGCATTGGCGTTCATCGCTTGTTTAGTGGTATCAAGTATTATTCTCATGGTTGTTAAGGGTTCAAGGGAAGCAGAAGTCGATCTCTTAGATGGGTCGAAAACCAGACATGACACGACTTCCAGTTCAGGCGGGTCATCTCCATGGCTGTCAGGAAAAATCAAGGTCATTCGCTTAGACAGATCAACATTCACGTATGCTGACATTCTGAAAGCAACCAGTAACTTCTCTGAGGAGAGAGTGGTAGGTAGGGGAGGGTATGGGACTGTTTACAGAGGCGTATTTCCTGACGGAAGAGAAGTTGCAGTCAAGAAGCTACAAAGGGAAGGCACAGAAGCAGAGAAAGAGTTCAGAGCAGAAATGGAAGTTCTTAGCGCCAACGCATTTGGTGACTGGGCACACCCAAACCTCGTGAGGCTGTACGGTTGGTGCCTAGATGGATCAGAGAAAATCTTGGTGCACGAATACATGGGAGGCGGGAGCTTAGAGGAGCTCATCACAGATAAAACAAAACTTACATGGAAGAAACGCATCGATATAGCGACAGATGTAGCGCGGGCATTAGTGTTTTTACACCACGAATGCTACCCTGCCATCGTTCACAGAGACGTGAAAGCAAGCAACGTTCTTTTGGATAAACACGGGAATGCGAGAATGACGGATTTCGGACTGGCAAGACTCTTGAATGTCGGAGATAGCCATGTGAGCACGGTGATTGCAGGCACAATCGGGTATGTAGCTCCTGAGTACGGACAAACTTGGCAAGCCACCACGAGAGGAGATGTTTACAGCTACGGAGTATTGACGATGGAACTCGCGACGGGTAGAAGAGCAGTTGATGGAGGAGAAGAGTGTTTGGTCGAATGGGCAAAACGGGTAATGACAGGGAACATGACAGCCAAAGGCTCACCATTTACTCTCTCGGGGACAAAACCAGGCTACGGAGCTGAGGAGATGACTGAGCTACTAAAAGTAGGTGTGAAGTGTACCGCGGATCATCCTCAGGCAAGACCCAACATGAAAGAAGTCCTGGCTATCTTGGTTAAGATATCAGGTAAAGCTGAGCTCTTCAATGGTTTGCCTTCACCAGATTACAGAGAAATGTAAAAACTTTCTTTTTTTATTCAGATTTATACAGAACAGCACATTTTTTTTCTTCCATTGTTACTGATCCATCTTGTACACACAGAGAGAGCAAGGTAGTTTTGTTCGTTATGTACAGAGACACAATTTGAAATAAAGATCTTCTCTTTATTCTTGTCTACATTAACTGTAACAACTTTGGCTCTATAGTTTACTCTCTCATGTTTCTTACAAGTAAAGAAACATAAAGGAACAAAGAGACAGTACAATGAGTTAGGCTGAAATCTCTCTGATCAGCCAGTTTAAGCTCGGGAAAGCGAAATAGAGAACGAGAAACGACGGGATAGCCAAAGCAAACGTGACAAAGAAATAGAGTCCGAGAACTGCAGCACTCACAGGGATTGCATATAAAGCCATCAACAGAAACATGACTACCAAAGGAAACTTGGCCAACAAATGAGCAACAAGAGCCATTGACTTACATAACGAGTCGTGAAATATCCCAGTTCTGAAGTATCCTCTGGTCACACCATTCCACCAACCGCGATGATCCAGCAACCGTTCACCATCTGAGGCGGTATCACTCACTCCATCACACCTCTTTCTCATATCTCTCTGCCCTGAAGTGACCCTTTTGTTGTCACTGCGCGACTCGGATCTACAGCCATTCATGCTTTCAACCAACCATAGAAGGTAATAGTTCTTGGAAGGGAATTTGATGGTTCCATTGCAAACCAGCCTTAAAGAGAGGAAATTGCACCAAGGACAAGCAACGAAGAAGGGAAGCTGGAAGGATAAAGCTGAGGATTTTATCACAACGGCGCGTTGAAGCCCTAAGAGACAACACTTGCAGATGGTGTGACCACACCATAAGACATAAGGCACATTCTCAACGACGTTGAATGATTCCCAGCAAATGGGACACTCCCATCTTTCTTCCTTCCTTGTCTTTATTCCATCTACTGAGGAAGCTGAAGGAGCTTTTCTAGGTTTTGTGACAGCATCTTCTTCTCCCTTTGATTTAAAGCCTTCTTTGATGGATTTTGAAGCTAATTTCCACATAAGAATAGAGGAGGGGGGAATCAGATTCCTATTTCGTTTCCACAAAGGTAATCACTTTGTTTTGAACAACCCTTCAATGAAACAAGAAGCAAGAATCAATTACAGAAAACTCAGCTAATCTTTACAGGCATTAAGAGAGAGGTGGTAAGCCAAAAGACATAGATAATCAGGATTCGGACATGAAATTCACGATGGAACCCACAAAGATTCAACCCAGAACATACAAAAAGCAACAAACTTGATGAAACCCAAGAAAACATTAATAAAAACAAAAACAAAAAGCAATAGGAACGAAACATACTGTACCACGAAGAAATTAGAAATCGAAGAGAAATATCTCTGCACTTGCAAGAGTTTTATCACTTTATCCGGTCAAAAGAGATGAAGATATATAAACAACAAAGAAATGCATATCCAAAACTCTGACGTTAAACGACGCCGTTCGAAATAAACCACTAAAAAGAGACACGCGTCGTAAATCATGGTGACTCTGAAACGCCTTTCGAGGTTTCAGCCGCCACCGATGATTTCCTTACCTTTATCCGACGCCGTTAGCTAAACTGCAAAACGCGCCGTTCCATTACCGCCAACGGAAACCGCTTCCGTTATCTATCAGTTACTTCCGTTAATTTTACTTACATTACAAGAAAAAAAAGTATTTACTGAAATCTAAAACAAATTAGTAAGACTAAGATTACAATTGGACAATTACATTCCCACTTAAATAATAATAATAATTGTCGGTGTGAGTGAGCTGTACGCGCTTCTTCTCCTTCCGCTTCTGGATCGATCGAAGCATTTTCCTCCGACAATATATTTTTAAGTATGACAATGTTTCCGCATTATTGGGTTTAATTTACTTTTAAAATTAGGGTTCTTCAGATCGACAATCTTTTCTCTCTCTTTCCCATCGAATCATGCTAAAGATCTGAATTTTTTCTAGATCCGTGAGCAAAGTACAGAGAGAGAGAGAGAGAGAGAAAAAAATACACAGTCTGTGCGTTCAGACCCAAAAAATAAAGAAAAACGATAAAGTCTCCAATTTTGATGGTCGCGAATCTGTAAGTGAAATCTAGAGAAAGAGAGGGAGAGAGAACGTTGGGAGGAGAAGATGGGTCAAGATGGGTCGCCGGCGCATAAAAGACCCTCGGGAAGCGGCGGAGGACTTCCGACATCAACGGTAGCGAACGGCGGAGGAAGGGGTGGTCGTGGTCTGCTGCCTCGTGGCCGGCAGATGCAGAAGACGTTCAACAACATCAAGATCACGATTCTCTGCGGATTCGTCACCATCCTCGTCCTACGTGGCACAATCGGCGTCGGAAACCTCGGAAGCTCGAGCGCCGATGCGGTTAACCAGAACATCATCGAGGAGACTAACCGGATTCTAGCTGAGATCCGATCCGACTCGGATCCCACCGACTTGGACGAGCCCCAGGAATCGGATATGAACCCTAATGCGACGTACGTTCTAGGGCCTAAGATCACGGATTGGGATAGTCAACGCAAGGTATGGCTGAATCAGAACCCAGAGTTTCCTAGTACTGTCAATGGCAGAGCTCGAATCTTGCTCTTGACAGGATCTCCTCCAAAGCCCTGCGATAACCCGATCGGTGACCATTATCTGTTGAAATCGGTGAAGAACAAGATCGATTACTGTAGGCTTCACGGGATAGAGATTGTGTACAACATGGCTCATTTGGATAAGGAGCTCGCTGGGTACTGGGCGAAACTGCCGATGATTAGGAGGCTGTTGCTGTCTCACCCAGAAGTTGAATGGATCTGGTGGATGGACAGTGATGCTCTGTTCACTGACATTCTGTTTCAGATCCCTTTGGCTAGGTACGAGAAGCACAACCTGGTGATCCACGGCTATCCGGATTTGCTGTTCGATCAGAAGTCGTGGATTGCTCTCAACACTGGTAGTTTCTTGCTGAGGAATTGTCAGTGGTCGCTGGATTTGTTGGATGCTTGGGCACCGATGGGACCTAAAGGACCGATCCGTGATGAGGCCGGGAAGGTACTGACGGCTTACCTGAAAGGCAGACCGGCTTTCGAAGCGGATGACCAGTCCGCATTGATCTATCTCTTGCTCTCTCAGAAAGATACTTGGATGGAGAAAGTGTTTGTGGAGAATCAGTACTACTTACACGGGTTTTGGGAAGGTTTGGTTGATAGGTACGAGGAGATGGTTGAGAAGTATCACCCGGGATTAGGTGATGAGAGATGGCCGTTTGTGACCCATTTCGTTGGGTGCAAGCCGTGCGGTAGCTACGCTGATTACGCGGTCGAGAGGTGCTTGAAGAGCATGGAGAGGGCCTTTAACTTTGCAGACAATCAAGTGCTCAAGCTGTATGGTTTTAGCCATAGGGGATTGTTGAGCCCCAAGATTAAGAGGATCAGAAACGAGACGGTCACTCCTTTGGAGTTTGTGGACAAGTTTGATATCCGCAGAACGCAAGTGGAAACCAAACCGCAGAACTAGAGGAAAACGAGGAGCGATGGATAGTCACAGCTCTCATGAGATCGTCGTGGACACGTATAGGTAAAAATATATGACAACTCACTAAACGCAAAGCAAATTTGTTTGCCTGTACTTGCTACTTTACTGTTTCCTTCTGTGCTTTTTTTTTTTTTTTTGTTTGATGTTGTTTGCAAGAATATTTTAGCTGCGAAATTCTTTTTCCATAGATGTTTTTGTGTTTTCTTCAGTCAAAATATATGGAGAAATTTCATACTTTGTTATTGCTCGTTCGCTACTGTATTTAACTTGAACTTGTCGGCAACTACTAACTTCTGATCAATGATGAAAATGTGGAATCAGTATGACTGTTTCATTACGAGTTTGTTGATCGGTACAAGAAAGATCAATTCAGAATACTCTCTATCGTAGCTACTGATCGCTCAACAATGAACAGAGACTAAGATTCTCCTTAATCTTACATGCATCTACATAAATCGGAATGACAAACTTGACTGACCAGGATGAGGCAGAGGAGAATGATCCTTGCGTGGGTGGATCATTTCTTCAGGCTGATTACCAACTTTTTGGCTGCTAGACGAATCCCTGCCCTTCGCTGATAATCATAAGGCTCGAGTGAGAAGTACGCATCAACCAGGGTACCGGGAAGTAATGCAGACTCGAGCTTTTCAAACTCATTGCTACTGAAATCGAGCTTTTGAATGGTTTCCAAAGGTTCTTCTTTCTGGTATACCTCGGTTCCATCTCCATTCGATTCTGAGCTTATTCTGTTAAGAATGAATTCAGAGGTTAGGGACTCTCAGTGGATTCGTTCTTGTATGTAAAGGTAAGAAAGAGTTCAAAACTTACTGCAATCTGGCTGTGGGATAGTTGGCAAATCTTTCTTTCCTCATTACGGTAAGCCTCCAAACTGAGGTTGTGGCTGAGTCAATCGATAAGTTATGCGCAACATCATCGGATGCGTCCAAGATCTTGCATAAAGCAGGAGGCACGTCGACAACAATGTTCAACCTCGGACGACCTTCATGATCCACATACTTCCGGCTTATTCCAAACCGAACTTTCAAGCTACCCCAATAGAGTTGCAGAGGGGCATCGTTGTGAAACAGCTTCATCCTTAGGCTCCCACGATACGGGACAAGACTTGCCCTGATGCTAGAAACAGATGCTTCAGCAACGCCTAGAAACAAATCATTTTTGGCATCGGAGTTGGGTGATGGAGTTGAATCATCCTGCTGCTGCCTTGTTGTAGTTTTTGCTTCGTCAGCAGCATCTGTCTGAGGAGTTCCAATGTGTAGTTTACTTATAAGAGTGGTTATATCAGATGGATCTATTTCGCAAGAAGATGTATCGTTTTCTGAGCATTCCGTCAGAAGGGAAAAGATGGGATGGCTTTCTTTGGTTGTGGCATCCACGGAAGACAAACTCTGATCAGTTTTAGGGCTTGAGGAGGAGGAAGCTGAGCCTTCTTTGACTCCATTACGCAATGACTTCTCATTACTTCGCGCTCTTGGACTTTTCCTTGGGGTAAACCAGCTCATGTCTGTTAGAATGTCAGGGACACTGGACTCCTGCAAATACCAAGTATACTTCCATTTGAAGTTAGATATCTCTAATACTTAAAGTTACGGTTTTTCCTTATTCAAGAAACGAGAAGACAAAAACATTACCAGAAACAAGACAGTTGCACAGTACTTGACAACTTCAAGATTCATCCGGACATCATCTAAGCTCCTGGTGAATCATATCCATGTTTAGTCCCGTATTGGAACAACAACTGGTGAATTGCTAAAGAGGCTTCATAACGAACGGATTAGTTTTACCTGTGTGACTGATCTCCTAGCCCGAAGTATGTAGCAAGTGATGCCATCTGCATCAGTTAAAAGTAAAAAACTTTTAGGAACTCTGGTGAATCGTTGTGATAACAATGGAAGCTACAGGCTTGACATTATCAGTAAGAAGACGAGAAGAGAGAGAGACCTTCATGTCCCCAGCTCTCTTCCCAAACTTCTGAGACAACAATGAGAGCGAATCGATTGTAGCTTTCGGCTCCGGCGGAGATTGACCAATTTCTGCAAATGCGTCTCTTATTCTTACACAATCGAATCTCTTTATGTTATGTCCCGCCCAAATTCTTCCTACAGAAACACCAAAATCAACACCTGCTTATAGTAGAGAACACAGAGAGAAACAGAGGAAGGAACCCTTACCGTGGAGAATGTCGTAGACTTTATCGGCAATTTCAGAGAATGTGGGTGCAGAGAGAACTCCGTCGCGCGTGATGCCGCTTCGCCGCTTCGATAGCGTGGCGATGAGAGAAAGATCGGTGGGTCGAACCAAGGTGGAGTAACTGTAGAGCTCCACTAGCTTCCTAGGGCAGACTAAGATAGCCCCAAACTCCAAAATAGCGAAAGGCTGTCCCGATTTGGCCGGAACCGCCGTCTCCAGGTCAAAGAACGCTATCTCGATTCTCTCGTCGCCGCCCGGAGTAAAAGCCATAGTTCAGAACGGAACTGAGAAACGCAGTCAGGTGGACGATAAAAGCGAGTGAACCTCACTCTCCGCCTTCATATCTCTTTCTCCTTTCTTTTTGTTTATTCGTTTCCTCCTTTTACGGGGAAAAAAATGCGACGCGATTGTAGGATGACGTTTATCTTGCGTCATCTTTGGTCTGTTAAGTCTGTTAGAGTAATCAACAAATCAGATTCCTTTCTTCTACGTTATCACCATACGAAATCGCTTAAATCTAACCACACCTTGAAGCATTATCTTGAATCAGGGGAGCCAATCAAAGCTCTCTTAGATTTCCGGCACCGATTCAGAGAAAGTCCCAGTTTCATAGACAGTTTCTCTGTGTTATTCGCCATCAAAGCTTCATCAGCCCAGAAAGCTCCCTCATTTGGTGGTCGACAGATCCACGCTCTCGTAAGAAAACTGGGACTTTACTGGGTAATCCAAATTCAAACATCTCTTATCAGTTTCTACTCTGCGGCAGGTGATCTCGATGATGCACGCCAAGTGTTCGACGAAACGCCCGAGAAACAGAACCTTGTCTTGTGGACGGCTATGATATCAGCTTACACTGAGAATGAGAACCCTGTGGAAGCAATTGAGCTGTTTCGACGAATGGAAGCGGAAAGGATCGAACTTGATGAAGTGATTGTGACTGTGGCTTTATCTGCTTGTGCTGATCTCGGTGCAGTGCAGATGGGAGAACGGATCTATTATTCATGCAGCAGCAACAAGAGGAAACGAAGATTCGCTAAGGATTTAACTCTGAGGAACTCACTTGTTAACATGTACGTAAAATCTGGGGAAATCGAGAAAGCGAGGAAACTCTTTGATGAAACACTGAGAAAAGATGTGACTGCTTACACATCTATGATCTTCGGGTATGCTCTGAACGGCCAAGCTGAAGAGTCTTTAGAACTCTTCGAGAAAATGAAAACGATTGATCAGAGCCGAGATTCATCTGTAACTCCAAATGATGTAACTTTCATCGGCGTGTTGATGGCTTGTAGCCACGGCGGTTTAGTGGAAGAAGGAAAACTACATTTCAGGAGCATGACTGAGGATTACAATCTGAAACCTAGAGACGCTCATTTCGGATGCATGGTCGACTTGTTCTGTCGTTCAGGTCGTCTGAAGGATGCTCACGAGTTCATCAGTCGGATGCCGGTAAAGCCAACCGCGGTGATTTGGAGAACACTGCTCGGCGCTTGCAGTCTTCACGGGGATGTTGAGCTCGGGGAAGAGGTTCAGAGACGGATCTTTGAGTTAGATGACGATCATGTCGGAGATTACGTTGCGTTGGCTAATATCTACGCTTCGAAAGGAATGTGGGATGAAAAAATGAAGATGAGGGATCGAATGAGGAAGAGAAGAAGAGTGCCTGGGAAAAGCTGGATTGAGATGGGAAACATTATCACTGAGTTTGTTTCAGGGGTTGATGATGATGAGAAGCCAATGATGGGAGAGGTTAGTGAGGTTTTGAGGGGTTTAGTTACGTGTATGACAAGTTATGATTATGTGGTGGAGAATTTTTAACTTATTGAGGTACAAAATGTGATATAAATGGTAATTGTTACTATATTTATATTTCTTACCTTCAGCCATACGCAACTCGTCTGATCCAACAGTCCTAGAGAAAGACACGCGTTGATAACATTCACAAGCATCGCCTGATCCACTGGCCCAACGACGTAAATGAAAACAAATTTTATATAATTTGTTTTTTTTTTTTAAATTATACCAATTTAAGAAAAAAAAGTATAAACAAAAAATAATAGAAACCTCCGTCTTCCTTGCTTTTTTCGAGCGGTGTCTTCTCTCAAACTTCCATGGCTGACATCTTACCTTCAATATTTTTCCAACCAACCACAATCTATCTTCTCCTTCTCTAAATTTTTTCATCAAACCCTTGAGGTTTTCTGTTTTTTTTTGTACTTTTCTATGGATGCGATCTTCTCTCCCGTCGTGGAGGCTGAAGGAACCGCCGACTCGACGATCGACACTGTTTCTCGGTTGATCGCCGGCGCTTTCTCCGGAGCTCTTACTGGAATTTTCGCTATGGGTGATTAATTTTTACCATTTTGATCGTCTTTGTTTGTGCATTTGATATGTCGTCGTCACTGATCATTGATTTTCTGTTGATTAATTATTGACTTTAAGAAATTTTCACTTTGTGAGGATTGTTCCGATTTTGTTCCTTCTGAGTTCTTCGTTTCTACACTTCGATAGATTCCCTGCAAAATTTTGTGAAAGGCTACATTTTTATTTCTGAGGGGGGTTTGCTTGAATGCCGATGAACAGAACACCGAATGATCATGTGAAACAGAAATGTTTGAATCGAAGTCTAAAGACGTAATTTTTGAGTTCTGTAATTATCTAAACTGCTAATTGAACTTTTATTGTTTAAAACCAAATCCTGGGTTAGGATTTAAGTGTCCTGGAGAGTTAATCTATGTTTGCTTAGGAATGTCCCTGATGATCTCTAATCTGAACGCTCTGAGTCTGATGTGATTAGGTTACATAGGTTTTTTTGTTGAAGGGAAGTGATATTGCCTCTAGGATTCAAAGAAAAACATCAATTCATCACCTCTGATCCCTCTAGTCTTTTTTTGTAATTATGTCTTCTTCTTTTCTTTGTTTAGTAAATTTTATATTTTTTTCTTGAATCTCGTGTAGCTGGAGCTTTCACTGGAGCAGTGACTGGTGCGGTGGCAGGAAGAGCTGCCCAGTATGGAGTCCTCCGTGGGGCTGCACTAGGTGCTGTCGCTGGAGCTATTCTTTCTGTTGAAGTGTTGGAGGCTTCTCGTGCCTACTGGTATTTAGAGCTGTCAGGATCAAGGGGTCCATCATCTATGGTTAGTCTTAAATTCTTCTGAGCAACCTAATACGTTTGTCAAGTATATAGGAAGATGGGTTTTTGGAGTGTTTCGACTGACTTTTATGGTCGAGATGGAGAAAGGATTTTGAGAGATAAATAAGTTTGGTGGAAGAAATAATGATATATATAGCTTTGACATGTTACTGGTGGGACATCTAAGTTATGGGATGACCATATATGGCTTTAATCCTTTGTTCAATCTGAATCCCTCCTTAATATATAGGATCCCAAAGTAATAGGAACGTTTTTTATGTTAATAATGTGATGGGCCATTATCACAAAGGATTTATTTTTGTTTTGGATTCAGGCAGATTTTGTGGAGCAATTGTTTCGTGGGAGACTAGTAGATGAACAACTTATGTCGACAATGATAAATTCACACCACTGGCAGGTTCTATTCTGTTGCTTTCTTCTTCATGTGTACAGTTAAAAGCTTGTTCTATGAAATTTTACTCCTGAGAGAATATTGAATGCTACCATATGAACATGACTGCATAACTTAACTATTTGAAGAGATTTTTGATACACTTACGTTCATGTATCTTCCTGCGTTCACTCAGTGTTCTGCATTCTCCTCTAGTTGAAAACTGTTTTCACATCAATCGATTGCGAAAGACTGAAAATGCATTTAGTTTATGAGTAGTTTTGTCTACCTTTTGCAGTTAAGGATTTCTGATGTAAGCTATGAAGGACGGGACGATGTTTATGGTGAATTGGAACCGAGAGGCTTGTCGGGTGACTCCTTAAGGAAACTGCCATGCTATATCATGGCAAGTGAGATGGTCAAGAGGCAGATCATTCACTGCACGATTTGTCTGCAGGTTTCATTCGTTTGACACTAGCTGATTAAACTTCTGATCATGACCCTTTTTTTCATTTTACACCTTGGGATTTACAGGACATCGTAGCAGGGGAAATCACACGAGGCTTACCGAGATGCGATCATACGTTTCACCTGGTTTGTGTTGATAAATGGCTCATCAGACATGGGTCGTGCCCAATTTGCAGACAGGCCGTTAAAGACTGAAACACCATTGTTACCAGTCAGTGTACATAGCATAAACCCATTATGGTTTATATGTTGTTGTAAGTCTCAAATCCTTTCTTCAGTCCCTCTTTTTTCATTTCACTTATAGAAACTTGAACATCATCCATAGCTTTCTACTTTTGAATGTATACTATTGTAGACATGAATGAGAACACCTTCAGATGTATTGGAAAAAAATATAGAACTCGATCAAGTTATGAACTGATACATTTAGTTAATTCTCTACGTGTCTATTGGGAAACTCAGAAAAGCTTGACCTCACAACACCTAGTAAAGAAAAGAAAAAGACTATTCATCTCCTAATCTTTACAGCCATGGGACCATGGCGTTTGGGCACAGGGCTCCATTGACCTTGCTCTCATACAGTAAGGATCGTGGTCAGACCCGTTCAGTACCCATGGCTTCAATCCTCCAAGGCCATGAGCCACGTCCACGAGTGAGGACCATGGGGTTGTGACCACCAGCACATCAGAACAACTCAGAAGGTAAATCTCAGTCCATGCTCTCCTGCCCTCCATGTTCCTCTGTGTTTTTTGGTATTCCTTGTGGCTCGGCTTGTGAACACTGATTATCTCTCCCGTCACTGTGGGGTTTTCCCAATATACGTCCCTGATACTCTCAAAGTACCCTGGAGAAGAAGATGAGATAAACACTGCCTTTGATTTTCGGTTTAGAACTTGGCTTGAAGGGAGATGTCTCTGTTTTTCTACTTCAGGAAGCAGCTCATGTCTGATTCCACACGCTAGAATCTGTTCCACCAACTGTTGAAACTGATGATCATTTCCAGTATCAGTGACCCCAATATGGATTCCTATTCTTTGGTCAGCTCTAGCAAGATAAGCCCGGTAGTATCGTGTAATGAGACCCCAGACAACATTAGTTGGGTGAAAGAGATGCTGACCCAGGAAGTAAAAAACCGTTTCTCTTTCCGGGAAGAGCTTTTCGAGTTCCTTCTCAAACGAAGAGATCGAGAAGAGAGATGGGGCAAAGAAACTATCCGCTTTCATGATCAACCACGGGGTCTCGTTCAACAAAACCTGGCTTTCCTCACAAAAGAAAAGCTTTTGTTGTTCATGGGACTCACGAACTAGATGGCGATATGCAAAGGTTGCGTTGCCAGAATCGCGAAGAAGAGTCTGTTCATGGAGCGGAAACTCTGAGGGAAGAAACCAGGAAGTGTTTGGAAATGGCTCGCAGAAAAGATCAGCCATTTCAGCTGCTGGTTCAACAAGCAAAACCCGGTTTGTTAAGAGTGCATAGAGAAAGGCTGAAGCAAGACTCAGCATCCTATTTCCAAGTTCACCACCATCAGAGTTCAACCATATTACATAACTACAACCCGAGGTTCCACCATCAGACCCATCTCCCGACTTGAGTATGTCCAGAGTTGAGTTATAGGAACCAGTGAATGGTCCACACCGTCTATGAAGATCTTGGTAACTCTTTAATCGAGAATCCAGGTAAGAAGACTGCTTAAAAGGCGACTCCTTTCGATATAAACTCGCCTCGTACCTGCTCAAGCATGATTCTTTATCAAAACCAAGGACAAGATTGTCGCCAAACCGATCCTTCTTCTCGCTTAACCCACCACCTGATTCCATGGCTGAAAAAAAAAAACAGAAAGCCACCAAAAGAATGTAATCGATGCAACATTGCAGGGAAACAGGGAAAAGAATAAAACTTTTTGAAGACAGATTGAAGCAACATTGTAGCTAAAACATACCACAAAGAAACACGAGTATTTACATTTAGTAATGTTCCCAAATAAACGTACCAAATTTTCTTTTTCTGGAAATGTGTAGAAGTCTTTCAACTTATTGAAGCATCAAATTAACCAGTTTCAGCTAATTTGCTATATACTATCCCCAAAATCAAAGCTTTACCTTGGTGGAATCTGAGCTGAAGAACCCTAGAAGCTGCATCAGTCTCCACAACATCATCGGAAGGAGGGTCTCTGAGAACCACCGACAGAGAAAACATAACGGAAGCAACCATAAGAACCGCCAGAAGTAGACCCATCGATTTCATCGAGCTCAAACTTGGTTTCATCCAGGAATCCAATTCGCTAGACCCGGTTCGAGGATCCGAGTTGATCACTGGGTCACCCGCATCCGAGTTCTTCTTGCCCCGCTTCATAGTGTAGGTGAGAGAAGACGGTGAAAACCGGGTCGGTTCCTAAAATGAGTAATCGGGTCTCTGGAAGAAAGACTTGAAGAGAGTTGGTGTGGAGGGAGATGAAGTCATCATGTGATGTGTTTGAGAGAACAGAGAAGACAGTGAGGTACGTGGCAGAGACAGCGACAACTTTTTCCTACGATTTTACGAAACAATGAAACATTATATTTAAATTTGGGAGACATTTTGTTTTTATTTTTATTTTTATTTTTATTTTTGGTAAAAAGAAAATGACATTTTAAATCAGGAACTTTCAAATTTCCACCAATTAAAGCATTAATTATCGGATAGACAGTTTAAACAATAAACAATTAAAAAAGTTTGTGGTTACTAATTTACAACCAATAATATTCGATCCTCTCTCGTTATCTTTAAGATTATATATACTACTTCTTATTATAAATAATATTATAATTATTAATACATTTACGAGGTATTGAAAGGATCATCAATTCAACAATGAACAAGAGATTAGTAAATAGTAAAGCTATAATGACGAAGATGACTAATCTACCAACTATTGAATTATCTATCACGAGGTGATTGTAATATTTTGTTATGCGTATTTAACACTGGTTTTTAGAAAGATAGATTGTGAAATCCTAAGTAAAAATAAATTTAACAAATGTGTAACGTTATATAAATGGAGCATAGATAAGCAACAATTTCTATCTATATCTAGCTCTCGATCCATTCATTGTTCACCACTTCAACGTTTGTTGTGAATTCATATTTTATATTTTGTAGTATATTTACCGCATCTTGCTTCGACATCTTTGGATGACGAAGTTAAAGAAACTTTGTTTTTACATCTGTATAGATTAACTATTGACCGACCCATCATGCTGTTAGTGCTCCACAAGTCCACATGGAGAAGCTCGAGGACAGTACGTGAAAGGTCTCATAAAGTCACACGATAGCTTCGAACTTACAGTTTTTTTTTTACTTCTTCAAACTTATCTATCTATCAATTGTTATCTCTCTACTTTTTTATTATTTTATTTCAAGACATGTTATATACATATTGGTTTTCTCCTAATTGTTCAAGATTAATATGTTTACTTAGTGTTTGTTGTTCTTGTTTTCAAAATTAATACAAATTGGTAATGGGTGCAAAACCTTGATTTCTCATATTATACAGTGTGCTATTTTTCATCATATGAGAACACCTTTTTTGGAAACGATGTTTCTTCTTTGTTCATCAATGAATTTCTGATTGGATTTCACATTTTCTATTGATTGCATGTTTGATTTTATCCTATGATTCATGTGTTTTCAACGTAAAACTAATTATAAAATCTCTTTTGTTTGATATATTCTAGGTTTATATTCATTTGCAATGTGAAATGTCTAGCTTCAAGCGAGTGAAGTTACTACTATTACATGACCCTCTCCACTTTAATGCATTTAATTTTCACTGACAAATAATAGTACGTATTATCTGATGCATGTGAAACGTAATAAATTATCGTCTATCCTTTCGCGTTTCTGACTGCTTCTCTCCTTGCAGGTTCTTAATATTAAATGAAAATAAATATCAGAAAATATACAATAATAAAAATATCTTTATGAGAATTTTCAACGAACATCATTTATATAAGAAACAAAACAAATCCATTTTTTTTTTCAAGCGCGTGCCAAAACAAGTAATTTAAGCACGTGGAAATGAGAGAAAACATGGATGGAGAAAATGATACTCCATTGAAGACAAACCTGACCTGCCAAAATATTACTATCTTTTTTTTTTGGCCAAATATTACTATTTCATTTGTAAGACTCATCAAACTGTTAATTTATTTAATAAAAAAACGAAACTAATATGGTTGTAGACACCAATATAAAACCATCCATACACGACATGTTGAATCACTCACAAATGGTGAACAAATCACAAGCAAAGAAAGAACTAACCCAAGAAATACCCGACAGGGACGCAATTTGGGAACGTGAAAACTCTTGGCGAAGAGAAAAGCGCGTTTTCTGAAACGCGGATTCAGCTATACTGTGGTATTGTGTAGACCACACCACATCATCGGGAAGTGATACCCAATCGCATAAGATAAGAGCAAGAGACCATAATGGCATAAATACCAGTCACTATCATTTCATTTTAATAATTAACACCTCATTTTTCTTTGTTAACAAATTTAACACCTCATATGTTTTTTGAAAAAAAAAAATATTTAACATGTATTCTTGATATCCCAACTTATCAATTTTTTTATTTTGTTTCTGTCCTCTAAATATGGAAATGCCAAAATATATTTAAAACGTGGTCCAACACAAGAGTCTAGGACAAGAGGGAAAAGTCATACACATAACGAGCATATACAGTATATATGTACATACTAATACACACATGGGTCTTGACTTTTAAACTCCTAAAGACATTAATGATATACTGTATAATATAGAAAATCCCAAACAGCATCTAATGTTAATATCCAATCAACATTTAACTCCACACCATACGGATGACATATATAATAATATAATATAGTTAGGGAATTACATATATAGACAACCATTCTAACATGAATAGTTTGTGTAGTAAAACTATCGAACATATATTTGATGTGATAAATATTATTTATTTTAAAGTAAGATTTCATAAAATAAAAAATGTTAACGTAGTTTTGGATGTTCAAATTTGACCGTGATGTCTGATAATAAATTTGTGTTTGTGGGTCTGATAATAGATTTAAAATTCATCACAATTCGATTTTAGTTATGTGCATACCATTTGTGGACTAATTCGTTTTTATCTAATAAATTATTTTGGGATTTCAAGATATATTTTTCTGAAAACAACATTTTCATATTCAGATTAAATCAGTCAAAAGTCCAAAACTAAGGCACATGATGAACCCATTTTCCCGTTATATCTAGGAATGTGCATTTTATGCTGATTCAAATAAAGTCTTATATCAATGGATTTATGCAATGACGAGAAAAATGTATAGTAGCAAATAACAATTAGATTTCATCAACCCAACTTAAACCATCGTACAGGAAACCAAACTTGCTGACAACAATCTTCATTTTTGTATATTTTTTTATTACAATAAATGAAAAGAAAATCAGATTTCGACCTGAAAAGAAATAAATCAGATATTAAAAAAAAACCGTAGATTGGTGGGAAAATATTTTTTTTTGTACCTTTCGTAAGAGATCAACTCATCACTTTCAGTAACGTTATGATTTTGTCCCAAAGAAATGGATCAAAAATTTAGATCACACAATGGGATCACTAATAAACAGAATTTCAATAAAAACAATTGATTTTTAACCACAAAAAAAAACAATTGATGCTTTTTTATAGTAGATAATTATAAAAGTAAGGTAAGATAAAATTCTCATCGTGTGTATTTGAAAAAATGAAAAATACGAACCACGTCAATACAGATGGGTCACAAATGAAAGACTCAACAGAGGGGAAATGTCTTTTGGCAGTCAAGGGACCATTTTCCCTTCTTCACATTTTCTTGATTTATTTTGCATTTCAAAATGACAATATAGTTATCAAATTTGTGTTAATCTGTAAATGTGAATGTTATGAATTTATTTGCTAGTAAAAAAATTAAGCTATTTAAGTTTAGACTTGGAATATACACCAGGTGCCGAGTACCCTCACAAAGAAAGGCTAACTAGACATAAATATTTTGCTGTTTTCAACAGTTTGTTGTTTTAATTACTATCGAGGGTCCTACTAATTATGCTATTTTCGTAGATAACATTCTCTATATATCTTAATAATAGATGTTTTAGATTAAAAAAAAAAGGTTCTAAAACGTTAGGTTTCCCCCCCCCCCCCTAAATGTAATTGTTCTTTTTCTTAATTTACCTTGATTAATTTAATTATCTAAAGATAAAACATACAGTATTACTTAATAAAAACGATAAATTTGTAATTAGAAATACTTGCCTAATATGTGTGAAGATTATTTGAAAGAGGAAACAGAGTAGCATGTTTCGTATACTAGCACAGCAATCATTGGCTCATTGCGTACGTACTATTCACCAACGTGTATTATGTAATAGCTCAGCTTCTAAACCGACGATGGTTATAGTTATAGATTGTGCATAGCAAATTAGCAATTAAATATGCTACAAAAGGAGAAGGGACTCTGGACTATTTCTTTGGTTAACTATAATCTATATCTATAAAGTAAGTTTTTCTCTCTTCTCATGCAGCTACCTCAGCATCTCAATCAGATGCCACCTCACCATTTAAATTTATAGATATATATTGTGATATATATGTAGTTCAAATCCATGGTTTTTCTCAAATCCACCTTACATCTTTTTACTATATGGGCTTGTTTAATTTATATCTATATCTATATAGAGTGTTATAGATATAGATTAAAATCTATAACAATCATCAACTTCTGCATCATTAAATTAGAGTAAAAAAACATAAACACCTGACAGAAAGATATATCACCTTCCGAGCAGAGAGCGCAAAGGATGAAAGCAATCGAAAGGGCCACGGATTAACTTTTGAGCCGACGGAAACAGTTGAGGTGTTCACAACTCTCCTCCGAATCTGTAGTTGGTAGCATGAGCGACTGAATGATTATAAATCAACTTCACAGAAATAATTACAAAATGGGAGAGATGAAATAAATCAAACACAATCCACAGATGTTGTAGCAAGTGAGAAAGGTCTGCCACTTGATAAAAACATAATAAATATATAATTAACAGAGGAGAGAGTAGGACAGAGAGAAAAATTTCGAGTAGAGAAAATCGAAGAATAATTTCTCAGAAAATAGATTGATGTTTCACGATCTGGGAACGACCATCAGAGAAAAACCCATTGTACAGGACAGCCAGTTAGCCGCCACCAAAAAACATGGTTCACTAATTGGGCTTCTAGATTACCAAATATGGGCCTTATAGACCTTCACCGTTTTCACATATAGAAAACACATGTATTAAAACTTAGAAGATTCAAATTTAAACCAATTAAAAAAATGTAAAATGGAAGAATACTAAAGTTAATAAATTAGAGTTTAAAAAATATTAAGAACCCATATAAAACCGAATATTGTCCGCTAAACAAAAATACTACAAAAACTTAAAAAACAATATTATTTAATTTCTATATCTATAAAGTAAGCTTTTCTCTCTTCTCATGCAGCCACCTCAGCATCCCAATCAGATGTCACCTCACCATTTAAATTTATAGATATATATATTGTGATATATATGTAGCCCAAATCCATGGTTTCTCTCAAATCCACCTTACATCTTTTTACTATATGAGCTTATTTAATTTATATCTATATCTATATGGAGTGTTATAGATATAGATTAAAATCTATAACAATCATCAACTTCTGCATCATTAAATTAGAGTAAAGAAACATAAACACTCGACAGAAAGAAATATCACCTTCCGAGCAGAGAGCGCAAAGGATGAAAGCAATCGAAAGGGCCATGGATTAACTTTTGAGCCGACGGAAACAGTTGAGGTGTTCACAACTCTCCTCTGAATCTGTAGTTGGTAGCATGAGCGACTGAATGATTATAAATCAACTTCACAGAAATAATTACAAAATAGGAGAGATAAAATAAATCAAACACAATCCAGAGACGCTGTAGCAAGTGAGAAAGGTCCACCACTTGATAAAAACATAATAAATATATAATTAACAGAGGAGAGAGTAGGACAGAGAGAAAAAATTAGAGTAGAGAAAATCGAAGAATAATTTTTCAGAAAATAGATTGATGTTTCACGATCTGGGAACGACCATCAGAGAAAAACTCATTGTACAGGACAGCCAGTTAGCCGCCACCAAAAAACATGGTTCACTAATTGGACTTCTAGGTTACCAAATATGGGCCTTATAGACCTTCACTATTTTCACATATAGAAAACACATGTATTAAAACTTAGAAGATTCAAATTTAAACCAATTAAAAAAATGTAAAATGGAAGAATACTAAAGTTAATAAATTAGAGTTTAAAAAATATTAAGAACCCATATAAAACCGAATATTGTCCGCTAAACAAAAATACTACAAAAACTTAAAAAACAATATTATTTAATTTCTATATCTATAAAGTAAGCTTTTCTCTCTTCTCATGCAGCCACCTCAGCATCCCAATCAGATGTCACCTCACCATTTAAATTTATAGATATATATATTGTGATATATATGTAGCCCAAATCCATGGTTTCTCTCAAATCCACCTTACATCTTTTTACTATATGAGCTTATTTAATTTATATCTATATCTATATGGAGTGTTATAGATATAGATTAAAATCTATAACAATCATCAACTTCTGCATCATTAAATTAGAGTAAAGAAACATAAACACTCGACAGAAAGAAATATCACCTTCCGAGCAGAGAGCGCAAAGGATGAAAGCAATCGAAAGGGCCATGGATTAACTTTTGAGCCGACGGAAACAGTTGAGGTGTTCACAACTCTCCTCTGAATCTGTAGTTGGTAGCATGAGCGACTGAATGATTATAAATCAACTTCACAGAAATAATTACAAAATAGGAGAGATAAAATAAATCAAACACAATCCAGAGACGCTGTAGCAAGTGAGAAAGGTCCACCACTTGATAAAAACATAATAAATATATAATTAACAGAGGAGAGAGTAGGACAGAGAGAAAAAATTAGAGTAGAGAAAATCGAAGAATAATTTTTCAGAAAATAGATTGATGTTTCACGATCTGGGAACGACCATCAGAGAAAAACTCATTGTACAGGACAGCCAGTTAGCCGCCACCAAAAAACATGGTTCACTAATTGGACTTCTAGGTTACCAAATATGGGCCTTATAGACCTTCACTATTTTCACATATAGAAAACACATGTATTAAAACTTAGAAGATTCAAATTTAAACCAATTAAAAAAATGTAAAATGGAAGAATACTAAAGTTAATAAATTAGAGTTTAAAAAATATTAAGAACCCATATAAAACCGAATATTGTCCGCTAAACAAAAATACTACACAAACTTAAAAAACAATACTATTTAATTAAAAATAATTACTAAAAATGAATTTAAAAACTGTCATATACATCTTTATGGAGAATTAACATAACAATCATAATGAAGAACAAAATGAAAAACGGAAAAAAAATTGAAACCACGAAAACAACTTGGACATACATGGAAAGATGTACGACTACAATATTAGAAGGATTATACATATTATGAAATTAAACCATAACAATTAATATCTTATAAATATATAAAAATAATAATGTATAAACCTGCGCGTAGCGCGGATCAACCCTAGTAAATATAATATAATAAAACGATTGTTTAAAGTTGTTTCCGCTCTCTGTTTGGCTTTGAACAAATATTCAAAAGACATTATGTGTCTTTTTGCAATATTCAATGATATACAAGAAATTGTTCTATGTTTCTTATCAACGCGAAAAAAAATTGTTAAATCTATTGAATTTTTGTTCAAATACAGCGGTAGACTTAACCTCGTGAAAATGATGCATTTGTATCATGTGATGTGAATACGTTGTTTGTGTGACTTAACCTCTTGGAATAATCATGTTTACATAGTTATTTTAATTACACAAAAAAGACATTATTACTGTATTACATTAACGAAGAATCAATAAATGAACAGAATATCTCAGCATCAAGATATAAGTAAGAATCCAACGGTTGATAATAAACTTTAAAAAAAGAAAGAAAAAAAAGAAAGGTGTGTACTCTATATATATATACATAGACATCCCCATTCCTCTATCCAGAAAAGACCATTCTACTTCTGTATTAAGTGAGAGTGTGAGAGAGCCTCTTAAAGATCTTAGTAATAAATAGTAACAGCAATCAATAATTCACTTTGTTCTTAAGGTCATCCATCACCTGACTAGAATAATCGACCGGAAAGAAGTGATACGTGGCAAGATCTGATTGGTTCACCGGAGATAAAATGGGGAGGACGACGTGGTTCGACGTAGACGGGCTGAAGAAAGGAGAGTGGACGGCCGAGGAAGATCGGATGCTCGTCGCGTACATCAACGAATACGGTCTCGGCGACTGGCGTTCCCTGCCTTCGAGAGCCGGTATCAAATCTATACTTACATATCTTTACATATCTATGCATACATTGTGTACGGACATCATATGTTTGTGTCTCTTTCAAAGCCAGAATCTTTAAGATCCAGTTCTCTGTCCGACTAAAGATTTTTTTTCTTGTTATGTTTTGATTTCTTTGGTTGGTTCTAATTTTTCTCGATGCTGTACAATGATGTTTCATCTTTTGAGATATTTAGTAAGATAGTATTATTATTATTTTTTTTTTCTTTTTAAAAAAAGAGGAGAAATTTATCAACAGAAATCCATGTGTGTGTGCAGATTTCTCAAAAGTTTTTTCCCGATTTTTGGACTATATTTAGACTACACGAAATTTACAGTAAATATTTTTGTAATCGAAACAACGAAGGTATATAATTAATAATATAGAAAGCATTGCCCAACTGTTTTTTTTTAAAATCAAAATTGTGTGTGCATTACAACTTTATGTTGTAGATGCATGAGATTTATCCTTCGACCAAAAAAAAATAGTTGAGATTTTTCCGATTAATATATTGATAAAGCTGATTCTATCGATATGATGATATTATCTATAATGCAATATGTGAACCCATGACCAAGTATTTTCCTGATTACTTTTTCTCCTGACCTATAATTGTAGATCAGTCTTCTATAAAGTGTAAAGTTATAGAAATTAAAAATATTTCTAATTTTAGACTCAAAATCAAAAAGTTTATGTGAATGTGTTTCCCCTTTTCTCTTGTCTGATGGAAAAAAAAAGTTTCAATCTTTTTTGTAACTTCTCGGTTTGCCACTATGTTGAAATAATAATTTCACCTCATTTTTTTCTGCTAATTTTATTTATTTATTTTTTCCTTCTCGTAATTCCAAAAAAGGTCTGCAAAGATGTGGAAAGAGTTGTAGATTAAGGTGGCTGAATTATTTGAGACCTGGAATTAAAAGAGGCAAATTCACTCCTGAGGAGGAAGAAGACATCATCAAATTTCATTCTCTTCTTGGAAACAGGTAAACTAATTTGTAACCAGTAATCACATTTAAAAATCGTAATTCGTTTTTATATTGAAATTACAATATACTAATTTCTATATTGATTTCATATTCAAAAGGTGGGCAGCAATAGCAAAGCAAATGCCGAACCGAACAGACAACGACATAAAGAACCATTGGAACTCATGTCTTAAGAAAAGACTCTCTAGAAGCGGAATCGATCCGATGACCCACGAGCCTATCGTCACAGTCGAAGCCACTCTCTCCTCAACGACGTCCTCTCCAACACCACCGACGCCTTCTTCTTCTTCTTCGTCTTCTTCCTCCTTTTCCTCTACAGGCTCCGCTCGTCTACTTAACAAGCTCGCTGCTCGAATCTCCTCGAGAAAACATGGACTCGACAAGATCAAGACTGTGATACTGTCGGAACCAAGACAAGCCGTTGAAGAGAAGATGATGATCAGCAAGGAAGCGGAGGAGGAGGAGGAAGTGATTGGTTGTTTCATGGAGATTGATGAGAAGCTGCTCAGTGCGACGTCGTTCGATGAGTTACTTTGTGACTCTACCACTACTACTTCGACAGGCTTCGTGGCTGCTTTTGATGACTACTCATCAGTTGAGCCATACGATCTGTACCAATCTGATTTCTATCATGAGACTGAACAACTTGACCTATTTCTCCTTTGAATCAACTCCTCTTGGACAAGATTCCTCTTGAATATCTTTTTGTATGCATTCGTTTAGTGTGACGAAAGAGAATGAGAGATTTCTGAAAATAAGCCGAGTGCTTATAGTACTATAAATGACATGCATGGTCAATGTTTCTGAGTTTTTGGCTGTTACTTTTTTATATTCGATTCTCTCTCTCTCTCTCTCTCTCTTTCTCTCACACACACATGCTTAATTATGCCTAATGCTATGCCTATGACTCGATGACCCTACATGCAAATGCGAGGGTTTCATGCTATCTCAGTGAAACAAAGCCTGTCGAATACTATATTGTTATAGGTATTGTCATAATGGTGTGTTGTTGATACTTTATTATGTGTACGGATCCGAACACATTTAAATATCATGTGATTCTACATTTAAACACCAGATTTCGTACTAAAATACATTGATACCTGAATATATTCAATCATTTCTTAGATAATTAATGAATGTTTAATATTTCGTATCACTTTTTTGTCATTTTCTCCCAATAACTCACGTAAATACTCTACCAAATTTGAATCCATATATATAGTTGATATGGCGGCACATAATTATGTTTAGTTTGATATGAGATTAGATCTTTACTACAATTCTATTGCGAGAGTAATCCGAAATTGAACTACGCACATTTGTTTTGATGCTTTGATTTAATTACTTTTACGTCTTAACGTTTCCACTGTCATATTTACTAATGTTTGGGAGCTTAAACAATAAGATGATCATTAAAGTGGACCAAAGAGTCCCAATAATTCAAGAAGTGACAACCAAATTATTAAACGGATCCAAAATAGATTCGTAGTCAGTAATCGAAATTTTATGGGGCTTTTTGCTGTTACAAACTGACAAAATTAATCATAACGAAATTGTAAATTGACAGCTGTAATTTATAAATGCATGTTTACTCTCCACATGTAGTTACAAAAAAAAAAAAAAAAAAAATTCTCCACATGCACACGTGTTTGTCTTACTAATCACAAGTTAATGTTTGTGCTTTTATATGTGGAAATTTCTTGTCACAGTTTCTGCCAATTTAATATAGATTTTTGTGACAGTTTCGGCCAATACTTAATTTTAGATACTTTCCACTTTTTCATGCTATATCGGAAAATCTCTTTAAGTGCATGTGGATAGTTTATCATCGTGGGACTGCCTTCCGCGTCGCTGGTCCATACTTATTCTGGACTATTTAATTATTATAATTTTCCAAATTTTACATGATTGTTTTTTTGTTTTTGATAAAAAAACATGATCATTTATTCTCTAGAAATGAATGTTATAGTATATAATTCAGACATTAAAAATATTATTTTATGTATTCTCGACAATAGAGAGAACATAGAGTACAGTGTACTTTGTTCTTCTACTCATTTAAACAAGACTTGTATAGTTAAGAAAATACAAGTTATGTAATTGTTTATTAGTAAAAAAAATCATGTAATTCATAAATTTATGTTCCGAGAAAAGTGAGAAAATAAAGTATAGCGGAAATAACGCATGTGGGATGGATGTGACATGTGAAGACGAGAACTATTCAAAATTCTTAGAGCATCTCCAATCTACCTCTATTTTAGAGGAAAAAATAGAGTTTAGAAGAAAATTCTCTCCAATCCACCTCTATTTTTACCTCTAAAATAGAGGTTGCTATTTTTCCCTCTATATTTAGAGGAACTCTATTTGTTTCTCTATAATAGAGATGAACTTTTTTATTTATAAACTGATCCTTTAACTTTTACATCTTTTTATTTTTATTTATATAACAAATATAAAAGTTAAATTAAATATTTGCATAATCTAGTTTGTATATATCCAATAAATAGCTATATATCTAACATATAAATTTAATTAAACTATATAATGTTAAATAACTTTAATAAAGTTTAATAAAATCAACATTATTTCAGACAATAACTATTATAAAAAAACAGAAAATATTATTTACTTTAATTAACAATATAATTTATAAATAATAGTGATTAATCCACAATTAAAAAATGAACATGAATAGTAATATAGTATACATGAATAACAATGTAGTATACACATGTACAATAATACGTCAATAAAGTTACATTATACAGTTTTTATATGTTATTAAATACAAAAACCCAATAAATAAATAAATTTAATAATTTTTGTTATGGTTTGAGAAAATTTTGTTAACATATAATATAACTAAATTAGAAAATTCTCATTCATTTCAAACTAAATTATAAATTAAATGATAAATTATTTTTTTTTAAAATACAGAAAATTATAGAAAATGATAAATAATATATTGATTTAATATTCTGAGAATTTGCTTCCGGATCCACTGAGATCATGCAAATATTTATCCAACGGAGTAGATGGAGGAGGATCTTATTGATCTTGATGTTGATCACTTTGCTTTTGAAAAATGCGTGCTTGTTCAGCTTGAATGTATGAGCGGATATTTGGATCTTGTATGGAACTCAAATCACAAAATAAAATTTTGTTTTCTTCTTTCAGTTCTTTTAAAGCAGAATTCTTTTTTTTGAATCTCCAAATGATCTTGTCTTTGTGTGCTTGACTTCTTTAATTGCTCCAAAAATTACTTATTTCCTTTTTCTAAGGTGTTGATAACTGTTGTTGTTAGATCTGCAAGTTTTATTTTCATTTTGGATTTTGTTTTATGAAATAAATATTTAATTTTAATATATTTTTATTATTTATAGAAATTTTTGTAAATAATAATATAAATGAGGTTAATTTATGAATTTTATGAAAAGAATGTGTTAATAATAAATTATATAGAGAATATTTTTAAAATATTCTTTTTTAGAGGAAAAAATAGAGGAACACATTGGAGAGAAGTGCACCTCTATTTTAGAGTTCCTCTATTTTAGAGAAAAAATCAGAAGAACACATTGGAGATGATCTTATGATTAAAGTTCTGTTTCATACAAAGACACGGCAATATAAAACTATTTCTTCTTTTAATCATCTTTCGTGCATTCAGTTTTCCTAATTATAAATCATTTTATTGCTTCCGTGTGGGTCAAATGAACTAACATGGCAACATCTGATTCACATTCTTCTCAATAATGTTGTCCTAATATATATTTTGTTCTTTTCAAGCCAATTATGTTTTTTTCTTTTTCTTTTCATTTTCTTTTTTATCAAAAATTAACACAACAATAACACTCAAGTCTCTCCATGGCTTGACACATTAGCATTTTTAAGCTTTTAGAAGATAACACTTCAGCAAAAAAAAACACCAATAAAAACATTTCATTAATACAAGTCATCAATTTATTTTAACTTTTAAATTTAAACCCATTAAAAACTCAAATATTTTTTATTGTTAATTTTAGTTTTATTTTTTGGTCAAGCACAAGCCCAAATATTAAATAACAGCAAGTAAAAAAAAATTCTTTTATTTTTTTAACAAACTCAAATAATAAATAACAATAAATAATAAAATTAAATCTTTGTTTTATATTTTTGCCAAACTGAAACTCAAATAATAAATAACAGCAAAAAAATTAAAATTTCTACCTATGTGTTTGCTTGATAGAGACGTATATAATGAAGAAAGTGTAGACTCATCATCAACTATGCTTCCATAACAACAATACAAAAAGCATTATGTTATAAAAAGCTCACACATCAGCAAAAATTTGAACCAATAAAAACATAACAATAATACATATTATTAACACACTAATAAAATCAATTTACTATTTTATTGACCCATTAAAAAGCTCAAAGTTTACAAAAAAATGGAAGGCGAAAGCAAATGCGGAGAAACTCAGACCACCACAGCTTGGAGATTCGTATTTTCACTGGTTACCGAGAACAAATTTTCTTGAGTTTGGCGGAAGTAGATAATTTCTTGGTTTTCGAGAGAAAATATGATTTTTTATTTTTATGGGAAACGCAATTTCTCTGGAGATGATGCAATTTTTGGTTTTTGCGGAAAATTGTAGTTTATCAGTTTTGATAGGAAGACATGATTCTTGATTTGACGAGAGAAATAATTTTTTCTTGTTTTGGTGGGAATAGACGATTTCTCAATTTTTGTGGGAAAATAATTTTTTTAGTTTTGACGAAAAAACACTATTTTTTGTTTTTGCAAGAAGATGAATTTTTTTGGTTTAGGTGAAAAAACTTGATTTCTCTGTTTTGACAGAAAAACACTGGTTCTCGCGGGAAAGTGTGATTTTTTGGTTTTTGAGGAAAAATGCAATTTCTTTGTTTTAGTAGGAAAATGAAATTTCAGGTTTGACGAGAAAATGAATTTTTTTGGTTTTGGCAGAAAATACAATTTCTCGGTTTTTGTAAAAAGATAAAATTTCTCTGTACTTAATTTTCAAGTTATAATATGTTTATAATAACCAAAATTGAATTATTTAACTTCAACTAAATTGATATTTCAACAGTTCAAATAGAACTTTCTATTTAGTTCTAAAGTAATAGTAATGATTTTGATATGAATGTTATTGATTATAGTTTGGTAGTTTTAGAAACATCTGTCTATAATAAATATTTGATAAGTAAATAAATTTTATAATTTAAAATAATCATATTAATTAATATTTTTTAATGGCAATTTGCTTTATATAATTTCAAAGGAGAATCAAGTAGTAATTTAGTAGAGAAAATAAATTACATCTACCATTAGCTTGAAGGTATTTAAAAATGTATTGTTTTATTCTTACATATACATTTATAGATAGTTAGCTAAACAAATTTTATAATAAATTATAATTTTAAAAAATAAAAAAATTAATGATATATAATGTTTATTCAGATTTAAAACATATAAATATACAACTTAAGTTAATAAAAAATAAATATAATACTCATTTAAAATATACAAATAATTTATTATATCAAAAATATACACAAATCTAAAATAATATCTCGCAGCATAGCGCAGATAAATACCTAGTAAAAATAAAACTTTTAGAATTTCCTTTACTTTAGCTAGCTTTAACTTTTTCTGTTTCAGCTGAAAGGAGCTGACGTTACAATTCACAAATAAATCAAATCAAAATGTTTCGACGTACTATTCTGACAACCTCGATTCTTGTTTATCTTTATTCCTTTTTGATTTTATTTTTTTGTAATTTTAATTTCACCATCTTCTCAAATTTCTCGTGATACAAGTTTATCGACGTGGCAGATTCGCGCTATTTATTCTCATGATCTCCAGAAATAAAACAGGCTCATACAATGACTTACAGGAATGGGCTTGGGCCTCCTATTGTGCTTATCATCTTACACACCATTCACAAAACAACAAACCATATTTAAAATCACACTGACGAAATTGGAGCTTACGTGATCTTCTTCTTCTGTTTCTTTTCTCTCCATTCCTTGATATCACTCTCTATCTTGGAATCTACGCGTGCTTTGAATCCAGGGTATGGCTCGTAGCTACAACCAGACTGCAGCACCTGCAATTCTCATTCAAATCCACTGTGATTGTTATTATTTCAGTTTCTAGCTTTCATGGAAAGAAAGTGGAAGAACAAAAACATGAAGGAAGGAGAGAAAGATGGAAAACAAAACATCCAACCTCGAGCAACACGAAGAAAGGACCCATCAGAAAAGCTTGGAGTAGATTGTCTAGAAGCGCAGGAGCTCGTTTCTAGCGAGTAGATTAAGATTCGTAGTTAGATTCTCCAAAGGAAGACCAAAAGAAAAAGATTTCAAAGAACAATGTGTTTACCTCAAACACGCCGTGACCGAGGAACTGACCGGTCCAACATAAGAGCTGAGAAGCTACTCCAACCTGAGAAAGCGAGTCAGATTCTAATATATAGAGGAAACTTCGACGGCGAGCATAACAAACACATTGCAAGCAGCATTGATTCAGAAAGTGAGAGGCTTGATTCAAAGACCGCAACTTTATTTTGAACCAGCATTACTGATCATGAAATGTAGACTTTCTTACTTATTGAGAATCAAATGCGCAAAGCAACCAAACAGTATTAGACTTTCTTACTTACACAACGAATTCACATAAATTCCGAGAAAGATGACATCTTTTTCGATACCCATAACTTTGTGAAGGGAGATGATTGGATTAGAGAAGAGCACGCACTCACCTTCAAGGTTAAGGAATGTCCTAGACGAGCTGCGAGAAAGCTGGAGCCGATCCAGCAAGAGAAACATAACAGAGCAGCTAAAAACCCAGATTTCTTATCCAAACAGATGTAGAAGATAGCATAGATCACAGTGAGGATAAACCCAATGTCCAAGCGCAGGACACCGTCAAAAGCCAGCGGTTCGATGAACCCTAATCGAGAGGGATCAAGAATCGGCGGCGTGGAGTAGAGGAAAAGGAGGGTCGCGAAGACGTTAGGCCATACGAAGAGAGTGTGGATAATAACGTTGACGTGATTGCTGTGATAAGCTCCGTAGAAGGCGAAATGCTTCTCCAGATCGAGCAATCCGATACGACTGCTCATGGTCTAAGGTTATGGAAAACTTCAAATTTAACACTTGAGTTGAGTGAGGGATTTTCCGAAAGAAAACAGAGCATCAAAGGAAGAAGAAAGGAGGAGACTTTTGCGATAATTGGCGTTTGCGTCGGCAAAAGTATGCTAGCATGCGCACGTGCGGTTGCTAAGCTACGCTTATAAGCCTTTTAATGGGGGGATCGTTGACCAGGTTAATAAGCATTGCGGTTGCGTTGTTGACCTTAAGACAACCGAGGGCGTTTTAGTAATTTACGTATCCTGCCCCGTGCGAGCAAATCGCTTCAAAAAGATTTGAGCTATGAACTTTGGTAGAAGTCAAAACTCAAAAGTCATAAACGTAACATAGTAGTATACTGCAACTCTTTTTACTGGATTATTAGAATTTATAAAATTTTGTATACAGCCAAATAGAAACATGAATAAAAATCTGTGAAATCACAATATGATTATGATCATACAGCTTTACTATTCTGCCGTAGATTAGTAATCAGCTAATCACTAGTAAAAGCAAAACTATTCACATCCCATCAACTAATAATATTTTCAAGACGACAGTAATTAGGGGTGGACAAAATATCCGTTGTATCCGCTTCGAACCGATATTAGCTTCGATCCAATTCAAAAAATCTGGATATCCGTAAAGCTTCGGAGCAAAGCAAATAGCAAAATGTACGGAGCAAATCACAAATATGTTTTTAGATAACACCGGATATCCGATCCGATCCGTATCTTTATAAATTTATTATATATTATCATATATATATCAATTATATTATAAATTTTTATTAATATATTTTCAATTTTCTTCCTAAATTTTCAATTGTTCTTTTGATTATATAAAATAAATAACTAAATAACCAATTATAAAAAATAAATAATATGTTTAAACTTAAAATATGTTAATAAATAACATTTTATTTTATATTATTAAATAAATATCAACAAAAGTTTTTTAGTAAAGTTTAATATTAAAGTTTCAAATAGTTAATATTATTTTTAAATATAAAATATCATTTTTTCTCATCTTAATTTTGTAGGTTTATTTTTTATAGATTTTTTTATAAAATAAAATATTTTCTTTTAGTTATTTTCACTTAATAGTTTAGATGAAATTTTTTTTATAATCAAAATTGATGTACTTTCAATTTTGTGTATATTAAACGGATCAAACTAAATATTCATAAATATTCGTAAATATCCACAAATATCCGTAAATACTTGTAAATTTTCCGGATATCCGTATATTTCTGGAGCAAATCAAATCATAAAATTAAATATCTGTTAAAAACAGAGCAAACCACAAATACTAAAAAATTCCTGGATATCCAATTCGCGCTCATCCCTACCTATAACTATAAGATATGTTATAATTCAATAATGTAAAGAGCAAAATGATATGGAATTTGATGTGTTAACCTAGTGATGGTGCAGCTATGTACTTCAGATATATTGTGACCGTTGCCTTCCAAATCATGGACCACGTCCTTTAATCTCGGGTCTTACTAGTATTTTAATATTTCGTATAAAATCAAACCCTTCAGCGACCAATTCTTTTATTTCTTATAATTTGATACAATGGAATTCGATATTATAAGTTTGGATGGATCTAGTAGTTTCAAATAGACATTGATAAATGTCTCTAGTTGTGTTCTAAAATATCTGTCATACTACTTGTTCCGAGACTTTCTAGTCCGATTCGTGGTTAAAATTCAATTTCAAAATTTTAAATATTTGTATATGTTCGATTGTTGATTTATCAAACAAACCAAATGAAAACCAGTTTCTGACATGTTTTTGATTCAGTGTAAGTGTTTTGATGAAGATTAGGTTCAGTTAATGTTATTCATATGCGAAAATAATGAAATTGAGCCATTTGATCTAATACAATATTTTTGTTAAATGTTTAGCATATTTGGTTTGGAGTTTGGACCATGTCACTTTTTCAGTAGTTTGGAAACTAATATATACTAATAAAGTGATGCAATATAATCTTTTAATGTAATTTTACATTTTAAAATACTGGAGCTTATTTGACCAGCGCGAACTACGCAAACTGCACGAATTTTATCGGTCTCTTAACAAACCTACAAATCTCAAGAAGAGTCAAAAACTTATTGGATAGTTTGTCTGTCATTTCTTTTGCCAATCAGATTTCCTCCAATTTATGTCCATTGGAACTTGTAATTCACACGTGCTATATACTTCAAATTTCTTACTAGTATTTCAACTCCTTTAGTATTATCATATTTTCACTTTATACAGATTAGGCAGTCTTGAGAATTTTACAGAATAGACACTGTTTAATTAGAAAATGTTTAAAGTCTAACTAATGTAGTGTGATCGAGTATTAATTAAATGTATAAAGGCCATCGTCCCAAAAACTTAAAGATTGGTTTTCAACTATTGATTTACATATCTTTTAGTAAATTCTTTATTTTTGTGTGAATATTATAATCAATTATTCAGATAGCAGTTTGTATTTAAGAAAAAAGAATTAGTAGTGCCTATATTTGGTTTTCTCCATAATATTTTTGCATCATGAGTTTTTTTATTTAGCAGGTAAAGCAAAAACTATTTTTTTTTAAATAACACATTTCTTTGAGGTTTTCTAGAATATAGAGAGTTGCAAAATCGAATCAACGGGACCAAGTCGTCTCTCTCTCTCTCCCTCCATTACGCGCCAACTAAGCCTGAGCTGTTATATTGACGCCGTCTCCGTCACACTTCCCAACTCACGTTTCGCCACGTGGCATCCGTTATTACATCCTTCACGTGCTGGCATGTCTCACAGCCATACGTCTGTGCGGGTACTTAATCCGATGGCTGAGATTTGTCTGTGCTCCCAAGAGATTGTATTATGTTCCTCCTCCTCCTAGTGGCGTGATTACTTATTTTGTTGACGTGTTAGCAGCGTGTTTCAGACGAGTAAAACCAAGCAATCAATTAAATTAAATTCAAATTAAAAAATACACAAAAAGATATCTTTCGTTGGAATGTGAAACTTTAAATACACAGTTCGAAAATAGAATTTAAAAATAATACTCCCAAAAACCAAAAAGATAAATTTTCCAAATTTAACGCAGGAAATATAAGAAGACGCGGTCAAAATTCTCTCTCACTACTCCCATATAAAGCCCTTCTCTTTCCCATTAGGGTTTTTTACTTTATCATCATCATCATCACTCTCCATTGGCTCTAAAATCAGAAAGAGGGTTTTTTTCTTTACATATAATAGAATGAGAATCTCCTCGCCTAAAACCTGATTTTTTCTGTCGGATTTTGATTATCAATCTCACATTTCATCTGTTTTGATTGTCTGAGGATGCCAGCAACGGAATACCAGAGATCATTTGGGAGGTCGTTACTTAATTTACGGCGTGACGCGGTGCACTCGGTTGGCTCGGCGACGGCGGCTGGCGGCGGTAACGAGTTGACTCAGATGGAGGCGGAGTTGGATTCGTTTCAGAGACAAGTTGCCGAGAGGTTTATCGATCTCAATGCATCGGGTCCTGAAGATCTGCTGTCCCTCGAATGGGTCGGGAAGCTTCTCGATTCGTTTCTGTGTTGTCAAGAGGAGTTTCGCGCCATTGTGTTCAATCATCGATCCCTCATCAACAAACCGCCGATGGATCGATTGATTGCGGATTACTTCGAGAGAAGCGTCAAGGCCCTCGACGTCTGCAACGCGATCCGCGACGGCGTTGAGCAGATCCGTCAGTGGCAGAAACTAATCGAAATCGTCATCTGCGCTTTCAACAACAGCGGCGGATCCGGCGGAAGCAGCAGCAAGAGACCGCTCGGGGAAGGCCAGTTTCGCCGCGCGAGGAAGACGCTGATCGAATTAGCCATCGGAATGCTCGACGACAAGGAGTCGTCTTCGAGCTCGGTGTCGCAGCATCGTAACCGTTCGTTCGGAAGGAACAAGGATCATCTCCATCACCGATCAATCGGGCATTTCAGATCGCTCTCCTGGAGCGTTTCAAGGTCGTGGTCCGCCTCGAAGCAATTGCAAGCCATAGGGAACAATCTATCCACGCCTCGAGCTAGTGACATAACCGCGACGAACGGTCTCGTTGTTCCGGTCTACACAATGACATCGATACTGCTGTTTGTGATGTGGGCTCTTGTCGCAGCGATTCCTTGTCAAGACAGAGGGCTTCAAGTGCATTTCAACGTCCCTAGGAATTTCCAGTGGGGAGGGTCTCTGATGTCTTTGCACGATAGGATCATCGAGGAATCGAAGAAGAGGGAGAGGAAGAACAGTTGTGGGTTGTTGAAAGAGATAAACCAGATTGAGAGGAGCTCGAGGTTGATGAGCGAACTGGTTGATTCAGTTCAGTTTCCGTTGTCGGATGAGAAAGAGACGGAAGTGAGGGAGAGGGTTGAGGAATTGGCGCAGCTTCAAGAAGCTTTGAAGAATGGTTTGGATCCGTTTGAGAGTAAAGTGAGGGAAGTGTTTCATCGGATTGTTCGAAGCAGAACAGAGGGTCTTGACTCTGTTGGAAATTCAATGTGATATTTGTTTGGGGTTTTGTTTGTATGAATGTGAAGCTCTTTTTTCCGATCTTTGTTGTTATTGCTGCTAAAAATTTTCATAACAAAGATTGTTATTTATATATTTTGATTGCTTCTGGAAGTTCCTATTTGCCGATCAAACTTAGGAATTTGGATTGTTAACTTTGGTTTAAGTGTAACAAGAGAAATTTGTCATATATTTGAACATATAAGTAAAAATATACAAGCTTCTATTCTCTATCGACATTGCAATGACAAATTGTGAACTTTTAATTGCAAATCATAGAAAGATCTTGAAATCATCTAGCTTCACTTCCTTACTCATAGAAAGATGCTGAGAGCTTGAATTCTTGATGCAAACCTGTAAACAAAAATTAGTGAAAGAAATAGGATCTGACCTCGTGCATCTTCACTAAGTACAAAAACTAAACTAGAACGCCTTCATAAAAATGTCAAGAAAGCTGATTACATTGGGTAAACTTTTGGAGCCCAATAGAATTTTAGGCTACAACAAAACAACCCTTCATATCTCCGTTCTTAGATGCAATCACAAGGCTTCAATAGGAGTGGTAAAACACAAACAAAACAAAACGAGAAAGAATAGCCTCAGAGGTAGTGACAATTGTGAATAATTCATCACTATAGAATCTGATGAAAACACATCAATAGATATACATCATCGGCACAATTCAAACACTTACGAAATCAAACTTTTGTTGAGTGCATCAGAGAGATTCCCATTTAGACTTTAGTCATCATTCTACTTCTCCAATACGGAGAATCTGATGTCCCTGTCTTTTTATCATCACTTGCAATCACACAAAAAACACCAAAAGACTAGAAAAAAAAAACATTTTTGAGAAAACAATCATAAGCAATTTTTACCTATATAAACTAGAAACTAATCGAATGCAACCCTTAACTAGCACATGAAAACAATTAATTGAACAGATAAAAAAGGATTTAAATTGCCTCAGAGTTGTTTTTTTGTTCCTAGAGACTTAGCTCTCAAAGTATATTTAATACCATCACAGGCAATAAACAATGAAACAACCAAACAACAGAGATAAACCAATATACGAACGCTAATTGAAAACGGAAATACGAATCTTTACACAGCCCCTAGTTACGATAAAGAGGATTTAGAGAAATACAAGACTAGGGTTTTAGAAGAAGGGGCTCTGTTTTGTCTCAAACGAATCAGGATGGTTTTATATATAGAAAAGTAGCGGCGGCGAGAATTAGGTCAAGAAGAAGGAAGTTACAGGATTTGTCTGGGCTCGAATTTGAAAGAGAATATCTGATTGATCTATTACACAAATTTTAAAGGCCCAAAGGAGACTGTAAAAAAAAGAGAAAAACATAAAAGGTTCAAACTTTCGAATATCTTAAGGTTAATAATTACTTCGCATAACCCAAAATTTGATTAAACGAAACAGCATCATTAACGAATTAAACCGTCTTCTTCTCTCCCTACGCAGACGCAGAGCACACATTTCCGTTGGTCGACGTATTAAGTTCGCCTGCGAAATCGAAGGTTGTCCTTTCGTCTGCTTCTGTAAGCTCTCTGTTTCACCATTAATCTTTCCTTTTTTATTTCTCTCTGCTGGAATCGTTTGTGTTCATTTTTCCTCCAATGGTTTTTCTGTTGCCTGTTCATCTACTTTTAAATTCTTCTGTTGTTCACAAATCCCTAATTCTCTGTTTCTGAGAGTTCTCTGTTTTCGTCCCGTTATAGTGGTTTCTCTTGTCTTAAAAACTTTGTCTTTTCTCCATCACATTTCTGGGTTTGTGATTCTTGTCTCCCGTGAGTTTCTTCTTCTGGTTTTAGCTCTTGGGTACCAAGAAAATCCGAACAAGAAGTGATTTCGTTTGGTAGTTGAAGTTAGTACCTCGATGAATGGTTCCATCCTTTTTCCTATTTTTTTCTGAGTTGTTAGATTTGATAAAGTTTGGATTTGCAGAATGGGAAGGGTTAAGCTGATGATAAAGCGGTTAGAGAGCAGTAGCAACAGGAAAGTTACATACTCAAAGAGAAGAAGTGGGATTTTGAAGAAAGCCAAAGAGTTGTCCATTTTGTGTGATATTGATATTATTCTTCTCATGTTTTCTCCTACCGGGAGGCCTACCATTTTCAATGGAGATCACAGGTAAAAACTAGAAATCAAGTGGATGATCATCTTGTTTTGATGTTTGCTTATTTCTATCTATAGTATTGTAACTTTGATCATGCATAAGTTATTGTAATTGCGTCTGTTTCAAATGATGGGCAGATGCATTGGAGATGTGATCGCCAAGTTTGCGCAGTTGACTCCTCAAGAAAGGACAAAAAGGTATATGCTTTGGCATGACTTCTCCCTCAACTCTCAAGTACATATAGGCTTTGATCTTGTTGTAGTTTTTGTTATTAAACTGATAAGTTTTGTTTTGAACATTACAGGAAACTGGAGAGCCTTGAGGTAAAACCTTACTTTATATATCTCTTCATATGTCATAATATCTGTTGATTTAGGAAACATTTGCCGATTGTACAGGTCCTGAAGAAGACTTTTATGAAACTGGACCATGATTTTAATATACACGAGTTTTTGGGAGCAAGGTACTTGAGTTCTTGAAGAAAACTATTTGTCATAATTAGCCCATGGAAAGACACTTGAATTGTGGTCTTTTACTTATCCTGCAGGAACCAAAGTATTGAGGTATGGATGATAGATCAACAACCATCATGATTCTCCTCCTCCTGCATACTGTAAATCTCCCGAGTTGTGATTACTAAAACTATGTATTGAACTTTTCATGAGCAGGGTCTGACTAACCAACTAGCGTTTTTTCAAGCTCAGGTTATGGAGTGTCATAGGAGACTGAGGTGGAACTTTGGAGCTTTTCGGTTTTAAATGTCATTTGATTTTTGTCTATACGTTTTGTTCAACCCTCTTCACATACTATGCTGAGGATGGATTCATATTTTGAGTCTTCTTCTGTTGTGTGCTTTCCAGCCGTTGGGCGAACATTTCTAGAATAGAAAACATCGAGCATCTGTGGAATTTGGAAGCATCATTGAGAAAATCTATTGAAAGAGTTCAGATTCACAAGGTATATATCATGGCTAAATTTGAATTTGTGACACACACACAAATTAAAATTGTCAAGAGTTGCTAATGGAGGCAGCCTTTGCCTTGCAGGAACATTTAAGAAAGAATCAACCCATGTCACTAGAATGTACTACAACACAGGTTAAGTTATAACACTTGTCCCTCTATTCCCTCTCATATTCCTAAACCAGCTGAGTTTTCTAATGCAGTTTCAGAGTGGCATATCGTCACCTTTGGTGATAGATGACATTCAAGAAAATCATTTAATATCATGGCTTCCTGGTCACAGTGACCAACACATGACCATATCTGATGACTCGAGTTTTCTTCCTCATCGGTGAGTGAAGAGAATTGTTAAATCACTTAGAAATATGCTTTGAGTAATATGTTCTACTCATTTCAATGTTCTTTGATCAACAGTGAGATGGAAAATACGGCAGTTGCATCACTTCCGGTTTACTCAAGCTTCTTCGAGTCTGGAAATCAAGAAGATCAGATTTGCAACTTGGAACAACAATTTGACCACTTAAGGCAAGAAAGCAATGTGTTAAACGAGCTACACGGAAACATCTGTTCGAGTTTACAACTCGGCGATGAATATTCATATCCTACACAATTTGGCATGCAAGAAGAGAAGAAATTCGAACCGTGTTTCGAGTTAAACGTGCAACAAGATCCGACTATGTATCCGGTTAGCAACAGCTTCCAGTTTCCTGATCAACCGGTGTTTCAAGCTACTGATCATCATCATCAGACATGGATTTCAGATTCTACCTGTTGTAGTAACTCTGATAACAATCAGGTCAGTGCAAAGATAAAATGCTTCTATACACAAATCAAAACCCACCAAATAATCTGGCTTTTTTTTTTAATTTGTTTTGCAGAAACCAGACTGACTCGGAAAGAGGTCATCATGAGTAATATTTGTGTTATGATCAAACATTAGTTCCAGTCACTGAAGCAATGTACATACAAGTTTTTTGTGTATATACAATGTATAATACAGCGTACATGTCTATGTATGTGTGTGTGTAAATATCTGTCTATATTTATCAGATTTGTATATATCTGTCTGTAATATACAATTATATAATACAAACACTAGTCCTTAAAAAAGAAGATTTTTATTTTGATGAGCATCATGTGATGTCTCCAACTCAAAAGGCTTACTTCCACAATCAACGGTAGAGATCGAAAGAAAATGGGAAAATTCCCACAATCCTCTCTGCTTTAATATCTATATCTTCTTCCACGATAAACACTGATCCTGAAGATGAGCACACAGGGTTGTTATATAAATCAGACAAAGCTTATACCTCAAAAACAGAGCAGAAACAGAACATATATTCTGTCTTTTGAGAGGAAGTAAATGGCGAGAAGACAACTCTTTCAACTTCTAATGTTCTTCGTTTTAGCTGTTCTGTCTCTTGTGATGTTATTGAAGCCTGTTCTAATCACTGCAAGTCTGTAATACTTCTCTCTCACTCTCTTTAACCTCCCCAAGATTATCTTTGTTCTTGTTCTGTTTCTTTTTGGCTTTAATTTCTTGCTTATTGCAGAAACGGACAAATTGACAGACTTTGAAATCAAGGGACAAGATTTAAATCAGATTAGCCACCTGGTAAGAATCCACTCCAAACACACACACATACAATGTGAGCGAAGATCGAATATCTTCATTATTTTGATTCTTGTTCTTGCTTATCTTTATGTGTGGATGCTTCATGGATCATAGAGACGCATTGGAGCTGATCTTAAGAGAAGAACAATGACACGGAGGATGATGAACGTTGAGGAGATTAACGATTATCCAGGATCAGGAGCTAACAACCGCCACACCCCTAAACCTTATTGTCCTGATTGCTAAATCCATTTCTTGTAATTTAGCTCCTATAAATTTGTAATAATCACTTTATATAATATGCATCAAGATTTTTAGAGTACGAAATCTTAATCATGGAATCTTAATCTAAAAGGCTATGTGAAGATATGAAATATTTGGTAAAATTCAAGCTTTATGAAACCCATTTTTTCAATAAATAATTTCACCATTAACTTAGCTAAGGTTAGGCCATCAACTGAAACATAAAAGGTTTTTGATCTGACCATTTTTCCTTTTACTCTGTTTCGAATATGCCATGTGTTATTAATTATCCTTTTTATTTAACTTTATAAACATTCATTAATAATTGTTATTTTCGTTTTATTTGGTAAAGAGACACTGAGACAGTGGAGGACACAACCACCTCAAACATGATGATGATATCTTACTATTATAAGAAGAATTCTGGAATAAACCAATACAACAGAGCAAGAAAAAATACAGAAAATGTAAAACATTATTTCTCCCAAACCAAAAAAGGTAATTAAAATGAAGGACAAAACGAAACTGTCCACAACATGATCAACAACAATATACAGAAACCGAATCATAACATATATAATTAAGACATTCGATCAGTTAGTTATTGTCTGGAGAAGGAGCAAGATCCGGCGACGGAGAAGGAGCTTCGCTGGTACCGTCTTTAACACGCATGAAGTCGAACCTCTTGATGAGAATATTAGCAACGAGCTCGTTAGCCTTATCTGTAGGATGATACTCGTCCCAAAACACATACTTACTTCTGTCTTTACACAATGTCGACGCCGGAATACACGTCAGCGCCGGCCGGATTTTGTAGAACGAGCAACACGGCGAATCCGAGTTATCAAATCCTGTATATATATATCGCATACACACACAAACATATAAAGTGTTAATGATTACGCTTATTATAAAGTTTATATGGTTGCTAGGATTTATCTGGTTATATATACTTACCGTATTTTTGGGGGTTAGTGATGACGTCGTTGACGAGGTCATAGGCTTCACCAAACTTGTAGCTTGCATTAGGGAGCTTGGTTTCGAGATCTAAGAGCATTTTAGTGGCAGCTTTGTTGAATCTCACAGCAAGACTGCTTGCTTTGTTCTGACATTTACCATCGAGGCTTAGAGCTCTTTGGAGTGGGATACAACCCATTGGTCCTAACCCAAACACCATTAGCTTCCTCGCTCCCAAGCTATGCAACACCTAATGAAACATTAATTATATCACAAAGAATATATAAATGTATCAGTCAAATGTTGTGAAAATTTAACCGGTTTATCTAATTGAAGTGTTTCAACTAGACTAACCCTGAGTTGAGACTCAAGTGTTTCCATTAAGTAGTCGACGAATGTTTGGTCATTGTACTTCCAAGAATCGCTATAGACAGGCATCAAGTAGTTGTTGATGAAGTCATTGCTGCCTAAAGCGACGACGTATCCAGCTTGTTGGAAGAATTTGTCTGCTTCTTTTTTCCCTATCTTTGCCACAATTACATCTTGTGTCCCTTGGAACAATTCTATTTGCTTCCACAGCGAGAATCTTTGTATCTTCACAAATACAACAACAAAATAAAACAGTACCATCAAAAATCATCTCTTTGAATCTCATTCACCATTTGTGGAAACAAACATAGTTATTTCATTTCTTGAGACTTACGAAATAACCACCAGTTTCATTCAAGATTCCACCACCTCCTGAAGCATAGTTCACTCCATTTTCAAGTATTACATCTTCATTCATTGATGGATCCAAGAAGGCTACTGGTCTTGGCAACCCAATTTTATCACCTTAAATTATAAACAAAACCCATTATAGGATTGTAATTCACATGATAAACCACATTCATTGACTAATTTAATAAGTTCATGCACATGACTTACCTATGATGTCTGAAACAGTGCGGCCGTTGGTGAACCTTCCATTAGGCAAACCATTGCCAAAATCAATACCGTAAAAGGGAAGATTCGCCTGCGCTAAACTCCTCGGTAAGTTCCTATTGTTGCCTACATCAGACAATGAATCTCCAAATATAAACTGGACGATCTTGCAATTATAGCCGTTGATCGCATTGAATCCAAGAACAATGAGCAACACGAATATTGCGCAGAAGTACTTCATGTCGCAGAAGAAATATCGATATGTCTCTGTTGATTGAAAAAGATTTGTTTTGGTGGTTTATAAAAGGGTTTTTGGAGGTGAAAATTATAAGACTAAGTAAGAAAAGTGGAGGAGCAGTGTGAGAATAAAGAGGTGAAGGGTAGATTTTGAGTTGATGAACCAACTGATTTTGTTTTTTAATTTGTTTTTTTTTGGTTTATGTTTGATTCAAACCTACTTTCAACTACTCTTTCCTCGTGTTGGTGTCGTAAGTTGTAACCGTTTTTTTGTCCGTAAACTTCAAATTTCGTTTTTAAGGAAATTGTTAAATTGTTTTGTTTTTCTTGAAGTAAATAGTTTTCAAGTTTGGGTTTATGAACCCATTTATAGAGCAAAACTTCATATTTCATGTTACCTTAATACGGAATACTTTCTACTAGTGGTATTAAATAAGCTAAAACTCTTAATCAACTTCTTAAGATGATCCCTCCTGTATGTATTATTCATCACGTACGTACTCTTTCGTCACTATGGCCACTCTTACTGAAAGTATTATCATCAAAATCAGATGTTGAAAAATAAAACTCTTCATGCCATAAGAAAAAAGAGAGTTTTTAAAAAAAATTCTTGTTGCTCAGTCTGTAATTTCTACTCTCTCGAGCTAAGATTGAATGATGGTCAATCTTAGGGCCCAGTCCAAGCCCAATGGTCCGAATAATATTTTCGGCCTCCAAAAAATTCTGGTGATTTAGTGGCAATTTAGTAAATAATCAAGTGACTGTGGAACCGTTGGACAATGAGGGGCATTTTGGTAAGTTTGGCTGTTTTTAACTAAAAACAGAGTACGTGAAACAGAGAGTACAACGTAAATGAAACAGATCGAAAGAAAATCTCAATCATAACTTATAAATTAAAATGAAATAAAGCGTTAGAATTTCGTTTTTTCTTTATTGTACAGTGAAATAAAATTAGATTAAATGAACTAAAATATCCTTTGAACTATTTTTGTGTGAACCTAAAATCCTACGGATTTCTACCATGCCCATAAAGAATCACAAGGCGACAAAATTGTTACATTACCATCCTACGTGGCCAAAACTCAGCCGTTTGCTCTACAAAATGGGAGCCACAGACAAAACTCAACCAAAACCCGTAACTTTATCCTCATCTCATCACGACCGTCCATTATTCAATCCGACGGTAAATACACCTCGGAAATCTCCAACGATATCTAATCCACTAAAACTAATTTAAATCAAAATACATTTCACAACTGAAGAGGAGAGACTCCATTGTTAGTGTTCACGGAAGTCCCTAAAGCTCTCCAACGACAATGGCGACGTTTACACTCAAATCCTTCACCGGACTTCGTCAATCCTCAACGGAGCAAACCAACTTCGTCTCCCATGTGCCGTCGTCACTTTCTCGCTCACAGCGACGTAACTCTCTCAGAGTAACCGCGGCCAGATCCAGCCCCAAGCTCGCTAACCGTAATCTCCGCGTCGCCGTCATCGGTGGAGGTCCGGCGGGAGGAGCGGCTGCCGAGACTCTAGCCAAGGGAGGTATCGAGACGATTCTCATCGAGCGGAAGATGGACAACTGTAAGCCTTGCGGAGGCGCGATTCCTCTCTGCATGGTCGGCGAATTCAATCTGCCGTTGGACATCATCGACCGGAGGGTGACGAAGATGAAGATGATCTCGCCTTCGAACATCGCCGTTGATATCGGCCGCACGCTTAAGGAGCACGAGTATATAGGTATGGTGAGGCGAGAAGTGCTGGATGCGTACCTGAGAGAGCGGGCGGAGAAGAGCGGAGCCACCGTCATCAACGGTCTCTTCCTCAAGATGGATCTACCGGAGAATTGGGACTCGCCGTACCTGTTGCATTACACGGAGTACGACGGGAAAACAGGAGCCACGGGACAGAAGAAGACAATGGAGGTCGACGCCGTCATCGGAGCCGACGGAGCTAACTCCAGGGTCGCGAAATCCATCGGTGCCGGAGATTACGACTACGCCATCGCTTTTCAGGTCAATTCCTTCCTCTTCCCAATTTTTTAATTCGTAGGATGAAATTGATGGAATTCGAAATTTGTTTAGGCTTTTGCAAAAATCATGTTCTTACGGAATTGAGTGGTGACAAATGTGAAAACTTTTCAGGAGAGAATCAGAATCCCGGATGATAAAATGACTTACTACGAGGATCTGGCTGAGATGTACGTCGGAGACGACGTGTCGCCGGATTTCTACGGCTGGGTTTTCCCCAAATGCGACCACGTAGCTGTTGGAACAGGCACTGTCACTCACAAAGGTGACATCAAGAAGTTCCAGCTCGCGACCCGAAACAGAGCCAAGGACAAGATTCTTGGAGGAAAGATCATCCGCGTGGAGGCTCACCCTATCCCGGAACACCCTCGACCACGCAGGCTCTCGAAACGTGTGGCTCTTGTAGGTGACGCTGCAGGGTACGTGACTAAGTGCTCCGGTGAAGGGATCTACTTCGCTGCAAAGAGCGGAAGAATGTGTGCTGAAGCCATTGTTGAAGGTTCACAGAATGGTAAAACAAAAAAGACACCTTTTTGGATTCCTTCGTTATGGTGAATCCTAAATTCTCTAATGTGTTGTTTTTTTTCTTGCAACAGGTAAGAAGATGATTGACGAAGGGGACTTGAGGAAATACTTGGAGAAATGGGATAAGACCTACTTGCCTACGTACAGGGTGCTTGACGTGTTGCAGAAAGTGTTCTACAGATCGAATCCGGCTAGAGAGGCGTTTGTGGAAATGTGCGGTGATGAGTACGTGCAGAAGATGACGTTCGATAGTTATCTGTACAAGAGGGTTGCTCCGGGGAACCCTTTGGAGGATTTGAAGTTGGCTGTCAACACCATTGGGAGTTTGGTTAGAGCTAATGCTCTAAGGAGAGAGATTGAGAAGCTGAGTGTTTAAAGAACAGAGAAGAGAGGTTACATTCCTTTTTCTTTTGTAGTATCTTCGCTAATGTTTGCTCTTGAACGTATTCAGTATCATATTTATGTTTCTCTTCATTGAATCAGTCAAAAAGCATTTGGCTTTACAATCCGAAAAAACAAAAAAAAAAAGCAGATTTTCACAAACTACAATCTGATTAAAAACAAGATTCACAAACCATTAAATTCGGCTGTGAAACCACACAAGAGATACTTCACTTCTTCGTCACTCTCTATTCCTCCTTCATCAACCGACTCTTCACTGACGACTGATCCGCTGCTTGAACACGAGGGTATAGAGACCATCTGAGATTGATCCGACTTGAGATTTCTCTTCTTCTTCCTCTTGTGTGTAGCCTTGAAACAAGCTTGTCTCAGCCTCTTTGTCTTGTCTTCAAAATCCAAATCCGGAAACTCTTCGATCATCCTCTTCTCCTTCTCGAGCATCTCCAACGCGTTCTTTAGTTTCACTGCGTTCTCTTCGCCTTCCATCTTCTGCAGCTCCTTGACGTTACTGATCAGAGTAAGTAGGCTCATGAGTTTGCGATGAGGCCATCGATGAATACCCAATTCGCGACATCTTCTTTTCAGAAGAGTCAAGCCAACGTTAAGCTCCATAGCCGCTTGAGTTATGGGCATATAGAAGTAGCGAGAGATAATTTCCATCGACAATCCTTTCGAAGCAGAAGAAGTTGTGTAGGTAGTGATATCGCTGATGATGCTGACGCTATGTTCTCCGCGTCTCTCGTTAAGTTTCCTCTTCCTAGTCGTCACTGCTTCGTTCTCAGTGTCTTTCTCCAAATCACCTTCTCCTCTGTTCTGCTCTGTTTCGTTCCATAATGCAGAGCTGTATGAATCGAGTACATCTACAAGACAAAGCGAGGCTCATGAGACCTCTCTATGTATATAAATAATTACAGGACAACTATGTAAAGATAGAGATTATACCTTGAGACAAGGGTTCAATGTCAGGTAAAGGCAGAGAAGGTGTCGGTAAAGGAAAAGCTTGAGAGGCAGAGTTGTTATGGATCATAAGCTCTTCTTCCCAGTCAAATGAAGGAAAATATAACGAGCTGTATATTTACAACAACAAAAAACAGAGAATGATAAGAAAACAAAAACTGATAACAAATAAAACTAAACAAAAGCTTAAGAAACTGACCTGTGATCAAAGGATGGTGAATGAGTTAGGAAAGAGAATGGCTTCTCTTCGTTGAGTTTATGATTAGCCATTGGAGAGAGAGAGAGGGAGAGGTTATGTTGTAAAGCTCGATGAGGGAGAAACGGTTTATATACAAAGAGAAGAGAGAGTAGTAGTAAGATATGGAGAGAGAAGAGAAGAGAAATGAAGTGATGATTAATCTATTAGGGACGTGGGGTGACGGCGAATTGATTGCTCTGTTAAATTTGGAGTTACGAGAGATATGATTAATGTTAATTATAGTGGTAATTATAGGGGCGTTTAGGTTTGGATTAGACTTCTCTTTTCGTCTCTCCATGCACATATATGCATGCAATCACTTTGAGTAAAAAAAGTATGTAGTACATGTATATACAATACACACATGTAGTATGTACATGTTCATATATATACACATACACATAAACAGTAATCATGATTGTCCATATTTAATAGCCAATAACTGAATAATATCACTATGTACTCATTAAGATCCAAGATGTAACGTATGGATGAAACTTTATTACAGATCATGGCCGTGTTTTTATTTCTAATTTTTTCTAATTGATTATAAGTTTTAGTAATGAAGTAACAAAAAAAAAGAAGTTTATAGTTCTCAACAATAACGATCCAAAACAATCAATCTTATTCACAACCAATTATGTGTGTTACTGAAATGTTCACAACTAAATGAATTATGTGCGTTAATAATATAAATTCACAACCATAATCTATGACATTGACAAATGACAATATAAAATACTTTGTTTAGCATATGATAACTTTTACATGACGATCGAGAGAACTGATATTACTTGAAGTGTGAAAATCGACTGATCATGATGTTTTATAGGATTAATAAAGCTAACCCAAAGCACTGGTCTACATATCTTTTTATTAAATTCATATTAGTTCCCAATTTATTTTTGAAAAAAAGACATTATAGAACCTAGTAGTAAAGATACCATAGACTTTTTTTTAGTCCTTAGTTGTGTCTGAGAAACCGTTTTGAAGGGATAGAAGAAGAGTTAGCAGCAAAACCTTTGCGTCTACTCTTTCTATGTCTTGGAATCGGAACTTTCTCAAGAAGAGACAAAACCTCAGGCATCGATGGTCTAACCTTAACCTCTCCGATACATTGTAAGGCCAAGATAGACATCATAAACGCTGCTTTCTGAGGGTATTGACCCACAAGCTTAGTGTCCATTATCCTAAAGACTTTTCGCTTGTCCCGCAAGTAAGGCTTTGCCCATTCCACCAAGTTCTCTTCTTCTCTAGCTCTGGTTTTATCTATGGCTCGTCGTCCAGACAGAATCTCTAGCAAGACTACACCGAAGCTGTAGACGTCACATTTCGTTGTTAGATGACCTGACAGAGAACAGAACAGAATATAACAAGCCAAAGTGTTTTAGAAATTTTCATGGTATATGTTCATTTAAAAACTGAATCAATGAGTCAAGTAACAAAAAAGAAACCTGTTGCTAGATATTCTGGAGCAGCGTAACCTTGTGTGCCCATGACTTCGGTTGTCACATGTGAACGGTCATCCGTTGGACCTTCTTTAGCTAACCCAAAGTCTGAGAGTTTAGCGTTGAATCCTGAATCGAGAAGAATATTTGATGGTTTGAAGTCTCTGTAAATGACTTGGTCTTTAGCTTCATGCAAAAAGCATAGCCCTCGAGCAGCACCAGTTGCAACTTTCATACGCAGTGACCAAGAAAGTACATTGGAACCCCCTAAGAATAATGAGGTCATGAGAGAGAGATGGCAGAGAAGATTTGAAAACATAAGTTTGGAATTATTAAGTTTTAATACTTACTTTCAAACAAATGATTTTCCAAGCTGCCATTAGGCATGTACTCATAGACCAAAAGACGGTTTTCGTCTTCCAAGGAGCACCCAATCAGTTTCACCAGATTTGGATGATGCAATCTCCCAAGATAGTTCACTTCCCTCTTTGAGGCAAAATCACACGCAAGTAAAGATTCTCAGATAGAGTAGTCTCAAGGGAAAATCATACAAAAATGATTGAAAAGATTGCTTACCAGCCACTCCTTGTGTCCCTGAAACCCTTCAGTTTTAAGCTTCTTGACAGCAACCGCGAGTTCGATTCCCGGTTCACCGTTAACACATCCCTTGTAAACAAACCCGAATCCTCCTTCTCCAATGAGACTCTCTGGACAGAAGTTTCCTGTAGCTTTCTTTAGCTCATCTAACATAAAAGACTTCAAATGTTGGGAATGCATCATCTCTCCTTCTTGAATCGGTTCAGGTAAAGCCCTTCTAGCTTCACTTTTTCTTGTAATCAAAGGTTTTAAACTCCATGGATATGACATGTTCGAGCTTCTTCCAGTTTCATTATCACCTCCTGAACAAGAACAGTGCCACATTCTTACAATCACAAGGAGAATGGATGAACAGACCAATCAACAACAGAGTTTACTAATCCAAGAACAGAGCAAATCGAGTGTTCTCTGCTTCTATCATCAATAGAGATGAAATCGATAACTATACACAAACCTATCTCCTAAAAAAAAAACTAACTGTTTCTTCCTCAATTCATGCATCACAGTCAGGAGTCAGGAGACTCAGGACTCACATCAGCAATGCATTAATTCACTAAATTCGTAGATCAAAGAATGAGAAGCAAGCAAGAGAGCTTACGTGAAAAGGGTTTTGAGTTCACTGAGGAGTCAACATTTTCGTCGTCATTGCCATTGCTCTTTGAGCAAGATTCAATGCAATTCCCCATTTAAGCTGTCTATAATTCCCTAGACGATGGGAATTACAAACCCTAATAATAAACGATATTGATATTGTTTTTTTCACACAGCCGTCTCCGTCATCACCATTCTTCCTTCGGCGAAAAGGAAGAACGTGGAAACGAGAGTCGGGGATCGTAACGTGTTTGGATTTCGATACAAAGCTTGTAAAATTTTGTTGAGATTAGAGAAGCAAAGAGAAAAAACTGTAAAATTAACTAAAATTGGATATACTATAATTAAAGAATAATGGAGAGGGAGTTTCCGTGTATTAATTTCCTGTCAGAGCCACCTATTAATTACTAATTGACCAATCTATGTCACGTGCAACTCTCGTGTCCCGACTCTTCCCATGGAAAGTTGTCTGGTATTTCATGAAATCCCTCACTTGAAAATAAAAGAAAAGAGAAGGCATATGGTCATGATGTGCATATTGTATACAATACGGAAGGTTTTTTGTTCTCTCATATCAAAGAAGGTGTATTCAATTTAACATTTGAAATGATTTGGAAAGATTTGAGTTTTAATAATTTTTTAGATGCTTTGGTTGAGTTATAGAAATTGTTATGATTTGATATCAAAATTCTATCAATTTTTATCTAAAACCATGAGATTTACAATCTTATATTTTTAATTAGGAAATTTCATCAAAACATCTTAAAATCACTCCAACTTTTTTAAAACTCATTACTTAGTGGGTGTATTGGATTAATGATTTGAGATGATTTTGTGTTTTTTTTTTTAAATTTCTTCTTAATGAATTAGTCATTTAAAAAAGTTACTTAAAATCTAAGTTTATTAGATTAGTCGTTTATACAAATTCATTAAAATTTTGTCTTTTTGGAAAATTGGGATTTGATTTGGGATGATTTGAGAGGTAAATTAGAGTTAAAAATCCATAGATTGAAATACCACTTCAGTATTTGAGAGAATTTAGAAGACATGATCTGTTTAAATCATTTTAAAACTTTAAATTCATTAAAATCTTTATAGATTTGGATTTATCCAAATTACTAATCACATATGCCCCCATTAAATTATTTCCAATAACAATGAATTTGAAGATACATTTTCAAATCACTAGTTAGTTCAATAACACTAAATTTTAAACAAATTTTTAAAATATATATTTTAATAACAGAGGGTTTGTGATTTTAATACAAATCACTCTAAATTCTATTTTGAATACACACTCCCAAAATAGATATTCTCTCATATGTAATTTTATGTTTTCAATTCTCTGATATGTAATGTAATGTAATATTATACTAATATCCAAAATAAATTTCTAAGAAATGATTATGTTTTTTTTTGGTAAAAAGAAATAAGTATGTTGGATGGAAAGGAAAAAGAAATCTACAAAAGTAAATATATAAACAAGTTAAAAGAAAAAATCGAAATTAGGTTATGGCATAAAATTTGCAGCTTTTTGTGCTTCTTTTGAGTGCATAGCGTCAAATTCACCCCATGCTTTATTGCCCATAAACAATAGTCTTATAATCCTTCAAGATGTTGTTAATATATACGCAGAAAAATGGCAGTTTCATCGATGCCTTCGGTCTCAAAATAATTAATTACTTGATCATTTATCGATATATTAATAATCTTTGATATTAATCAACTGTACCATTGTTGTATTATTCTTTTGATATTTTGAAACCCCATTAATTATAAAACTCATGATGGTTCCTTATTCTTCCAAGACGTATTGACAATCTTCAACACCAAAACTAGCTACTATATTGAATATGTTCTTGGGCATTTTAGGAAATAATTCAAGGTCAATTGTTAATTCGGTTTCTTAATTTTCTGTATATATCAAATTTTTTTGGCCTTTTTAATTAACAAATGAAATTGTTAATTGACATGCATGTTTATGTTGCAAGTTCATCGTTTTTTTGGGTTTTCTTATGTAAGATCTCTTGTTATGACATGTTTTAAATTACTATAAGACACAAACCAGGAAAGGACGTTAGAAAATGAACATAGCTAAGTCTTTGGTTGAGCCCTAACTGAATTAGAAGTAAAGACAAACAAAATAACCGAAAAAGGGCAAAGATTTCATATAGGAAACAAGCGAATATTTATGACCGAAGCAGAAGTGACGAAGTCGTATCATTAAACATCTATAAGGTCATCATCTATAGAAAAATCAAATCCGCGTACTATTTTTATTATTATAGAAGAAGAAGTAGAAGAAGAAGAAGAAGATAGGATTTATTGGGTAAGTAAGCTTCTGATTAAAGCAGCCTGAGCAGTGTCTGTGTTTGCGAGTAACTCAGATAGCCTCTCACTTAGATCATCAACCTCTCTATGCAGATTCCTTATGTAGTTGCACGTATCTTGTAACACTCTCGCTGCTGAAACCTGTCAATATATTACATATATATATATATCATCATTTTCATGCCATATATATGTATTAAGCTAGTTAGATCACTTAGATTTAGCGTACCTTGTCGGAGCGACGACTATCCCTGAGCTCAGGAAGAAGCTGCTGCAACTTGATAATGAGGTCGTTGATTTGATCTTCTGAGATCCTTGAAGTTCCGGATGATTGCCTCGAACGTGATCTTCTTCCCGACATTTTCTTTTTGTTTGAATATTAATTCGAGAGGTAGTGAGAAGAATAATAGAAACTGAAGCAAAAGATACTTTATCGATGAAACAGGTTATGGAGTTTAGGATCACACACAAGTTATGCCGGAAAAAAGGAGAGAGAAAGAAGAGATGAGAGTATGTATGAAGGAAACAAGTGAAGTGACGGTTGTATTTATGTAGCCCTTTTTATTATTTGTTTATGAAAAAAAATATTTAAAAACAAACAATAAAATTGCCCTTCTTATTTTAATTTATAATATATATGCGAATCTTATTTTTCAAATATTGAATTATATGTCTCACTCCTGACAACTTTTGTTATAATAGATCGATTACAGAGAATCTCGTAATTTTAATACATAGATCTAAGTTTGAGATATGTATAATAATATTAGGCCCTTTAACAAAAAAAAAAGATATGTATAATATTTTTGTTAAATCTACTTTGGAAAATAAACCCTACTATATATCGTAAATTTTAATGATATGTTTAGAATTTTGAGTTTGGCACAGCACGCATCACAGTACATACACATGTTATAGGTTTTGTAAATGTATGTTTCAAAATATTTATTAACTAAAATAATTAATTGTAAACGTAATTTTCCCAGCGTACACCAGAAAAACTAACTAGTAAATAAACGACATATATGTTAGATTTTCTAAAGGTATGCTTTTTATTAACTAAATTATTACGTAGACTGATTTTCTTTTCTCTTTTGCCAAAACCATTAACAATAAGCTAGTGAAGTATGTATTAAGTAGTCTCTTTTACACTAACACATATATATAGACGTCATGTAACAGAAAATAAACATGTATCTGTTTATAAGATTGTAGAGTATTGTTATTTCTATTGTAAAAAATTGTAAACTAAAAGAAGATATGCAATTGAATTTTTGTGCGCTTATCAAGAGGAAGTATTATTATACTTTATAACTATAATAATAAGCCTATCCATTCCTCTCGAAACACAACCTCTTAAAATATACATAAAAATTTACATTATCGATGTTTAGGGTTTCGCTCTACCACGTCCACACATGTATTTTTTATTCAACTTAGATTGTTTTGCTAATTAAAACGCCTTTTTATAAGATTACTGGACTTTTTTAAAAATCTTTTTACTCCATTACTTGAACGCGAAATGTTGATAACAAAGCTGAAGTATAATTTGATTTTCTACTAAGTTTAAATGGAATTAGGAAATATCTTGAATTTCTTCTACACTACTTTCTTAGTTTTAAGTCATACTAACAAAGCAAGATTTTGTAATTATATTAAAAATTATAACGTATCAACATAATTTTTTTTCTATGATATAATTAATGGGAAAACTGTAACGTAATTAGAAACAACGAACTTTTAGTGGTAAAAATACTGTCCCTGTTTTTCTTTCACAAAGTTGGAAAGCAGTGTTAAAAAAAAAAGTTGGAAAGTAGTTTTTTTCGTTTATTTTAAGAAAAGTAGTTTAGATATGAGAAATTGACTGATATAACCATATAAATACCTATAATTTGAAAAGTAACAATAGCAGTATAAGGGCTATTATATTATTTATATATTTTACAATATATACCAAAAACTCCTTCGTTTAATAGATTACACTACTATATTATATTATACTATTTATTTTTTTCTTCTGCTTACCTCCGCTCATCTCATCTCTCCTCCTCCCCTTTCTCTTTCATTGCCTCCTCTTTCCTCTTCTCCCTTCTTCTCTCGTCTTTTTCTCTTCCTTACTTTCTTTTTCTGTATATACTATATCAAATAAAAGATTATTCTATAAAATTATATATAGTATAGTATATAGTATAATATAGTACAAGGTTATTTTTGATAATTAATTGTGGATCATGATTAGTTTATTAATTTGTCAAATAACATGGCTATATTTTTCTATTGTTTTATAAATATAGTTATATATAAAAAAAACTTTTTAGATATCGGGTATAGTTTTTAAGCTATATACTTATATAGAGGGGAGGGGGGGAACATGGAGATCTTTTTGAAATACTGAACCATAAGTAAATAGTAATTACATGTCAAATCAGTTGTTTCCTTTAATTCTAAAGCCAACATTTCTTAAAACTTTTTAGGAAAAAAGAGAGGAGAAGCTCACATACTGTATTTCTTAGATGTTCAACAAAGAATGCCGACATTTACAAAACGATATTACAGTATTGTTATGACGTGCGTATAATTAATGTATAGTTTATAGTTTATAGTTTATAGTTTATAGTTTATACGTATAACGTATGATGTCTAAGTATACAAATGGGTGTGTAAGCCTGTAAGGAAAGGGCCAAAGTATGAGTGGTTTGACTGGTCAAAGGGTTCATACACACAAACACACGCCCATGTTCTTTGATCAATAACACACACGTGGCATTTCGGGAGGCGCGTACTCTTACACCGACCGACTTAAACACTTGATTCATTCATATGAATTCAGCTCATTATTAATTTATTTATTTTATGCACTAATCTGTGTATCAATGACCACAGAAATCGTGTAAGTTTCCTTTCGTTAAGTGGCACAATGCAAAGTTTCCAAACCCATGGTACCTGCATCCGTTGTTTGTCTTTGTAAATTTATTTTACGCTAGAACAAAAATGTTTACAGATTTTTTGTTTGTTTTAAAATAAGCCAAGAAAATGTGGAAATATGTTTTGAAAAGATAGAGTAGGGAAACGACAAAAATGTATGTAAACTCGAAGTGTGAGCTGTGGAGGACGAAACAACAAGTCTCAGATTTTGATACATTGGAGAAATATATGGCAATATACTTTTGATTCATTAGATGCAAATTCCTTGTATGTTGAAAAGAAGCGACCCTTTTCGTAAAATCTTCTAGAACAACTTAATTTTAGCAGAAGCTGAACTCCATTATCATTCATTGAAACGATTGAAAACTGGTGATAAGAAAATATGGTGAAAAAGAGGTAAAAATTTAGCATTGGCTGTAAAATCATTTACTATACTAATGTTATTTACTGTACGTGGTATTTTATTATTTTTTAAAACCATTAATCATACGTGAAAAGTATTTACTTATGATTGTACCATTATGTTGTTTTATAAAAACCTATAAAACTAGCTATCTGGCAAATCAGTCCTAGTTTTAAAACGTTGAGTAAGATTAATTAAATTACGAAAGATAATGAAAAGAAATAGAGACATCTTCTCGATAATTCTATATCAAATCATCCAACAAATATGATATATCTCGTGGATAGAATTGAACATGATGGGAGAACTAAGAGAGTATCTAGAGAGAAAAAGTTTCAGTAGGAGACTTGGATTAAAAATAGCGGGCGAGCATAAATATAAACAAGGTCAACCAAATTAGCAATCAATCGCAGCTTTTCTTCGTTATAAAAAACTTTCCTCGCTATAAAGAAAAAGAGTTAAATATATTTAGAAGTGATTACATTAGAGAGATAAGATCTAACTGTAAGCTTTTGTATTTTAGGAAAAAAGATTTGATTTGAGTTTATATATTTTTAAAAACATAAAACAAAGAGAGCTCAGATGTGTTAAATGGGAGGTCAGCGTCTCTCGCGGCACATGATCTTTAAATCGACAGCGATGATTAAGCTTTTATTTCACGAGTATTCCATTACATTCTTATTACAATTTTTTTTTTTGTTAAGTCAAAAACTTCAAATCCGTTTGTTTTATTTGGTTTGCTGCATGTTTCGGTTTGTCCATAGTGCTCCTCAGTTTTAATGTTTCTTCTACGTACTTTATAAAAATAAATTATTGCAACGATGGTGAATTAAGAACAGGGGGTATACTATGGCAAATACAGTACCAGAAATTTGATAAATCTATTTTCTGCAAAAAAAATTGGATAACAAAAGAACTCTTTCTATCAATGAAGGAAAAATTTCCCCTTAAAGAGGAGCCAATATGACACCATGTTACTTACAAAAGAGAAACTTAAATCATCGTGTTTTTACCTCTTTTGCAATATACGAATACATGAATGTTACAACAAACGAAAAATAAAATAAAAATGAATATCCAGTTACAAAAAAAGAAACAAACGAAAAATAAAATAAACTGAAAAGGAAGAAAACATGTCATGTTAAAGACGAAAAAGAGTCCAACTTCGAAACAAAACTAAGTCAATCTGCTTAACTACATTCAACATTTCCACACAATCCGTTTCGAAAGCTATAAACAGAGGAATTTATTTTTCCGAGAAGGCATTCCATCACCGAAACGACGACTTAAAGCTCTGAAGTTAAATTTGATTTTGGGTAAAGCTTAATTTTGGGTTTATAAAATAATAATTATTTATTAGATTATGCTTTAAATTAAGATTAAGATCTAGAGTAGTCTATTAATTAAATATCTAAATATTTGTATAGATAATTTTAAATATTATGGATAAAAATCTAGATATTATTAAGAAAATTCTAAAAATTAATAAAATGAACGTAAAATATTTTATAATAAGTAGAACCTATAAATAGTCTACTCTTCCATCATTTATAATTATGAAAAGTTGAACAAGTAAAGAAAGAGTGTTATTCATAAGTTTTCTTATTCGTTCTAATTTTTTTTCAAATTTTCTTTTAAGTATTCTTTCATCTTTTTATTCATATTTAAAAGATATTTGTTTTTTCGGATTTCTCGGATATTATGAGCTAATATTAACCACTATTTGATGTTTTTCTCTACTAATGTAAAAGGGATAGACAACAGCTTGAGCCATATATGGTACGGTGAGCCATGTAAATTCGAAAAGCATATGGTTTGCCACATAAAATATTTGCTGATCTGCAAGAAGTTTTAACCTTCCATCAATGGTGAAGTAGTCCCGTAATGCCTTTTTCAAGGAATTTTCGGATATCTGCGAAGAACAGAGCACTATAGTGATCAATATATAACACCGATTACCGCACAAGAACATAGGGTTTGTCAAGATCCGATGCATACATCTCTCGTGAGCAACTACTCATATTTCTAATACTTTCTTTCTCTTTACATTCCTTTTCTCTTCTAACATCTCTTCTATTCTATCTTCATTAATAGCCTGAGACTCTTGCCACGTCCACGTCATTGATCTGCCTCTCCTCACACAAGTTTCTAAGCCATTGTAACATATCAATATATTAAGTTCAAAAAAAGAAAA